CCCACACAAACACACCTGCAGATGCTACATTTGGGCACTGTTTAACTGATTAGAGTTGATACATAGTTACCATCACGGTCTGTATCTATAAGGCTGAGTTAGTCAGCTGACCAAGCTGGGCAGTCCTGCCACTGGACTACTTGTCTAGGAGATGAAAGCATAAAGTAGGTGGGTTCATTGGACTTTTCTGTTAGGGGAACTGAAGATGGTGGAAATGCTGACTCAATCAGCTGCAATTTATTATCTCAGCAGTGCAAATCTTGTTTTGAGGATTCTCTGAGCTTCTGTTGATCTCTGCCCCAATAAAGTGCTGCCCTTTCTGTTAATTTGTCCTTAAGAATGTCACCAAATTACCTTTCCACACTCACATTTGATCATATTAAAGCTCTGGTTAAATTCTCCAAAGTCTGCTTTTTGTTTTCTTGGCCTTATACACAGATCTTTTTTATTCAGCTACGGCTGGATCTCCTTTGGCCACACAGTTCAGCCACACTGGCATCCTAACATGGTGCAACTGCTGTCTACGTTGGTCATGGTCAACTCTGTCTTCTCCATGCTTCAGCAGGTCTACTCCTGTGGTCTAGGACACTTTGGGTGTGTCAGTTACTTTTCTCTTCAATGTCAGAATACAAGACAGAAACAAGGAAGCAAATATTTACTGTGGCTCATGGCTTGCTGCATTTAATTGATGGTTAGAGAACAGGGAAGACAGACAACCATAACCTGTGTGGTCTATCTCCCAGAATCCCGCTTCCTCCATCTAGACCCTACTTTCTAAAGTTTCTGTGAGTTCCCCAAAGCACAAGCTGGGGACCCAGTATTCAAACACGTGAGCCAGTGAGGGACATTTCACATTACATTCAGATCAACCGGCATTGGTCTGCCCCCACCTCCTCTCTTCCTCCTGATGAGCTGCCACCATCTCCAGGTGAGTCTTCACCACTGAGACTCATCCAAGTCACTGTTGAGGGGGTGCTGTTTTAGGAAGGGCGGGGAGCCCTTGGGACAGAGGCCTAGATAACCAAAGTTGGCCATGGTTCTATATTCAACTGCTTGCTTTGTGATCTGAATAAGTCTCGCTTCTGCTTTAACCTGCTACTGCCATAGCCAAACCCCACCACTGCATCATCCCTGCTGTGGTGTACCGAAGTTCCGTAAAACCACAAACCATTGGTGAAAACCACAGTAACGAAAAAAAAAAAAAAAAAAAAAAAAAAGAGCACATCCAATCACCCAGTCTCCCAGGACTGTCAGATGATCCCCTTCAGTGCTCCCAGTGTCTCCTGACTGAACCCCCTATTAAAATGCGGCATTGCAGTGTAATTGTCAGATTGCCTCCTACGTCTACCATATTGTCTCTCTGAGGCAAAAGTGTGTTGTTCATTTTGTTTTTCCAATCCTTGGCATAAAATCATTAGCTAATAAATGCCTATTAATAAATATAAAAGCAGTGCTTGGATTTGTGAAGAAGCTAGTGTTCTGTCTTTGACTGATCTAGTCCTGGTATTTTTTTCATACCATAACATCCTCAACAGGGTGGGGAAGAGCAGAGAGGAAGGACAACTTGCAGCTCTGTAACAGTGATTGTCCACATTGTGGAGGAAGGGAAGGGTGTCCAGGGGTCCTTTGGCCTCTCTCCCAGCATAGCACTCAATAGGGAGGATAGTCCCTGTAGGCCAGGAAGAGGCTGCAAGGAAGGAGTCTGCTGATGTGTGCTGCTGATGCATAGCAACCTGGGCTCCTTCACATCACAACCTGCTGTCACATGGCTAGCCAGACATTCAGTCAGCAGCTTGTAAAAGCAGGAGCAGGAACTGCACGGCTTTGATTATTGCTCACAATAATCAGAGCTGAGTTTTCTCTCTGGTCTCTGGTGGAGAAATGGCATTCTAAACCACCTTACAAGATAGTTATCTAGTGGGAGGATTTCTAGTAAAAACAACAGCCATGCCATTGTTCCCTTCCTTTGGAGTTAGTCATTGTCCCATCCCTCAAGAGTTAGTCTATCATCTGGACAAGAAGATACCCTTCGGGAGTAGTCTGTTTCAGAAACTTTAAGGCATTGTATAAGGTGTGCCTTAAAATGTAGGTTGGAAGGATGGTCTTTGTGTCTACTGTCCACTCTCACCCCTTGAAAGCGTTTCTCTTCCTGATTCTCACCCCGTGTTCACTCTTATCCTTAGATGCTTTCTTCCACAATGGTCTCTCTGTCCACTTCCATATCTTGAGAACAGTTCACATTTCCTTGTCATAACCTCCATCTGTCTTCTACCCTACACCATGTGTCTCATTTGAACTCTTTTGCTTGGGTCAGAATGACTAGGAACTGAGGGAGAGCAGAGGACTTCTGGCATTCTGAACAGAGCTCTAAGGCCCAGAGGGGGCTTGAGAAACATGTTAGAGGGTCAATTTGGCCACAATGCCACATGCTTTTCATAGCTGACCTCCAGTGGAAAAGCATTGAGTATTAAGAATCAAACATTCAGAGCCAAATTCACCCCAAATTTATGTAGAATAATCCATGTTCTCATGTAAGACAATGATTGTCTGGCTTATATCAGCAGGTCATCAAGTGGGTAAAGACAGCCTGTGGGTATTAGTGAGTCCAGACCTTCCTTCAACGGACTTCTTTTGGTTATAGTAATGGCCCTCTAGGGGCAAGGGCATAGGGGAAATGATGTTAAATCCATTCTTGCTGGATGAAGCCCTTACTAGGTTCTCACAGAAAAACAGGTTTGGGTTGAGCAAGTGGGATGAAGGCACCTTGAGTAGCTGTCCCACACCTGCCATTTCTTGGTGGCTGTCAGCTGGGTAGGTTAGCTTCTTTGGGGAAGATGCTGCTAACCCCAAGGCTCCAAACGTTCAAATGATACAAAGGAGGATAGACCCAAGACCATTCAGTTAGAACCTACTGTAGGCTGAACTAGTGTATTCACTAAGAAAAAATTCTGGAGGAATGTAAGCCACATCAAACTGTTGTAGAATCTTATTTTAAAGTGTGGCACATTCCTTTATGCTCTGGAACATTTGTCCAACTATATAAAGACATGTTGCTTTTGTTTATGGTGCATTTGTTTAACTATGTGAAGCTGTGATTCATTGCATGTCTAAAACACCTGATGGCCTAATTGAGAGCTCAACTGCCAATAGTGAGGCAGGAGAAAGGACAGGCAGGGCTGGCAGACAGAGAACACATAGAAGGAGAAATCTGGGAGAAGGAACAAGAAGAGCAAGGAGAGGAGGACACTAGGGGCCAGCCACACAGTCACACAGCCAGCCACAGAGTAAGAGTGAAATTAAGATATGCAGAAATAAGAAAAGGAAAAAGACCAGAGGCAAAAGGTAGATGGGTTAAATTAAGAAAATCTGGCTAGAAACAAGCCAAGCTATGGCCGGGCATTTATAATAAAGAATAAGATTCTGTGTGTGATTTGGGAGCTAGGTGACAGGCCCCCCAAAAGAGCAGAAATGTAAAGCATAAAAAACAAAAAACAAAACAATTACACTGAATGAAGATTTCCTTTGGCTTATTTTTTCTGTAACCTACCTATACCCCACTCACGATAAGCTATACACCAAATCTGCATTGATTGCCTCTTGTGTATCACATGTTGTAGAAGTATGTAGATGCAACCAAGAACAAAACAGCATCCTCAGAGAGCATTACGTCCGAAGCAGCTTTAACCGTCAATTCCCCTCTGCCTGTTAGTGGTACATTTGCTATTGTCAAAAAACCAAGGTGTGTGAAAGCTGTCAGTTCCCAGGTGGAGGGATAAGCACATGGATTTAATGCTCATAAATGCTGACACTTCTCCTAGAGGCAAAGAGAGTTAGGAGGATGAGGTCATGGATCAACTCTCTTCCCTGATTTAGTTCTTGCCAACCCATACAAATACGAGAGGAGTTGTTTTGTTTTGTTTGAGACAGATTCTAACAGTGTAGCCCAAACTACTCTAGAACTCATTATGTAGTCGACCTTGGCCTCAAATTTGAGACAGTGCTCCTGCTGGAGCATGCTGGGATTGCGGGCAGGGCCTCCACACCTACCTGAATTTTATTTATTTATTTATTTGTTTGTTTGTTTGTTTTAATAGTCCTACCTACACAAGTATCACTTGAAGCTGTCTCCTGTAGAGCTCCTTAACACTTGAATCAATGAGTCCTACCCTCGCACATCATTCACCACCTTAGTCTTTTCCTTGTCTAGTTTGCTTAAGACTTTGCCCTTAGAAGCTCAGTGTGGACAGGCTTAGAAGCTGGTCTGGGCCCAACAACCATGTCCTACAGAATACAGGCATGCTTGGAAAGGACTAAGGGAAGCTTTATGTTCTTCTCCTGTACTCGGTTTTTATTGATGTGGAAGTTAGACTGTAAACCAAAGCCACACCGATTTTCTTCCCAGAAAACGCATTACCGAGTTAAAACTGTTCTCGCCGCTCTGTGGGAAATGCTCTCTTTCAAATGCTCTGTCTCAGCCCGGGAGTTTGTGGCACACACCTTTAATCCCAGCACTCGGGAGGCAGAGGCAGGCGGCTTTCTGTGAGTTCGAGGCCAGCCTGGTCTACAGAGCTAGTTCCAGGACAGGTTCCAAAACAATACAGAAAAAACCCTGTCTCGGAAAGAAAAAAAAAAAAAAAATCTCTGAAGTAGTAGCCTGATTACTTTCCAAAGGTAGGGCTACTTATCACCCCAGGAAGTCACCCCAGGAAGAGGTTATGGGGTTTTCCTCTTGGAAGGAGCAACAAATTTGCTGCTCCCCAAAGATGCACTTGATTTAAGCTCAAAATAACTAAAAACATAACATAGCGATGAATAAAAATTTGGCAGTTTAGTTAAAATAAATGGTCTTATCCAGAACATAGGGGAGTATAAAAGAGCATTGCAAAAATAAGAACTCTGGAACTTGGATGGGTTTTTAAAGCTTGCCAAGGCTGGCCTCCTCCAAATAGGGAATATGAAAGGAACTGGGGAGAATTAAACAAATGCAAGACGTTTCCTCATTAGAAGGATATATGATAGCATGGAGGAAGCAGATGGCTTCAGAAGTTCCAGGAGACTTAGGCAGACCCCCTAAGCCCTGCCCCGTGTTGCCTGGAGGCTGAACCACAGTGACAATGACCTGACTGTGCAGCCACTCCTAGAAAACACTTTCGCAGGAGCAGGGAGGCAGTCTGGGGCGCGGCGGGGGTGGGCGTAGGCAGCCCTGGTCCCGCTCTTCCCGCCGGGCATGGTGATAATGAGGGTGGGGCCAGCGGTGGCGGTGGAGTGCCTGGTGGTCCCCAGACCCCTCGTCGATCTCGGCCTCTCCCTCCCTCACACAGCACACAAATCCCAGGCGCCTCCGAAGCCGCCGCCAGAGCCCGCAGTCGCCCGCCTGGAAGAAGAGGTAGACGAAAGGGTTGAGGGCGCTGTTGGCCACCTCTACGATGCGCATCGCCACTACTAGACCCTCTCCCTCCCAGTCACCTGCCGGCCCCGACGACCAGGCGGCCGCCAAGCGGGCGGCGAAGTAGGGCAGCTCACAGCCCACGAAGAGCAGCGCCAGCGCTAGGCTCATTTTCAGGCTCTGCACCTTGGCGCGGGGCAGTGCACTGGGCAAGGGGGCTCGGGCCGGACTGGCCGACCGGGGTGCCCCAGCCACCGGAGCCTGAGACCCGCGCTGCCACCATACACACAGCAGGTGGCCGCAAGAGACACCCATGACAGCGACCGGCGCCGCAAAGCCCACGGCAGCTTCGTACAGAGCGTAGACCTGCAGGTGCCAGCGTGGCAGTGGGGCGAAGATGCCCCCGCAGCGATGCTCCCCCGGCCAGGCGCTGGTGGCCGGCGGTGGAGGAGCGCCCCAGCGCACCACGAAAGTCGGCGGTAGTGCCAGCAGCAGTGCCAGCAGCCAGCCCAGGGCAGCCAGGGCGCGCGCGGGCAGCTGCTGGCCCTGGGGACCGCGCACCGCGAGCTGGCGCTCGAGGGCGATGAGCGCCACCAGGTGGGCGGAGGCGCCCCGCCCCGATGCCTGCAGCAGCTGAGACATGCGGCACGCCAGGTCGCCCAGAGCTGGACTCGGGTCGTCCAGCAGCTCCCAGGCCAGCTGAGACAACGCAGTGCCCCCACACGCGTACAGGTCGGCCGCTGCCAGCTGCACCAGCAAGAAGTCCATCTTGCGACGCTTGGGGCCCGGCCAGGGCCGGCTGCCGCCGCCGCACAGGCGACATAGCACCGTGGTGTTGCCCGCCACCGCCGTCACCAGGATGATTCCCATGAAGACCAAATGGATCGGGTGGCTGGGTTGCCTTCGTGGCTGCGGCTGTGGTACTGGGACAGAAGGTCCCTGTCCCGAAGTCAGGTTGAGACCCCAGCTCGGCAGGATGGAGACGGAGAGGTTGGGCGCGGGAGGCATAGCTGTGAGGATGAAGCGATCCTCCATCCTTACTCGAGGAGAAAGGAGAGGAACCGCTGAGGGCGGTACTCGCTTAAAATGCCAAAGTGGAGGCGAGGCGAGGTGGCACAGGCCGCACCGCTGGGGTTCTGCTACTTCCTAAAGTTAGTTGGGAAAAGCACACGCATCCGGGGCGAGATGGAATCGGGTGGATTTGTGCTTAGTTGTTTTTATAGGTTGTCATCGTCATTTGTCACTCAAATGTGGGCTGTACACTCGAGGAAAACACATGATTCCTGTTCTCCACCTTCTCAATATTTTGCCCCCTCCTCCAATCCCAGCAAAGCTTCTTCTAATCCACGAGGCCATCCTCAGCGGGATCGGTGGACCGCTGGGCTCTGGAAACTTTGCCCTGTAAAGTACAGCCAGGTAGAAAGTTAACCTTTGCAAAGAGTAATAGATATTAACCCAGAAGCAACACAGAGAAAGGAAGTTCCTGACTAAGGCTACACCCCCGCTCCTGCGCATACACCAACAGGTGTTGTGATTGCTAATGGGGGAAAATATACTAATACTACTTTTGATTAAACAAAAATAAAAAGCATTTTGTAATGCCACATGCCCACACCAGCTAGAGAAACGCAAGGGCAGAAGAAACTCATTTCTCCCCACTCCCTATCCCATTGGGCACCAGGGCAGAGTGCAGGCCAGGCAAGCAGTCTACCACTGAACCACATCCAGTTCCTAACAGCACCAATAACTTTTGGAGCAGTCACCAGATGAATCTTTGATAGGGCATATATACCTTCCTCTGCCTGTAGTGAGAATGGTTTAAACGGAGAGAACTGAGGGCTGTACTGTTGCCTGGCAATTAGAAACAGCAGCCGTTTGCAGACGCTTTCCAATACTCTCGTTACTAGAAGCAGTGGGTGACTGCTGCTCTCTTCTAGGGACGTACAACTCATTTTGTTAGTCTGGAGAGAGCTCTAATAGGTTATGATACAAATGGTGGTTCATGTATTGAACCCCGGAGTATTTCCACCCACAAGGGAAGCATCCCAAAGTCTCCTCTTTGTCTCGGTTCTGTTTTTCCCGCAAATGGGAGGTTGCTAGGAGGGACTACGCCTCCAAAAAGCTAGAGAAAAGGTGACTAAGAAAATGATACAGCGGCCAATTTTTTCAAAAGAAAATCCAACTCACAGGAAATGCTTTAAGATTTAATGCTGCCACTTTTAGCCCTGCTTCACAAACACATTTCAGTTTTCCCACTGGAAGCATCATTTGGTCTTTTGTGCACCCATCACATTAATCACAGTGAAAGCAGAATTGCTTGTACTTTCTGGTCTTGGGCCAGGGAGGTGTGGGTGTCTGCTGCTTCCCAGGCTGAAGCAATGTTTGCAACCTGAAGATGCATGACTTGGGAGGATCCATACCACCTGCCAGTTGCTGCAGAGATCTCATTTCCTAAGGTCTGCCACTTTGACTGGAGACATTTGTCATTGTCATTATACATCCAGTACCTCATGCTGGACCAGACACATGGCAGATATCAGTAAATATGTGCTCAGCTAACGAAATTAGTGCTATGTAATGCATGTCAGATAACCTTGAGCAAAATTCTGTCTTTCTCTAGATGTATCACATAAGATGCCTTTTAAAAGTGGTACCAGTATCATCTAGAGGCCCTGCAATAGGATCTGAGGGTGTGTGGATGATGATATGTCTTTGCTGGATCACTGACAGAAGAGGTAGAGTGACAACTATGGAGAATTTCAGTCCTGACTTGGTTTTCACACTTGGTTCAGTTTGTCCAAGGCATTTTTCTGGGGATCATGTGGTCCAGTCTTTTCTTCTGAACAGTATATGACAGCCAACGGCTCCCCTATAAATGCCAGCTCAATATTTTTCAATGTAATTCTATAGTTTGTGGGAATGTTCTCATAAGTTACAAAATCCTACCCATGAACCTGCATTCCACAGAATTTTAGAAAGACTTGACAAAATAGTGATTTTTTTTAAAAAAGTTGGTTCCCACTGAGAACACAGTGGCAGCTGTTTAGGCCGCCAGAGTCGGTTGTGGTCATGGAGTACTCATGGGACAAGCCGACACTGGCGTTCTCCCCCTTTTTTGACATCATCAACTACCCAGTGGTGCTGAAGCAGCTGTGAGGGTATTAGGACACACATTGCATTCATTTGGACCTATGGGGGCACAGGGAAGGCTGGAAATTGGATCTAGGGCCCCATTGTGGAAAGGGGTACCAGTGGCATGAAATAATCCCCTTTCCAACGGGCTGAGTGCTGTGCTCTGTGGCTTTGGTGGAGGAATTTTATCCTGTACTTTACTTGCAGAGCCTCTACTGAGGTTTCTGACAAACCATACTAATATTTTACTGGTACCTTTAATCTGGTATATTGTTTTTTTTTTTTTTTTTTTTTTTTTTGCCCATGTGACCTAGTTTCCCAGGGCTATTAATTTCTTCTTATTTTGATTCCTGGCTATAGAATCAAGGACGTGATCAGAACTTGGAAAAAGCAGGTGGAGTCACACATGCTAATACCTATCACAGAAGTGGCTGGGTAATTACAAAGGCTTTTGAATGGACCCAAGGTGCCCATTCAACTATTGTTTCCCATTTATGAACACTTGCTTAAAGGAGACTGGAAACCAGACAGCAATGAACAGCTGGAGATGTCCTTCCCTACCAAGGTAACCTTGCTGGGGTCAATATCTTTACATTCCAGCAGACCTTCATGCCATCTTTCTTATGACCATAAAGGTAACCATGGTGACAAAGGATTTTGCAATGACTCTTGCTCCCTTTAAGGATACCTTGAGTCAGCTTCTGGGTCTGCCAGAGGCTCCAGATGGTGCTAAGAAGCATATCAAAAATTTGCGAATTTGGGGCCAGCCTGGTCTACATTGTAAGTTCCAGGCCAGTAAGAGCTATACAGTGAGATCCCCTCTGATTGTGACATTAGATAACTGTCTTGATTAATCTTTGGGGACCTTGGTGGTGATGTGGAGAACCAACTCCACGAGTTGTCCTCTGACCTCCACACGCCTTAAACATGCACATCCACACACATTCATGAATACAATAAAAATACTTTAAAAACTTCGATTGTAGGGGCTAGAGAGATGGCTTCGTTAAGAGCACTGGCTACGTACTCTTCCAGATGACCTGAGTTCAATTCCTAACATTAACATGGCAGCTCACAACTATCTGTAATTCCAGGTCCAAGAGGTCTAAAGCTGCCTTCTGTCCAAGGGCAGCAGGTATACAAGCAAGCAAAACACCCATATACAGGAAATTGTTCCTAATTATGATACTATGTTTAATACACTTAAAGCATTGTAGATTTACACTTAAAGCTTAATAGATTTGTCTCCTCTTTCTTTTTTTTTAATGATAATATTTTTTACTTAAATTTGAACAAGGTTGTTTTATATGTCAATCCCAGTTCCCTCACCCTCCCCTCCCATCCGCTTTCTGCTCCCCAGGGAGGGTGAGGCCTTCCATGGGGGATCTTCAAAGTCTGTCATATCATTTGTAGCAGGGTCAAGGCCTTCCCCCATTGTCTTTCTCCCCCCCCTTCCTTTCTCTCTCCTCTCTTTCTCTCTCTTCCTTTGTGTAGTGTTAACTGTCCTGTCTGTAGAGCAGAATGGCCTAAAAGTCAGAAGTCAGATATCTGCCCAAGTTTGTCTACCAAACGCTGGGATCAAAGGTGTGCGCCACCCCATACAGCTGCTTGGTAAATTTTTAATGTTGTGTCTTGGAGGGTGTGATACAGGAGTGTGAGTCTCTAAGCCATTGTTCTATTGTTTTGGCTCATGTAACTAGCTTGCAAACCTACATGTGACCTAGTAGTTGCTCTTTAGTCTTAATCAGGAGACATTATTGAACCTTAATGTCACATTAAGATACTTTTGAGACCATATTAAGGTATATTTTCACTTGAATTTGTGAATATAAAATAGACATGTATTAATGGAATGTCTCAGAAATTTATAAATGACTACAAATATAAGTTAATATAAACTCACTGAACAAGTAAAATAAAGGAGAGGGCTATGAAGGAAGATTTCATATGTGGTTTGGAAATGTAAAATAATAGTTTGCAGATAACCCCTGCACTTGGAAAACATAAGGTATCAACTGAAAATGTGCTGCAAGGCTGCAGAGAGTGCTCAGTGGGTGGAGAAGTGTTTTCTGGGAAAGCCATATAATGGAGCCCCATCCCTAGACCCCATGTAAAAGTGGAGACAGAACCTTCCATACAGTGTTGTTCTCTGGCCACAGATCTTATACACACATGCTAAAAATAATAAACAATAAAATTTAAACTAAAAAAAGGAAAAGCTATTGCAAAGGATAAAGGAGTTCAATACATAACAAATACATAGACATAAAAAGGATGTAAAGGAAGGTGCACTGAAGTAGAAACTATCAGCTCAGACCTTCACTCACCTCACTCCATGATGGAAGTGCCTACGGGCTGTAAAACGCAGCAGTAGACAGCACCACCTGCCACGATGAAGACAAAGACATACTCCATCAAAGCCCATAGTTCTGGGAAAGTCTCTAAGTTTACTAACCTTGCCTTTTGGCTTCTATAGTTCTGCTTCTGGTTAACTGTTGTTGCTAACTGAAGTATGTCACCCCAGGACATAGTTTTGTGTTTAAAAGCTGACCCTGTGAAAGGCTGAGGGCTATTCTAGGATCCCTAATACTCAGGGTAGTCAATGGACCTCTAATAAGGATGTTGTATTGGCTTAAACCGGTGTCTGAGCAGTCTTCTCTGGTGAATACTCCACAACAAAACAGAATAAACAATGTAACAAGGAATGAATTAATGTCAGCTTCCCAATGGGATTACTGCTGGAGGGCTTTACAAACAACACAGAGCTCAGCTATCTTTGCGAATGGGTGGTCCTTTTCCTTTTTAGAAAAGGACTCGTGTATGCCAGGGTGTGAACAAAGAGGAAAAAGTAGACTATGTTCTTTAGAACAATTGTCATCAAGAACTTAATTCTCTCTAAATTAAGCTACAAATTAATGACTTCTTTTAAAAGGACCTCAGACCCGCCAAAAACACAGTCAGCATTAAGAATTTACAAAGCAGCAGGGCTGTGGTGGCTTTGATCCTAGCAGTCAGGAGACAGAGGCATGTGGATCACTGAGTTAGAAGCCAGCCTGATCTACACAGTAAGTTCCAGGTCAGCCAGGGCTACACAAAGAGACCTGTGTTGGAACTGCACCTCTCCATCCCTCCCCAAAATAGAAAAAAAGGATTTTCCATTTTGATAACTAGCAAATGGTTAAATTTGTATGGAAAAAAATTAAGCAAGAGTAGCCAAGGCAAAAAGAGACTAGTCCAGTGAGGCACTGGGAGTCAGATTAAAAGGGCAATCCAGCAGGAAGCAGAGTGCCCAGAAAGGGTATACTTGTGAATGGGGACCTTGACACAATCAAATGGGTGGAGGAAAAGATAATGCATTCGAACTAAGATGTTATATAATGAAATGGAGAAGACATACCATGCAACAAAAGATCAATAGTTTAGCAATTAAATAAACGGCAACATCAAAACCCTAAAGTTAGATCTTTAATATGTAATATATTTTACATGGATCAAAGAGCTAAGGATTACAAATAAGCCTTTATGAACATCAGAGAGAAGAGCATTAGAAACAGAACACAAAGCCACAAAGCAAAGACTCAAACATTATAAAGAATATTTTAATTTAAAAATTGTTATATTTATATAGTATTAAGATTTATAAATATGTCACAAGAAAATACAAATTTCTCCATGTAAAAATATTCTAGGTAAATAGCAAAGGACACTCTATAAAGAAAATGTTATTTCTAGTATTTAAATAGATGTTTATTATTTTTTAAACTTTACATGCATGGATGGTTTGCCTGCATTTATGTCTAAGCATTACATGTATGCATGGTTCCACTGGAGGCCAGAAAAGGGCATTGATCCCTGAACTGGAGTTACAGATAGTTGTGAGTCACTGTGAATGCCAGTAATTGAATCTGAGTCCTCTGGTTGAGAGTAAGTGCTCCTAATCCCTGAACCACCTCTCCAGCTCTTTTTTCTCTTTTATTCTTCAAAAAGCTAATATCTAAAGCATGCACATAACAGAAAAATGGGCTAACAACTAATAAAAAAAAGTGTTCAGCAATAGACATAGAGAAGGCCATCCTGATGTAGATACTAATGGCTATTGTATCTATGGAACAATGTCAGTACTCATAATACACAACGATGAAATATTTGCTACCTATTGGGCTGGGATGTGTAGGCATGTATTCTGGTGAGAATGCCAACTATTACAACTTCTTTAGAAAAAAAACTTGGGAATAGATATGCAAATTTTATAGATTCTTGACTCTCCAATTTCAAGTCTCAGCATCATCTATTTTAATCAAAAATAAAAAATAAATAAGCCATAACAACAATATGCAAAAAGACACACTATATAGCATCATCAGTTGTATGTTTGCCTGCATTTTGTGTATAAAGAATATATTAATTTTATTATCTACAAAAGGATACAAGCAAGGTGGTTGTAGCTGTCTTTCAGAGGGAGCTGGCTAGGAAAGAAAGGAGTTTCATGTTTTACCCTTTGAAGCTTTACCTTTTGCTCATATTTTTTATTAAACAAAAAAATAAATAAATAAAATTAGCTATGTTCAGAGTCTGTGTCCCATTAAATAGTTCTTTAAATAGTTCTACACATCAAATACACCAGAAGATTTTCATCAAAACCATAACATTCTATATTATGCAAAGAAACAACAAAAATGTATGCTCCTCTCCTTTAAATACTTCTGCTATTAAACTGTCAGAGGTCTGCAACGATAAGGTCTTAGCAGTAACCAGTTTTGAAAATATGTAGTTCTGTGATCATTGGCAGTTAAAACATAGTACATATTTTAAAAGTAAGATTAGCAATTACTAAGGCTGTTTTGGTTTAATACTTTTCAGCATATTCATACATATCTTGAAAAAGCTCTATTATTGTCTACAGTTACTGAAGAGGGGTGGGCTGTGAGCCATTGGTGGATTGCGTTTTCATACTTCCATGGTTCTTTTTGCCAATCTTGATGCCACCTCAGGTGCGCTATAACAGTTGAGTAATTTTGTCCTACGCTTTGTTTCCACATGGTAAACTGCTTCCTATTGTATTGATGGACAGAAGCAGACACTTTAGGGTAGTTTATGATAGAACGAAGCTTCTGGTCCAAAGCATAAGTGATTTCTGGAAATTTTGTAGCAATATTGGTTAGCTCATCTGGATCTGAGGAAAGATCTGAAAAAAAAAATGAAATAGTTATGTGCTGAAATTGCTTTTTGGAATATCGATGTGACAGACAATGTATTAGGATTTATTTTCACTTTTTATGATTAGTGTAAGATGGGCAGTATTTATGCATTCACATGCCACAAAGTGATCTTTCAATTAGCAGCTCTCTAAGATGAACCTTTGGATCAGTTGTTATGAAGGATTACTTGATTACACAGCACTGGGTATGAGTTACTCTGCTCTGACCTGGATAGGTTTGCTGGGCCTGTTGTAGGAACTCTTGGATCTGATTTAACAAGGTCCATGAAGGTACATGAGTCACTCTGTTGGAAGCCAGGTTCATAAACTTAAAAAAGATAGCTCTTTGGCCACTAAAGAATTATTTCTAGTTAATAACTCAGATATTTGTAACTAGGATGGAAACAGAAAGCAATAAATATTAACAGTGGCCTTAACACCTATTTTATGTATAACATTGGGATAAAAGATAAGAAAAACTGTAGCTGGGCAGTGGTGTCACATGCCTTTAATCCCAGCACTCGGAAGGCAGAGGCAGGGAACTCTGTGAGTCTGAGCCAGCCTGGTCTACAAAGTGAGTTCTAGGCCAGCCTGGGCTGTTACATAAAGAAACCCTGTCTGAAAAAAACAAAACAAAACAAAACAAAACAAAACAAAAAAAACAAAAACAAAAAAAAACCAAACCCAAATAATAGTAATAATAATAATAACAATAACAACAACAACGATCAAGATGATGATGATAATGAAACAGGAGAAGAAAGACTCTAAATCAAAAAATGCTGTTTAGAAATGAATTCACAGAGAGTGATGCTAGAAAGCATTTTCACAGCGTAGAAGGAACCGTGGGTTTTGTTCTTGGACCCATGCTGAACTTTTAGTTTTATGACTTCCTAGTTCTGAACAGCTGTCAGACTTTCTGTGACCCCAGTTTCATTAGCTCTGAAGCAAAGGGAATGATATGATCTCACAGGGCCATGATGAACATTAAAGATGAACATTAAATAATGTATTTAGAATGTACAGACTCCGTAAGAGCTTCTAGAATCAATGAAACTTAGGTGTAATGTGAAGGTGTTGACTAGTAATGGAGAAACAGAACAAATTATTGGAAGATCTCACCAGGAAACATGGTTGAATGAGATCTGGATATTAAGTCACAGTGAACTGTCCCTGGTTTCAGGTGGTGATGTGTGAGGCAGCTACTCCTTTTTTATGAATGAACACTGACAATTCATATCATCAAATGTACTTTACCATCAGCAGTCACAGATTAGAAAGTACATGTGGATTTTATAAACAGAGACTAGATCTAAACACTCACTCTAAACCATGAGACTTGGTGACTTATTGTAGCCTGTCCCAGTATGAGAAGCAATAGGTATTCATTTATTTTAAAAAGAATTATCGAAGCCGGGTGGTAGTGGTGCACACCTTTATTCTCAACACTTGGGAGGTGGAGGCAGGTGGATCTCTTTGAGTTTGAGGCCAGCCTGGTCTATAAAGCTAGTTCCAGGACAGACTCCAAAGCAACACAGAGAAACCCTGTCTCGAAAACAAAATAATAATTATTGACTCTCTAAGCATTTAGAATGTATCAAGAAGCTTACCAAAGAGTTGAGGCTGCACGGAAGTGCCATCAGAGTAGGCAATATACTTCCACCGGCGGGTTCGTAGCATGTAGGTGGAGGCATTTGCATTACATCCATGGAATTCACTTATAACCCAAGGAGGACGGTGGGTTTTGCGTGTCTGTTCATTTTCAGATGCCTCTGATGACAGCATCAACAAAGAGTATCCACTGAGAGTCTGAGGCAGGGGAATGCCAGCAATATCTTTGGAACACAAGTAAAATACTTTTTTACTAATTCATTGGAATTATCTCAGAATGCCATTTCTATTTCCCCAACACTAAGGGTTGCAGACTAGAGATCATATGTGGATATTTTTGTGGCCTAACTGTCTAGGCTGAAGGGCTCACTCCATGAACCACATTACCTTGAGTGAGTTAGGAAGTTCTTTGACTGTTTCTCATTTCTTTCTTTTTAAAAATATTTTATTTTTGTTTTATGTTTATTGGTGTTGCTAATGCACATTTGTATGTGTGAAGGTGCTGGATCCCTGGAACTGGAGTTACAGACAGTTGTGAGCTGTCATGTGGGTGCTGGGAATTGAACTAGGGTCTTCTGGAAGAGCAGCCAGTGCTCTTAACCGCTGAGTCATCTATCCAGCCCCATGTTCCCTCATTTCTAAGAGAGGTATAATAAGAGTACTTCTATCTCAAATGTTCATTTTTGATGAAAACTAGCTAACATACTTAAATTTGAGAACAGTGCCTGACACAGAAGGGCCATCCATGAAAATTCCTTTATATTATTAGTAATTTGTTTTCTGAAGTTGTTTCTCAGGGTTTATCTGATAGGATAATAAGAAGGCCTACACAAAGAGGGGTTAGTAGTTATAGAAGACTGCAGAAGTTAAACAAAAACAGGGAATTTATTATAGATAAGAAAAATTATTGTTGATATGCCTAATGAACTCAGAAGTGATACATGGTACACCCTGTGCTCTGAAGTTATTTTTCACCTATCAAATACTCAGAATAAGAGCACATGAAATAAGAGGATGCATTTCAAACAGTGTACCTTAAGGAGAGTGTTGGTAAAAACCTGATGGTATTGGCATAAAACAGACATATTGACCAAAGGAATTGAATTGAAGACCGGGATGTAAATCCACACACCTATGGATAACTGACTTTTGATAAAGAAGCCAAAAATATACAATAGAAAAAGGAAAGAATCTTCAAAAAATGGTGGCTGGTCAACTGAATGTTGTGTGTAGAAGAATGAGAATAGATCTGCATCTATCATCCTGCACAGAACTCAAGTCCAAGTGGATCAAAGTCCTCAACATAAATCCAGATAAACTAAACCTGGTAGATGAAAAATTGAGGAATAGCTTGGCACAGGAGACAACTTCCTAAATAGAATGGCAATAGCACAGACACTAAGATTGACAATTAACAAATGGGGCATCATGAAATTGAAAGCTGCTATAAGGCAAAGAACACCATCAACAGGACAAGATGGCAGCTGATGGAATGAGAAAAGGTCTTCACCAACCATGACAGAGGAATGTTCTCCAAAATATATAAAGAACTCAAGAAACTAGACTTAAAAACAAACAAACAAAACCACAAATAATCCAATTAAAAGTTCTTCTCAAAAGAAGAATCTCTAATGGCTGAGAGACACTTGAAAGTCCAACATCTTTAGTTAGCCATTAGGAAATGCAAATCAAAATAACTTTGAGATTCAAACTTACATCTGTGAGAATAGCTAATATTAAAAGAACAAGCAACAGCTCATGATGGAGAGGATGTGGAGCAAGGGCAACACTACTCCATTGCTGGTGGGAGCACAAACTTGTTCAGCCACTTTGGAAATCAATATGGCAATTTCTCAGAAAACTGGAAATTGATCCCCTCAAAACCCAGATATACCACTCCTGGGTATATACCCAAAGGATGCTGAATTATACCACAAAGACACTTGCTCAATTAAATTTATAGCAGCTTTATTCAAAATAATCAGAAACTAGAAACAACCTAGATGCCCCTCAACTGAAGAATGGTTAAAGAAAATGTGGTACATTTACAAAGTGTAGTATTACTCAGCTTTTCAAAACAACAACTTCATGAAATTTGCAGGCAAATGGATGGAGCTAAAAAAAGGATCATCCTGAGTGAGGTAACCCAGATCCAGGAAGACCAAATATGGTATGTACTCACTCATAGCTATAAAGTAAAGGATAATCATGCTACAACCCACAGACCCAGACTCAGCAACAAGGAGATCTCAAGGGGGAGGGGCCATGGATCTCCCTGAGAAGGGGAAAGAGAATAAATTGCAGGAGGGTGTGGATGGGAATAAAAGATTAGTTGAGGAGGTGATGGAGGGAGAGAGTACTGGGAGATGAGTGAAATTGGGGGAGGCATTTCAGGGGTGAGGAAATGGAAACTCCCAGGAATCCATGAAGGTGAGCCTGGCCAAGCCTCCTAGTAATGGGGGTACAGAACCCAAACCAGTCATTTTATGTAACCAGACTGGTATCTAGCATAATGGTCTTCAGAGAGGATTCTTCCAGCAATTGATGAGAGCAGATGCAGGGACACATAGCAATCATTAGGTGGAGCTCAAGGAATCCTGCAGAAGAGGGCCAGGAAGAATGGCAGGATGCAGAGGGATCAAGATACCGTATGAAAACAGCGCACAGAATCGACCAACCAGGGCTCATACAGGTTTAGAGACTGAATTGACAGTCAGGGATCCCCTAAGTCTTCTGCACATATGTTATGGTTGTGTAGCTTGAGGTTCCTGATGTACTATTAACAATGGGAGCTAGGGCTGTCTCTGACTCATGTTTGCCTTTGGGACCCTTTTCTTCCTACTGGGTTGCCTTGCCCAGCCTTTATATGAAGGGAGATGCCTAGTTTTATTGTAACTGTATATGCCATGTTAGGTTGCATCCCTGGGAAGTCTGTCCTTTTATAAAGAGAGGAGAGAGTATCTGGGGGAGAGTGGCTGTGGAAGGAGAACTGAAAGAAGTGAAGGAAGGGGAAATTGCAGCTGGAACTAATATATGAGAGAATGGAATAAAAGAGAATGTATTTCAGGCACTGATCTTATGGAGAGTGTTGTGGGACTCCTTTGGGACCAAGCACCCTGACATCCGTGTGAGTGGAAGAGAGAAGGGGTCTCCAGTAACCCAGGCCAGGATAGCTCCTGAAAGTCCTTAACCCAGTGCCAGTCTAGTTTGTATTCTCATATTATCCTCTAAAACCACAAGGTGGGGCAGACAAGCAACCGAGATTTTACAGAATCGACCTGCGGTCATCCGGTTGTTAAGGGCAACCAGCCACCCATTGTATTAGCTCTTTCTCCAGGCCATTCTGTTTCAGTAAGCGATATAAGCCATGCTTGGCACTGTACTAGCAGTTCTTTAAGCAAACAAGCAAACCACTACACAAATCAATAAATCCGTAGCTAATAATTGGTCTTTTTCTACCTTATTCTACTTTAAGTCAAAAGAAAGGCACAAGGAAAAGAAGCGAGGCGAGGGAGGTCCATGCCTTGGCCATCATTAGTGAACCACGAGGACAGAATAGAACCCTGAAGATGAATGGGCAGTGAGCAACTGGCATATGGCATATACTCTTAACCAGCATCTTAATAGCATCTAATTTAGAAATATAATTCAGAAGTTTCTTGTTTAATATCCCTACAAAGGTATAGAAAACAAACTTTGTTTCTCTTCACATTTATGAGTGGCCAACATTTAAATGAGGCCTCGCTGTTTATCCATTCAGAACACCAGGCCCTGTTTTAGTTGTAGGAAAGAGGCAGTAGAAGGCTGACTTGCTCGTCAGAGCTCTCCTACAGCTGGGGAAAGGCTGGTATAAAGCAGGTCTAGAGACAGTGAGGGCAGGCATGTGCAGGGGCGGGGATCTATGCTGTTTTATATCACGTAGTCAGAATGGCTCTCTGATAAGTGAGATTTTAACAGATACCCAAGAATAGGCTAAGGAGTCTATGTATATCTGAAGACAAGTTCTTGCTGTTACCTATGGAACATCATGTATTTAGTCTCTGAGTAAGGGACCTGATGGGTTCAATCAAGCCCCAAGTCCCCAAAAGGTATGCATGGAGCAAGGAAGGGTGTGTTATACAAGATGTTGGGGAAAGGGTAGAAGCCATGTTGATCTCCCAGGCATAGTGAAAGTACTTGGGCTTGTGCTTGAGTGAACGAAGGTAAGAAAAGGAAGAGTAGGGTAAAGAAAGAAAATGCTCAACACAGAACACATGCATTCAGGGAAGCTTTAAACACACAATGAGAGGAAGTAACAGGGACCTGGGCATCGAGTGAGAAAGTGGCTGAGACCTGCCTACATGTGGTTGTTGCTCTGCAGTAAAGGGAAACCAAGTGATGAGTGAGCAACCAGAGACTGAAATTCTAAGGGCTGGAAAGATGTTCAAGCGCACAATAACAACCGGAACAAAAAGGAGAGAGCTCTGATTTAAATCACTTCTGAGGACATTTAGGTAAATAAATATAAAGGCCTAGTAGCAGGAGGAAGAAAATAAGAACTCGTATTGTTTTGATTTTAAGGTACGTGTTTCATCTTTTACGATTTCCAAAGTAGAGAAATGTTATCTTCCATCAACATGTATAAGTCAATGGCAATTTTTGCAGTTCATGATGACAAAGAACCAAATCATAGTATTGGAAGAGTAATGAGTTTAAATTGCTGTGCTAAATTAAAAAGCAATAATTTTACATAATTTCCTCTGAGTTTGAGGATATCTTCAATACAAACAGATTACTACTGCAGTCCAAATGTTACTACCACGGACCTTTGCCTAACTCTACAGACATTATGAAGCAGGCAATAAAGTAAATAGTGTGCAACTAGGAAAAGTGTTTGAGGGGGGAAATATTTACACTATAGACAGGGAATGACAATGGCCCACAGTTGGTGGAACTGTTTGGGGAGGATTAGGAGGTGTGGCTTTGCTGGAGGAGGTGTATCACTGGAGGCAGGTTTTAAAAGACTCAAGTGATTCCCAATGCTCTTCCTCTGCCTTAAGGTTGTGGATCAAGACCTAAGGAAGGTCTCAGCTGTTTCTGCCACCATACTATGCTTCTGCTCCACCATCATAGACTCTCACCCTCTGAAAACATAAGTTCTTTCTTTTAATAGTAGCCTTGGCCATGGTACTTTGTCTCAGCAGTAAACAAACAAACAAAACCCCAAAAACTAATATACCCTAAAAAAGTGAGTAGAAGATTCTTCTTGTATTTTAGTGAGGTGATAGTAGGAAGTTGAATGGTTTATATAAATAAATGATATAAGTTTATGCACCCAAAAATCTGATGTGTCTTATTTTATAGCCATAGCCTGATTGTGACTCTTTTGAAGAGAAAATGACTAAAGTGAGTGAAGGAACCTGAGGAACATTATCCATGCTTTGCAGAGCACAAATCTCACTCAGTGAGTGAGCTGCTCAAGTTCGTGGGATTCTGAGTACTTGGCTTGTTTTTCTCGAGCATTACAAATAAATATTTCTACAGATGCCATACTTACCAAGCATTGTAGGGTAAATATCCACAAGAGAAACAATATTTGGTACTTGTGCGTTGACCTTAATTCCTGGCCCCATCATCAAAAGTGGAACGTGGGCACTAGCTTCATACATACTCATTTTATAAAACTGGCGGTGTTCCATTGCCATTTCTCCATGATCTGACGTATATATAACAATAGTTTTCTGAAGAAGATCTAACTTGCGAAGGGTCAAAATAATTTCACCTACCATAAAAAGCAAGAGTTCTTTGGGTTAGCTTTAGTTGATGTTTTAGTTTATCACCCTGACTTTAAACCACTGAACCCAGATTTTGATGCAATTCCTCTTACCATCTGAGTAAAACCTAATGTTTTCACATGCTTTCTCCTCAGCTGGCAGACTAGAGAGAGGAAGGGAGGCAGGCAGTATCTACCAGATCTCCTCTTCAGCTTCTGTCAGAGAACATGTGAGGCCAGAGGGGTATCTTCCTCTTCTCAGTGACTCAAATGCGGACAGACAGATTAGTCCAGATGTCATCCTGGACATGACTCAGATGTTAACAAAGATTGCTACCACTACTGACCCACATTTTCTGCCCAGTAAGAGGGGTTAAGAGCAATCTGAACTTCCAGGCTATCTTTTCTCCTAGCCCCTTATGCAACGGCCATTGTATCTTCCTAAAGCTGGCTTAGTTATGTATATCCCACCTTAAAGCCATGAGCACATAGCATGACTTGGGAATAATTGACAGTAATGTTTTGAGAGGCCTTGTCTCTTTGACTTGAAAGTTGCTTCCCATTGGAATTATGAGAATCACAAGAAAGCATAGTACAGAGAAAGGAGAAACTATATTTTTCTAGATCTTGAATTTGGGGTGTAAAGTTCTATACTAAATACATGTATTTGTAGGTCTAGTCAGAGTTGAGGTCCAATGCTCTATAGAGTTAAGACCGCATGATCTTTTACCTGGACAAAAGAATTGCTTACTGCATTTTTTTCTTCTTTATTCCTCTTTCCCCTCAATATTATTCCTTGCACACTCTGATGGATGACTTATTTCCAAAAGATCTGATAACTTGGTCTTGTCACATGTCTAATTAAAACTTCAGATGTTAGGCATGTTCAGAGTGCTATGGCCTTGGACTTAGAGATTCATTCTTCAGCTTCCTATTGCCTAACTCTTCAGGAGGACACACAAGTTCTTTCTCTATTCTCCATTCTTAGCTCCCTCAGCTATCTTATAAAGCCTTACCTTCCATCATTCCTAGACCATAAAGTGTACCCTGAAAGCTCACAGACCCCAGTCTGACAGCCAGGGAACCAGCATAGGACCAAACCAGGCCCCCTGAACATAGGTGTCAGTTGGGAGCCCTGGGAAGTCTATAAGGCCTCTGGAAAGGGAACCAGTATTTTTCCCTAGTAGCCCATTCCCTATGGAGGGATACTCATTCAGCCTGGATACAGAGAGGAGGGTCTAGGTTCTGCCCCAAATGATGTGATAGACTTTGATGCTCACCCATGAAAGCCTCACCTTCCCTGGGAAGTGGATGGGGGATGGGATGGGGGGTAGGTGGGGGGCATGGGAGGATGGGAGGGAGAGGGAACTGGGATTGATATGTAAGGTAAGATTGTTTCTAATTTAAATAAAAATGTATATATATAAAAGTGGACCCTGGAGAGTGGATTAGTTTACAGCTTTTTATACCTCTGTGTTGAACATGCTTTCTCCTACCCTTCTGCCATGCTTTCACCCTTCTCCCATGAGTCAACTCAAGCATTAGCTGGGGAAGCCTTCTCTGCTCTTCCACACACGCTGAACTACTCTGTTCCCCAAGTTCCCTATGGTTTGTTCACAGACGCAGGAGCACATTGCAAACCCTGGTATTTATCTATACGTATGCATATCTACAGGCATACATGAGCCATAGCACTGGAGTGGAGGCCAGAGGGCAACTCTGGGAGTTGGTTCTTTCCTTCTTCTATGTGCTTGATGACAAACACTTGACCCACCTCTTTGTGAAGCCCATGCCTATGCTCTGCTATATAACTTTCTTAATGTTCATGCATGGAAGAGTTTATGTTATAAAGTATGTAAAGTAAAAATTGTGAAGAATATTTTGAAATATATTATCCACTTCTCTCTCTCAAAAAGAAATTAACCACTAATTTAAGACATTACAATTACTTCTCCACCCCAAGGGCCTTTGTATTTTCTGCTTCATCTACCTAGAATGTCCTTGTTTTTGCTGTCTACATTGCTGGCTTTTTCTCAGCTCACACACCACTTCTCAGGAGCGCCTCGCAGATGCTCTAAGTTAGTGTTCCAGTCTCACTGATTTTCCTCTACCCTTCCACTGTTTGTCTCATCACTACAACATCTGTCCCCATGCTCCGCATCTGCTCATTTCCTTTATGCTGAAGACACTTGAAGAGTTGTGCTGTCCCACCTGCTGCAGCACAGAGCACGCCGTGTTTTACATTAGAAAATGTACTGGCAAACGTTGGAAAGCCTTTGGGGATGCACATAAGTAAACATCTCCAGTGTCAGGAGATGCCAATGAAATACAACTCAGTGCTCATATGCTATGTCAAAACTAGTAGTCATAGTTAGGGCCAAAGAAATGCTTAAAGTATCATTATGAGGGAGAACTTGGAGCCAGGTGTGGTGCTGTGTACTAACTCTAATGCTTGTGATATCAGCAGGAAAATCAGAAATTCAAGGGCAGCCTAACCACATAGTGGGTTCAAGATTAGTCTCAAACACGCGCGCGCGCACACACACACACACACACACACACACACACACACACACACACTGAAAACTTGAAAATCCTTGCTATTTTTTCCTTATATACACTGATTATATAAAGAATGTGTCTGCATGGCTTCCTTTTTTCTTTCTGCTCTATTCTATTTACTCAGTGAACACTTCTAATAACAAACACTGTTCTCAAAGTTTTTTTGTATATAGAAAGAAGTGCTGTCAACACTTCACCAATGCAGTTATGTTCTACCCCCAAAATGTAGCAAAGTAAGTGACATGATGTTGTGAAAATAACTTGTTGTCAAACAGCTGCTGATTTTTAAAAACAAGGTTTCTTAGCATAGGAAGTGGGAACAGCACTACAAGGAGAACTCTTTGACAGCCATCTCATGTAAGCAGGCTTGTCTGAGCTGACTTTCAGCCAGAATGTCAGGAAAGCCAATGATACAACAGCGGAAATGGATCTGAGCTGTGGGTAGCCCTTACTCTAAAGGGTCTAGGGAGAATGAATCTGTTTGTAGGTATTACAAGTGTGGAAGCAGCTACAAATGATAACAAACAAGTCCCTCTCTTAAAAAAAAGTGTTAGAGACATTAAAATCAGACTGGTACATGCATAGTAAAACTATTAAAATGACAGTAAATATCGGGTTGCTAATTATTTACACTGAAGAGATTAGCTAAGAGCAACAAAGTGGGCCCATGTTTAAACTGCTTATATTATTCAACAATTTAAAGAAAATAACTTCCTAACCCTGATTTATAAGTTAGTGTTAATATAGTTCTTGTCCTCTTGGCTGTGATTCTTAGCCCATAAGAGCTAAGCAGTCTCTAGCCAGAGTGTTGATGTTTCCAGGACACTAATATCCAAGACATTAGTTAGCATCTGATGAATTTTCTATGTGCAAGGAGTACAGGGAAGGACATGGACCTCTGCTTGCCATGACTTGATGCTGAGAAGCAGAATATCTTTGGAACTATAGATTGACCTATGGGTCCTCTGCAAAAGCTACCTAGAAGATGTTTTTGTTTATTTATGCTTTTTATTCTTCTCTCACGTATTACATCCTGTCTGAAATTTTCCCTCCCCTCCCCTTTGTCTCTTCCCCCTGGGATATATTTTAAGATGTTTAAAGTGATACTGTGAGACGAGCATGAGTGCTATGAGTTTTCACAATACCTTAACCTACCATCTTTCCCTCTCCTGAGACGGACATTTCCAATAATCGGAAGATTCATACTGGAATCTTCTCATTTTAATTTATATGAGTGATTTTATAGGAATAATTTCATCCACAACTTTTATCAGTAAGTGACTTTTTCTATCCTTGCATAAAAATGTTACTTGATAACTAGTGATATTAAGCATATGTAAGAAATTAACATCTGCTTGGAGAAAAGTTAGTTTCTACTCTTAATTCCTCTATGTCTTCATCCACTGAACACCTCATGACCATTCTCTTGGGATTCCAAAGAAAGGGTTTGTGCATCACTGAACTGATTCCTCTTCGTTGGTGTTTAGAATGTGAAACTTTTCATGTCTTGGAAGCAAAGCTGTCTGACAGTTATATGCCTGCCACATGCTGTCTTATTTAGCCACTAGTGTTATCTTTCAAGCAGAAAACCATTTTCTATGATTTTTTTATATATGAACAAATCTGATAAATAACTAAAATAGAAAGGGCCCTCTATTCTGTTGTTAATGCATTTTTTTAAATGAGTTAAAAGCCTTAAAGTTCTAAGTCTGAGGGATCTAAGAGATATCTGAGATATTCCTGCAAGCCTCAACCAGCACAATCACAATTTGTTGGGGGAAAACAGTACTTTTTTCCTGTAATTGCTTATTGATTATACCACCTACCTAGCATGGCATCTGTTTCAGCACACATGGCATAATAAAATGCTCTAATGTTCTTAATTTCCTCTTCAGTAAATTTCCCTGTGCAGTTTTTTGTATAGGAAGAGTAATAGTCCACAGGGTGCATTTCTGACAAAGCCAGCCACTTTGGGATTTTGATGGCATCATAAGCTACCTGGAAAGGAAGAAGAAAAAGCTTCACACTAGCAACAGGTATTTGTGGCAAACTTCACAATGTTTCATACACAGGATGGTTGAAAAGAACGGCAATGAAGTGTACCAATTCTCCAAGCAGCAATGGACCTAGTAACCCTTATCTACACCACCAGGAGGAGGAGTGTTTCAGATTTTGATACGCTTTCGTAGAAAGGTCATAAAGAGAACAGATTTATCTCCCAGGGATAACTCCATGAGACACTTCACAAAAGTGGATAATGAAAGAAGATTCAACAGAGATGAACACCCAGCAAAGAGATGGAAAGTGCTATGATTGGCGTGAATCCAAATCACACATATAGGACATAATACATGAAAGGCTAATCTTGGGATGCTCACAGTGCTGCTCTCTCAAAGAATTCAGATTCACAGTCAGAGGAACTTATGGACTGGACATCCATCATCACCAGGAAGACCAGTTTGAAGAAAAGGATCGAGAGTCACATAGAGAAACTGGTAAAAATATACACATTGAAGGAACTGTTGCAGATATATCTATATTGGAAGCCAATCCAATCCAAATAGAGAAAGAAATATGACAATTTGCAAAGCCAAGAGAAGATGCTTGTGGTAGATCATCTGCACAGGGGAAGGCAAGGCATGGCTCACACTGTACCTAGTATACCTTTTACTTCACTGATCCCAAACATTTCTGTGTTCTCAACACAGTGTACTAAATAATATATTTTTCTATTTCTATCTGACAAATCAAAGCAAAATTTTTATATATATTTGACAGATGTCTTTAATTTTTTTGAAAAAAAAGGGTGATTTCTTCCTTTTGACAATTGAGATTATTTTTCAGTTTCATTCTGTATAGTTATTTTTATTATCCTGAACTTGGATAGAGGCCTGTCTACACTCCAAAGATAATGTCTTTCAGTTCCTTTCTATAGACATATATGTAAATCTATACAGTTAATAAGTTCTAATATTTTATTTTCAAAATATCATCCTTTTAACAAACCATTACTGTTTCAGTTTAAAAGTTTAAATTCCCTTTTTCCCCATAAAAATGATAAAAGTTAAAAAAAAAAAAAAAAGAGCTAACACCAAGTGGCTTTACATGTGATGGTGACATAGACTTTTGAGAACACAAAGAATAAAATAATACTTACTTTTTCAAGCCAATACAGAGATGTGTGAAATGTAGAAGCACCGAAGTTTTCTCCGGAAGAAGGTGAAGGGTAAGGGTGTGGTAAATTCAATCCCAAGTAAAGGACAAATGGTTTGGTGTAGTTAATGGCTTCCTGTCTTAGCCAGTCGATCGCTTTGTCTGTGTTCTGCCAATCCTTTTCCATCACTCTCCTTCTATTCTTATCAGGGATGAGATTAACCACAGGCCTGCCTTCTTGTCTAAGCAAGAATGCAACATCTCTTGTCCATGCTTCCACACGATTACTGAGGGTGTCAGAACACAGCCGTATCAGAAAACACTCATGCAGTCTTAGAAACTGCCTAAACAAATGCCGGGAAGCAACAGGGGAAACAGTTCTACGACTCACTTATTTAAAAACTGTGGAAAACAACTGAACATTTGTATTAAAATTATTGCAAATTGCTTAGGCTAGCTATTTTTCCTTAGAGAAAGATATTTAGGTGTGCTGGCTTGTCTTATGTCAACTTGACATAAGCTACCGTTATCTGAAAGGAGGGACCCTTAATTAAGAAACTCCTTCCAGGGGCTGAAAAGATGGCTCAGAGGTTACAAGCATTGATTGTTCTTCCAGAGGTCCTGAGTTCAATTTTCAGCAACCACATGGTGACTCACAACCATCTATAATGAAATCTTATGCCCTCTTCTGGCATGCAGGCATACAAGCCAACAGAACACTGTATACATAATAAATAAGTAATCTTAGAAGAAAAGAAAAAGAAAGATCCAGCTTTAAGGCATTTTCTTAATTACTGATTGATGGGGAAGGGCCAAGCCCATTGTGGGTGGTGCCAGCCCTGGGCTGGTGGTCCTGGGTTCTATAAGAAAGGAGGTTGAGCAAACCATGGGGAGCAAATCTGTGAGCAGCAGCTCCCCATGGCCTCTGCATCAGCTCCTGCCTCCAGGTTCCTGCCCTGGTGGAAATTCCTGTCCCGACTTCCTTCAGTGATCAACAGTGCTGTGGAAGTCTGAGCCAAATAAAGCCTTTTCTCCCTGAACTGCTTTGGTCATGGCGCTTTATCACAGTGATAGTAACCCTAAGTAAGACAGTACTTAAAGTATTTCATATTCCTAGCATTTTTTCCCATTGAAGTTTTTTAGCATTTTAGTATCTTTCTCTCAGAAGCGAATATTTCTAACCAACTTTCTTATTCATTAGAATCTAGGCATGTTTCTATCTTTGTTGCCTGACCTACATATTAATGACTTAACTTATTTTTTGGAAGTGTTTATTCTGTATCCAATGCTATTTGATGTTTTCAAGAAATGTCCAGGTTCATGAAGCTGACATTGCTGCTTGCAGAGCATACTCAGCATAGCCAAGAATCTTGTTTTATAATCTTTATTAGTATACGTGCTTTTCAACTGCTCTATCAGATTAGAAATATTTTTGATGAATCTAGAGAACAACCCCAACAGAATATATTTTATATTAAAACATAATACTCTGAAGAAATCTCAGACCAGAAAATGACTGATGGCCCATGGGGGCAAGCCTTTAATCCCAGCATTGGAGAGGCAGAGGCAGGTGGATCTTTGTGAGTTTGAAGACAGCCTGACCTCAAAGTGAGTTCTGGGACAGTCAGAACAGTTACAAAGAGAAAGTTTGTTTCAAAAGAAAAACAAAATTTCTGTTCACCTGCTCATTGACGGCAGATAAAGAAATAGAAGCAGCTATAATAAAAAGATTTTTCACAGTAGTTAATATATTTTAATAAAAATACCAAAAAGCAGAATTTTATCAGAATTACATCTAACAAATGCTAATTAATTCTAACAGATGGGGGACTGCAAAGTAAGATTTTCTGGGTAAAATTCACCACAGTATAAAGGACTGACATTAGCTCCTCAGTCTTTTGATTGCATCATTGCTAAGCAATGGCATTATATTAGAGGCAGGGTTTTAGGGTCCGTAACACCCCTGGTATTAAGGGGGGGGGGCAACATGTTTGAACTCAGAAAGGATGCGAGGAACTGAAGCTTCCTTGTTACCTCTGCAGTGTTCTCTGGGAAATATTACTGAGAAATTACTAAGAAATAAAGCTGCATCACAATGTGACCAGCAGCTCATCTTTGGGATGAGCTGTAGACAAGTACTCTGATCATGCCAGTCTCATTTAACCCATGATTCAGTCAGGGAGACTCCAAACCAAGGGAAGATCACCAACCTGCTGGTCAACTTATTAAATCAAGCGTTTTCTTTGGTCAAATTACAAAAAGCTGCTAAAGCAAGCCAGCTGTATCTTTTTCCACATAAAGAGCAAATGTGACTGTATTTTAGGTTTTTGTTCACTCCGCATATTTTTATTTTTTATGTTGCTGGGATTCTTTTAACCTGTTATGTTTTCAATTTTAAATGCCACTCTATCCTGAAGACTTGGAGGCCAGCCTGTGGTGCCACTGGGAGGCAGTGAAACTTTTCTGAAGCAGAAGAAGGTGAGGTCACTGGGCACTGTTGTGAAATATGACATTTTCTCTCTCTTCCCTTTCTTTGTTCCCAACCATTGTGATGTAGGCTTTCCCTACTGCACACTCCTGCCATGATGCTCTGATTCACCACAGACCCAGACAAGCAGCCGATGTACCACAGACTAAAACATCTGAAATCTCAAGCAAAATCTTTCCACCTTAACAGTTGATCTATCTCAGGAACAGCAATGAGAGATGTTACTAACATGGTCCTCTTACTGGTACAATGTTTCCATCCTCTTACTGGTACAATGTTTCAGTCTTACTGTTTCAAATTAAGTTAATTATGGCCTGGTTTTATCATCACAGACCGCTTTAAAATTTGACTTTATTTTCACCCTTCACAAAACTGTGATTTATTCCTCGCTAATACAGATGGGAAATAAAACTACCTAACACACCACCACCAACTAATTACTGCACGAATTTGTCTGCGTGGGTTTTCTGTGCCAGATCTCCTGCTGTAACACTGGGTACAATTCATAGGTAGCAAGGATTAATTTACATCGTAACAAGTCCGTCTGAAGAAAAACTACACTTTACAATCAACTGTGAGGAATGAGCTTTCTTTCAATATAAAGTAGCAGCATATAGAAGCTGCAGTCTCCCAGGGACCCTGTCAGCCTAAATTCCAGCAGCTCTGTTTCCCCCCCCCCCACCCTTTACCCCCCTTCACTGTTTTTGTTGGAACTGAAGAAGCAATAATTGTTTTGTATAGAAAAATGATAGTTCTAAAATTTCCCTTCCAAATTTCTGAACCAATCTGATAAATTCTATATTAAAAAAGGAACATCATTCCCCATTGGCTGCTCCTTTTTTCATTATGACTAAACTTCAGATTTGTTCTTACTTTCCTTTTTTATATCAGAGACTAAATTTCTATGTTCTAACTTTGATCAGCAATTATGAAAATTCTGGCATGAAGTGTGAGTTGGACTTATGATCCTTTACAGAGCTTCAATTGAGAAAGAAAATAATAATAATAATAATAATGATGCCACAAGGAAATGGAGCCAGCATCATGTAGGGTCATGGCTAGAAGTGATGTAGTTAAACAAAATGCAAGGCCCAGAGTAGATCAGAAAATGAAGTCATGAGTCAGGTTACTAAAGATCAAAATGCCATCAATGCCTGCTGCTGGAGCCATTAAATCTGTACTGGATTCAAAACCATTTCCTAGTTCCATTGAGAGAACTGTGTGATAGGCCTCATTCGAAGACTGATCCAATCCCTAATCAATGCATACAATTCCTTATATTACAGTCATGTTCTTGATACCGAGAACCACCCCCCCATCTTGTGTATACATTTTATAGAAACATTTCATGGCATTCCAGAAATAAGAATATTGTCTTAGTTACTTTTCCATTACTGTGATAAAACACCATGACCAAGGTAAGTTATATAAAAGAATTTATTTGAGGTTTATAGTTTCAGGGAGTTATGACCATCATGGCAGGGATCATGGTAGCAGGCAGACAGACATGGTGCTGGAGCAGCAGCTTAGACATTACTTCTCAGTTCATAAGCAGGAGGCAGAGAGTGCTAATTGGGAATGGCATGCGCTTTTGAAACCTCAAAGTCTACCTTCAGTGACACACCTTCTCCAAGGCCATACCTCTTAATTTTTCCTTAACAGTTCCACCAAAAGGGACCACGTTTTAAAACATATGAGCCCATGTGGGCCATTCTCATTCAAACCCCTACATTCCACTCCTTGGCCCCGATAGGCTTGTGGTCATACATCATTAATGCAAAAATTCATTTAGTCCAACTTAAAAAAAGTTCTCATAATCTATCACAATCTCAACACTTTAAAAGACCACAGTCCAAAGTCTCTTCTGAGATGTACGACAATCTCTTAACTATAACACCCTATAAAATCACAATCAACTTATACACATTACCATTCTAAAAGAGAGGATGGGGCATACTGGAAATATTAAATCCAAGCAAACCAGAACCTAGCAGGACAAACTCTAAATCCTGTAGCTCCTTGTCTGTAGTCAAAGGGCTTAGATGGTGTCACATGTCCAGATTTGCTGACTGCATCACACTTCTATTAGTCTGGTCCCTCTCCCGGTATGCAGCTGTCCCTGGCAGACATCCCACAGCTCCCGTGTCTCTACTGCCACCAGCATCTAGGCTTCACTTTTATAGCTTCACCCACCCAATGGCCTCTCAGAGCTTCCATGCAGGGGCTTCCCTTCCATACACCCGGCCGTGGCTGGTTTCCTTAATCTCTGAGGAAGATTCCATAACCCTTTACTCCTGTATCCTTCAGAACTCTAAAACCCGAAGCAAGTGGCTTGTTGCTGCCAAGTTTGTGTGCTTGCTTGGGATGGACCGTGGCCCCTCCCTGAATTATATTTGCATAAGTTCTTCTTGGTAGCAGCTTTTTAGGAGGAAATCCCTCTTGTCCACAAGTTGCAGGGTTAGCTGAGTAAGGTCTTGCCTGAGCCACTCCCATTATGCCATATCACTCCAGGCCTCTCAACTCTCTCAGCATCTGCTGAGGCTCTATCATTAAATCTCTATCATTCATCTAACTGTACATTTTGTATTTCCTTTTGTCCTGTTCATTCTCTTTTTAAATAGACCTGCATAAGAGCGATAACAAATAGTCATACCACAGAGTCAACATTAGGTTGTCTTGAAATGTCCTGGGCCAAGAAAATCAATTCATTGTTTTTCAGTTTAGCCTCAGGCAAATTTTGGGGACAAGGGCAGGAAACAGCCATATCTTTACCAAAATATCACAAGAATGGTCTCTAGCCCAGTTTCTAATATTGTTCCCCTCTGAAACCTTGAGCTGGACTTCCATAAGTCCACACTGCTTTCAGTACTACTGTCTTCCAAGCTCCTACTAGGATGTCCCACTAATTCCCATTTATGGCTTTCCTAATCCATGGTCTCCAAGTTTTCCACATTCCTTCCAAAAGCAGCATGAGCAGACCTCTCTCTGCAATAGCTTACTGCCTGGTTTCAGTTTCTGTCCTAGTCACTTTTTGATTGCTGTGATAAGACATTATGACCAGGGAAACTTATAGAAGAGCATTTATTTGGACTTATAGTTTCAGGGGGTTACAACTATCATGGCAGGGAGCCTCATGACAGCAAGCACAGCGCTAGAGCTAGAGCATTAGCTAAGGGCTCACATTTCCATCCATAAGCGTGAGGCAGAGAGAAGTAACTGGGAATTGTGTGAGCTTTTGAAAGATCAAAGCCCACTCCAATAACATACCTTCTCCAATCAGTCTTCACCTTCCAACCTTTGCCACATAGTTCTACCAACTGGGGACCAAGTTTATAAATATACGAGCCTGTGGAAGCAGCTCTCAAGAGAAATTTGTGCAATTCCATAAAAATAGCGAGGACCATAAATCACTTTAGAAAGGCAGGAGTTGTAAGGCTTGTTGACTGGATTCCACATCACCCAATCTTTCCCACAGAATGGATGTTTTCTCTGTACCAGGCACTGCTACACACTTAACTTTCATTTATTCCTGTTACAGTATCTTTACTTTTAACCCAGATAAGACTCAGATGTTCAATGAGTGATTAGATGCCAACTTATATACAGAAGCCCCACACTTAGACAAGTTAAGGAACTTGCCCAGGACGAGAAGGATGGTACACAGGGTAACACTACTCACACATTGTGTGCTGTCTGCACACCTCTCTGTGCTACATTCTCAAAGCAAAACAGAACACAGGGGGACTCCTACCCAAAAGACCCAGTTTGTACAGCAGTCCCTGGTGAAAATCACATCAATTTTAGTAAGATTAGGTACTGTAGGAGAGCATGACATGAAATCAGTCGGTAAACAGGCGTGGCCTTAGAAACCATGCTGCAGATGTGGGATTCTAATGAAATCAGAGAATAGTAATGCACGGATCCAAAGCATGTAAGTTATGTGACTGATCAGTGTATATTTAAAGATCACCATTGAGGATGATGAGATCACCCTGAGGTCATTTTGATAACTCAGGCAGGAATGACAGGAGTCTGGTGGGTGCAGTAATCGAAAACGATGGGGATGCTTTATAGTAGAACTGACAACACTTGGTGATGAAAGACAGAGGGAGACTGGGGATGTTACCATGACTTCTGAATTTGTAGGGTGGCTATATTTTAGGTCTTAGACGCAGAAAAGGAGGGAAATTTAGTATTAGAAAGAACAATAAAATAATACTCAGATTATTCTAGTTTTAACACTCAGATAATTCCAGTATTAATACTCAGATTATTCCAGTATTAATACTCAAGATTATTCTAGTATTGGTTTAATTGCAAACTCACTGCACTATGTTCTTAGGGCCTGCTTAAAAGATACCATAGAATGAGTCCCTTAAAGCAGCACATACCTCTAGAGACTAAGTCACTTAAAGCAGCAGTCACTTCCACACCTCCAGAGACTGCCTGAAGCTAGTGTGTCCACAGAGCAAGCTAGTGTGTCCGCAGAGCAAGCTAGTGTGTCTGCAGAGCAAGCTAGTGTGTCCGCAGAGCAAGCTAGTGTGTCCGCAGAGCCACACACTCCTCTCCAAGGCTCTCTGCGAGACTGTTTACTGCCTTCCTGGTTTATGACTTCAGGGATTCTGTCACATTACCTAACTTCTTCTGGTGTCACTCCAGTCCCTGCTTCTGACCTTAACTGTCCCCTTGTGCATGCATGCCTTTCCCCTTCTAATAACAGTGTAAGGCACTGCATTTAGCATTTATCCTAACTACAGAGTTTGTCTTCTTGAGACCTTTAACCAGTTAACATCTGTAGTTAGGATCTATTTCCAAATAAGATAGCATTCTACAGACCCAATGCTCATGAAGTCTGGGTGGAACATTGTTCATCCAGTTTTCAGTTCTTTCACTTATCATCAATGTTATTATCATTGTAACTCTCAATGATCACTTACTGGGCACAAGGTGCTGCCTAGTCTTATGTTTTTGTTGGGAGTCCCAAGTGTTAGGGAAAGGAAGGTCACACCCAGGAGGAACTGCAGGACTTGGGATACCTTTTTACATCAAAGTGCACAAAGCAAAATTGGCACAAAGAGATGCACAGGGTGAAGACCAATGCAACCAGGCACAGGCTTCCAGGCAGAGAGCTGGGGTACCCAGATTCTTCCAGTACGGAACTGTGACTACAGGGGTGAAGCGCTGTTGCGATTCAAAGCATGTGAAGTATTATTTTGACTTAAGAGAACTAGTACTCCGGTTCTTACTGAAGGCTAATCATGTGGGCACCTTGGACCAACCCCATACCAAACTTCTTGTCTCTGAAGAAAGCTGATTGTTTGACAAAAATCACACTATACAAACATTTCTTTGGGTCATGCTTACTAGTTACAGAACAGTGGAAAACACCCCTGAAACTCAAGTTCCCATACACCAGCCAGGGCCAATCATTTGGGTAGGCAAATATCTTTAAGGTAAGTTTCAGGTCTGCATGTCAGCACTTTACTGCACTAATTATCTAGTTTAGTCATCACACAACCACACAACCACAAGTTTAGTAATAATTACCGGAACTAGAATTCAAAATTAGGCAATCTAGTTCTACATCTTCACACTTCCCCACAATGCTTAGCTGCTCATTGATTTTTTGGTGGTGTGGGTACAGCCCAGGGTCTTGTGCATGTAAGTACATTCGCTACCACTGAGCCAAGCCCCTACTAAGATAGCTGCCTACCTTTTGAAGGTTTACTAAAATGAAAGAGAAGTTACAGTAGCTTCAAGTTCTAGAGAACTGTCAATGGCAAATAGCAAGAAGGCTACTGTTACAAAGATTGTAAAATGAAAAAAAGGTAATTCATGACAGAAAAATCACAAAATAATTCACAAGCTAAGCTATTTCACAAATATTAAGATCCATTAATTATAGATATTAATGTTTTAGACAAAAACCCATCTGGATATTATCCATTTTAATATTTTAAGAAGGTTAAAGGAAGTTAAGCTTTAGCCAAAATTGGCATAATTGAGGAAGTAAGAAAATTATTTTCAACCTTGTGATAAAGTAAGTATAAAAAGAGTACACGAATGTGTGACAGCAGAGGCTAGTGTTGGATTGATTTTGCCTGTTTTAATTTTTACCTAACGGAATGATGTCCTGAAGTATAGTCCAGTTTTCCAAACTTTTGAGTCTGATAGCCGTGCTTCTCCATGACATCCATCCACGTTGTGTAATTTGGATCGAGACCCTTAAAATTATTCCAAGATTCTGTTAAGTGAGTGAAGAGGCCACTCCACATTGCTGAGGGGAAAAGAGACATAAAAGAAGCTGATTAAGGTAGAGCCTAACAGTTTAACTATAAAAGCAGTTACTCTGAGAGTGTGGCTGGATGTTTTACAGTATGTGATCTGGAATAAGAAAGGCCATCAGCTGCAGCAGTTCCCAGACATTTCTCATTGCTACTTATTTTATCAGAGGGAAAGCCCTACAAAGAGTTTGTATTTCTAGTCTTCAGACGAACCCACCAAGGCCTAGAAGTCGATTAAGGTATTTGTTATATTTATGGCTGGAATTAAATATAAAGCTTGCACATCATTAGTGTTTTTCAGTCATAAAAGCTACCTATTTTTTTCTAACTTTTTAAAGCATAAGTTAATGGACTGAAAGTTGTACACATTGTTCTCTGTAGAAGGGGACTTTTCTCCATCTTTTCCGGTTCCACTGGACCGGTTTTCTCTCTGCCCACCGGGTCCCTTATGGAATAACCACTCTGAGGCTGAATATCAGTTACTGTTGTTTGGCCAATGGCTTAGGCTTACCACTGGCTAACTCTCTCTTAAAATATTAACCCATCTCTACTATTCTATGTATCACCATATGCTTGTAGCTTACCAGTGATGCCCTGGCATGTTGCTTCCCTGGTGGCTACATAGCATTTGACATCATCCTCCTTCTTTCTCTATCTGTGTTTGGAATACTGCCTAGGTATATTCTTCCTGGCCCTTAGCTGAAACAGCTTTATTTACCAACCAATAAAAGCAACACACATACGCTGTATATAGAAGGGCATCCTATATCAGTTTCCCTTACATCTTCAAGGACTTTCCCATTCATTATCTTTTCACTAGGTTTTTCTAAGAAAAAGAAAAAAAAAAAAGATGCTATGTGTTCGCTCCTTTTCTTAAACCTTAATAAATGCTTCTTTTCCTTGTCTCCTTTCTGTGTACACACATAGTAGGCTGGATAGGTGTTCTTTCCTCTGTATGTGCATGTGCATGTCTAGGGTGTCTTCTTAAACAGTTTTTGAGATAAGGTCTCTCTCACTGGACCTGGAGCTTGCTGTTTGGCTTGACTGACTAGTCAGCAAGCCCTAGGGATCATTCTGTCTCTGCCTCCCCAGTGCTGGCATTCCAGGCATGCACTGCCACACCCAGTTTATTATTAACTTTTTAAACAGACAGTGCTGAGTATTCAAACTCAGGTCTCATGTGGGCAAGTGAGCCATCTTCCAAGCCCCTCTCTTCTTTTTTGATCTACGAAAATACTTCCTGAGAGGTGGGGTTTGAATCACAATAACCATAGTTCTGGTATGTCCTCTCATGTCATTTGACCTTTTTGTTTTAATTTTCTTCAGCAAACTGGGCTAGTAACAGTAACCATGATCCTGGAAGTGTGAGGATTATATTATACAACAAATATTAGAAGATATTTAGAATATCACCAAATATAACAAGAATACACTAATCATTTTTATCACTATTATTCCTTGTCAAAATATGCTTTTTTTTTTTTAAAGGAAAGACATCTTAGTGAGACTTCCAGAGTTTACTAACAACTTTCTCATTTGTTATTGCAATTGACAGCCATGTTCATTGTGAGAGCTGCAGCACCCTTAGTATTCTGTAGATGAGGAAACTGGGTTACTTCTGGTATAGGGTTCACTGACTTTTAGAATCATCTTAACCCTAGCTCGGGCTCCTTCTAGTCAACACAGCATAGAAGTTAGCAAACATGATTTTACATATAATGTCTTTTGTTACTGAAATATTAATTAGGTTAACATAGGTTTCCTTTAACCATTTATCTTTTCACAAAGAATTTTTGTAAGTTTCAGGGAGCTGAATTGGGTCCATGCAAACAGGTCAGATTCACTCCAGATAAATATTATTCAATCTTTCCCTGGCCCCAGGACTTCCTTCTCTTATCTTGAGACCCCTCAGGGAACACCTCCCTCATCTTACAATCCTTAGGTCCTTACCAAGACCTAAGAAAAAATTTTTTTCTTAAACTTAACCTTGTTCTCTGCTCTGCCAACATCTTGCCAGGTCTAAGAGTTCCATACAGCCTGGACAGCAGTTGAAATCAGCTACCCTAGAACATGGCAGCACCCCAGCTTTCTCAGGTCCCCCAAAGATGGTCGATGCCCCCCAGGTCAGCAGAGAACACAACACCTGTATTTCCTAACCTGCTACGCCTAACTTCTCACTTTTTAAATAATAAATAAAGGTGGAAATCTAAGGATTCAGGCATTATGCTGGCCTGCCCCTGTCACCTGGAAGACTACATTCAGGCAGTACCCTGGTCAGCCCAGGGTTCTATGGCTACATAGTCGGCAAGCAGGTGCAAAGGACCCTTTAAAAGAAAGACCCCACCTACTTATGCTCTCTTTCCTGCTGTTCCCCTGGGGCAGACAGAACTTTTCCTGTCTCCCTCTTCTCTTCTGTCCTCTCTGTCTATGTGTCTCTTTATGTCTGCCTGTCCCTCATCTTAGTCACCCTTGCCTGCCATAGAATCCGGCAAGGTCCTCCACATGCATTATCATAACAGATAGCTCTAGAAATAAAGTGAAGGTGTTTATAACTGAAACCATAGACTATCATCTCAGTGGCTCATAAAGAAACTAAACTGTTCGTGTTATTTACAGGTTCCATGGCAGAAATCACAGACCATTTGGACAGAGGCAAAGGAGATCACCCTCAGACAAGATTCTTAAAACCAAATTTTCATTTTCTAAACTTATGGCTTATGGTTCCTGCCATACTTGACATCAAAACTATGCACATTTTAAAAAATTGTTGCAATAAGATGAGTGCTTAGATTTGTTATTTTTGTAAATTGGGGCAGAAGAGAAGGAGGTGAAATGTATAGACTGAAATCATTGGGAAAACTCCAGACAAGCATGAATGTGAGTTCTGCCTGGGAAGAATCTCCGAAAGTCTGCTGACTCTTTCCTAAACCCTCACAGAAAGACTTCCTGGGATTAGAACACTATGAAGCATGAATCATATGAAGAAATGAAATAGCAACACAGGAACTAGACAGCATCCCAGGCAAGAAAAAGCCCCTCTTCAGAAAAATAAAAAAAATCAAATTCAATTCTAAAACAAAGTCTTCAGAAAAATTAGAAATTCATATGACCCCAACATTCACATCTTCTAAATCATTTATATTGAAATATTTTTATTAGGTACTAGATGTGAGCTTACCATAGGTTTTTGTATATGACATTTTAAGTCTGGATATCCTTTTAGGGCTCGGCCCCTTTCCATTAACATTATCACATTCATACCTGCACGAGATGGACAGCAGATGGGAGAGTTTGTGTAGGCATTCAGGAAGGTGGTGCCATGCGTTCTCATGAAGTTGATAAAGGGAAGTTTTACTACCCGACTTCCTGGTTGAAATGTTAGTCGTCCATCCTGAAATAAAGAAATTCAAGCACCAGTGATCACCTAATACATAGAGGATAGAGGACAATTTTATTCATCCATCCTCACTCTTCTACTTTAATTTTTATTGTGCAGATAGCAAACTCAGGTCGTCAGGCTTGTGCGGCAATCCATTTTTGCCATCTAAGCCACCCCATTCCCAACTATGACTCTCTTCTTCCATATAACCACCATAGGCTTGCAATAGAGGTAATGGCAGCAATGCTGTTTTCATTTCTATCCCTAGACTGCATATGAAAGTGTGCTAGTTTATGATGCTGTTTCATAGAGGTATTACTCAAACTTAAATCAATATTGGGCTTCAAGAACCAAAGACAGGAAGCTAGAAAATTCAGGTTGTTAAATCAAGAACAAGATCATGGGATGCTAAAATCCAAAGATGAACTTGAAGAAAAAGAAGAAGGGGGAGGAGGAGAAAAAGGAGGAGCAAAAGAAGAAGATGATGATGACATAAACTCATTGAATAAAAATTATTACTTCTTATCATTGACATACATAAAAATAAATTTGTTTAGGGGCTAGAGAGATGGCTTATCATCTGGGAGCACTTACTGCTCTTCTAGAGGACCTGGGTTTGGTTTCCAGTACACAAGTAGTGGCTCCCACCTGTTTGTAACTCCAGTTCCAGTTCGATACCCCCCCCACCAAATATTTTCCCTTTAATTTTAAACACAAAATTTACTACCCCAAGAACTTCAATATGTTTGTCTGAAATCTCAAAAAGAATAAAAAGCAAACACAGAGGTATGCCATAAGGGTCCAGTACACAAATAAAATTTGAAAGTGTTATGCTGAAATTCATTTGCATTTATTACGTTAAAGTACTTTTTGGAAAGTACTTCTCGGAGAATGAAGAAAGGACTTATACATTATTTCAACAAACTTTAAGTACCTATGTGCTTATGTATTAGGCACCTTGCAATATCTGAGGATACAATGGCGATATAAAACAGAGTTCTATTCCCAGGAAACTAGCACCCTGTTGAGAGAGGTAGAAAGAACATTAGCAAGTTATTTTTTGAATACTTATATGAATTACTTGTGTAATCTGCACAAACATGCACTTTTTCCTTTGGAACAGGGTCTCATGTATCCCAGGCAACCTCTGACTTTCTATGATGACCTTGAACTTCTGATTCTCAGTCAGTCACCACCTCCTGAGTGTTGGGATCAGAGAATGCATTACTATACCCTTATTATTTGGTGCTAGTGACTGAACCCGGGATTTTTTTGCCTGCTTAGACAAGTACTGTACTAAATGAATTATGTCACAGCTGTGGCTATAAAGTCTAACAAATTCTAATTGCTCCTTCTGAACCATTATAATTCTGGCCAAGAAGGATCAAAAGAGAAGTTTAGATTTCAAGTGTTGTTCTAGTTTCATTCTGTTGTTGTGACAAACATAACCATGATCCAAAGCAATTTATGGGGAGAAAGATTTATTGTTTCCAGGTCACAGTCCTACTGAAGGAAGTTGGGGCTGGAACTCAAGGATGATCCCGAGGAGCAGAAACCATTCAGGAATAATGTTTGCTGGACTGGTTTCTGGCTAGCTCACTCATCATTTTATGGTTAATTAGTATCCTCCCCTACCCCCTGTTTTTTAAGACCTCAAAGCCTGACCCCATGGTGGCACACTTCCTCTAACGAAGCCACACCTCCTAACTGCGCCACTCCCTTCCAGGCCATTGTTTTTCAAACCATCACACCACTGTAGCTGCAACAGTGGGAGGTGCAGTGTATGTGGATGTGGGGGTTCGAGGGTCCCTTGTCCTTAAAGGCCCAGGCAGAAGTGCTTTTTATCTTTTCTTAAGAAGAAAAACATTTATTCAGATAGAATTTACATACAACTTACTTGTTTAAAGTGTGTAGTTCAAAGGTTTTTTTTTAGTATATTCAGAATGTCATTTAGAACACCTTCATCATTCCCAATAAAACCCTTAGCCATCACCCCGGACTTACCCAAAACTGAGGCAACTACTAACTTATTTCCTGTCCCTACACAAGTGCTTTCTTTGGATATTTCATATAAATGGATTCATATAAAATGTAATTCATCATTTCTTTTACTGACAGCATACAGTTTTTTTATGTTCAACAACTTTGTAATATGCTTGAGTTTTTGTATTTCTGTTTTGGTTGCTGAATAATACTACTAAATTTCATTTATACACTTATCAGTGGATGGACATTTAGGCTGCTTTCACTTTTCATCTTCTAGCATAATATTACTATGAACAGTCAAGCTTTTGTATGGACTATGTTTCCATTTGCCTTGGACAGACACAAACACAGACACGCATGAACGCGTGTTCTTTCTCTCTCTCTCCTAAGAATAGAAGTGCTGGATTACATAGTAACTCTATAGTTAATTACTGGAAAAATTTTTAAATGCTTTTCCAAGGTGGCTTCACCACTTTAAAGAGTATTTTCAATAGCAGTGCACGAGGTTTCCAATTCCTCAATATTCTCACAAACTCTGGTCATTGTCAATTTTGTGAGTTTGTTGTGTGTGTGTGTGTGTGTGTGTGTGTGTGTGTGAGAGAGAGAGAGAGAGAGAGAGAGATTAGTATATGGAAGAACTTTTTATCATATAGTAACTGTTCAAAATAATAAATAGATGTTATTGCAACAGTTCTATGCTTTGATCGTGTTTGCACCCACATCACCTCCCACCCCCTCCCCTCCTGTGGCTCCCTGTATCTTCTCGAACACCCCCACATAGTTTTATGCCTTTTTGATGTTGGCTATCCTTCTGGGAATGAGCTGGTTTGACCTACATAGGGTCTTACTATGGTTTCATCTGATATGCAGTTTCCTAATGATTACCAATGCTAAGCAACATCTCATGTGTTTAATAGCCATCTGTGTACATTTTATGGGAAAATGCCTTTTCAAATCCTTTGCTTATTTTAAATAGCCTAATCTAAGATTATGAAAATTTATACTCCCATCTTGAAGGAGTCTTAGCTTTTACATTTAACTCATAGACTCATTTTTTGAAGTTAATTTTTGCACATGTTAGAAGGTAGGACTCAATTTTGGTCTTTTATGTGTGGATATTCAATTTTCTCAGCACTTTGTTCATAGCAATTTATTAAATCTCTTTTGATCTAAATAGTTATCTTTCTGCCTATAACATACTATTGTAATTACTGTAACTTTGTCATAAGTTTTGAAATTGAAAAGTATTATGTCTTGCAGTCTTCTTTTTCAAGTTTTTTTTTTCTTTTCAATTAAGGGGTCCTTTCAATTTCCATATAATGTAATTCAAATTTAAGGTCATGCATACACATACAACTTCTTTAAAATATAAGAAAGTACAGTAAATCATAACAACTAACATTTAACAATTTATTAAATGTATAGATCAGTGGTTCCCACTCTTCCTAATACTTCATCCCTTTAATATATTTCCTTATATTGTGGTGACCCCAAACAATAAAATTATTTTGTTGCTACTTCATAACTAATTTTGCTACTGTTATCGATTGTAATGTAAATATCTGATATTTCCGATGGTCTTAGGCAACCCCTGTGAAAAAGTTGTTTGACTCCCAGACGGTCACATGCGCGACTGATAGGTTGAGAACCACTGATATAGATAATTAAATTTCCTTCATTTCTCACCCAACATTAACTTTTGCAAGTGTGGGTGACTGGCACGTCATTCTGGAAAACGAATAAGCTTTTATGAAAGTGCGTAATGCATTTCCCTTCAAAACTGTGTTAATCCAGGACACAGGCTAAACATTAATTAATAATGGCAAAAATGCTTTAGTGGATCTGTCTGGCATTAAAAGTGCCTGTGGGCCGCGGGTGTGTAGTCTCCCTAGAGAGGCTGAGGCAGAAGAATCACTAGAACCCAGGAGTTTGAGACCCTCTTTTTACTATTTATTTACATATATGGACACAGGTGTGCAAGAGTGCACATGCTGGACCTCTCAAAAGAGAGTGTCAGGCTCTCTCTGATGCCTCTCCACAGGCCTTGGGTGGCGTCTGCTCGCCTTCCTCAGGGCACTTACGAAGGAGTCGCTGGCGACGAGCACTATGTTGGGCGCCCGGGTCACTTGCAGCTTCTGCTCCTGTATTCCCGGGGTCGGCGCCGCGAGCGCCGACGCTGTGACCGCGGACACCCACAGCAGCAGCATCGTCGGCAGGGGTGTCCAGACGCGGCCACCGAACCCGCCTCCTCTAGACTGCTATCCAGCAATGGGACCTGAACTGTTCAGATCCCACCTAAATAACTAGGGTGGCACCGCGAAACTACAACTCCCATCAGGCTAAGAGCAGGCGCACGCGCAACGAGAGAGTCGCGCTCTCACTTAACCCATGTAAAGACCATTTTAATCAAATTTCGAGCTAATGATCCGTCAGCCACTTCCTCTCACCCAAGCGATGCCTGGGGAAATGCGCATGCGCCTCCCAGATTTGTACTTTGTGGCAGTCCTGTATGCTCCAGGTGGGTTCTGGTTGCTTTCGCTTTGAGCAGAAGTTAAAATCTAAAGGCAGTTGAAATGGTATTTAGGGGGAGAAAGGATTGGGCTGGGGTTATCTTCCTTTTGCGCGGGACAGCGTGGCTGAATGTTCGCTGACATAGTGAACTTGGCGGAGATGAGGTTGGTAGCGTTTTGCCTCTCAAGCTGGATGGGGCTGTGCCTCTGTGGCCTAAAGCCTGGCCACCGCAGGTGTGGGCTGGGCAGTGGTTTGCATCTCCTGTGGCTCCAGAACCCTGATCATGCAGCTTGTCTCATCGGATCGCCTCTTTTAAGGATAGGGGTGTGGAACAGTGAGTGCATAGCAAGTTTCAGTTTCCCGATGTGGAATAGCTTGGCTGTCCTTTGCCTTTAGAGTCGCAAAGGGATAGGATTGGGGATGGGGGCGGGGTGGGTGAGAGAAAGAAAGGAAGAAAGAAAGAGAAAATGAAAGAAAGGAGCAGGGTCTAAAAGAAAGAAATGTGGGCTGTTAATTAACGAAGGCTCGGAGTGCCATTGTTGGGTGCAGAATAACGTTATTCCATTTTTGATTGTTAGATTCCTTTGGAGAATTCTGGAAGAAGCAAGTTTCTGCCTCAAAGTCAAAGTATTCACTTATAGCTTCAGGTATATGTAATTGTACATTAAATCAATTGTTTTTAATTTTCTGGCAGGAAAGGAGGAGTTGTTCTACTTATTTAAAAACTTAACTGTAATAACTTGGCAGCATTTTGTACTGAATAATTATGAGGGAAATACCCTACATATCTAATTTGCGGTGGTATGTGCTGAGTGTCCTTTTAAGCCTTACTGTGTATTTACTTACTATGTAACATGCTTTTCTGTAGCCTTCACTTGAACTACTTTGCAGACGGTAAAGCAGATGGGAGAGGTTAAATGACTTTTCCAGGGTTTTTTTTTTTGCAAGGAAGCTATTCAAAGAATAAATTGATTAGCCCGTGCCCTAACTCATAAATACTTTGTCTCCAGTTGCAAATTTTTTGGCCCTACTGAGTTTCATCTCTATTAGTGAAGCAAATCTGCTAGTCCAACATCACCCTATAGATGTGTGTGGATATGAATAAACACACCCTTTGTCCCTGAGGAATTTATACTCTTGGGGAGAAAGACCCAGCATACCTAAAATATCCAAGTACATTGCATTGGTGGATACACTCCACCAAATTGTGTTAAGTTAATTTGGAATGTAGAACATATTTTACAGAAGCAATATCAACTGGTATTTAGATTTACAAAAATCATATATAGTTTTCTTTTATGGCATAGTAGTGGTTCTTTGAACACTAACATTGGGGCCTTTGTTTCTTCAGGCCCTTGTCTTATTGACAAGAGGACATTTCTTCTCCTTCCTTCTTCCTTCTTCCTTCCTCCTCCTCCTCTTCCTCCTCCTCCTCCTTCTTCTTCTTCCTTCTTCCTTCTTCTTCTTCTTCTTCTTCTTCTTCTTCTTCTTCTTCTTCTTCTTCTTCTTCTTCTTCTTCTTCTTCTTCTTCTTCCTTCTTCTTCCTTCTTCTTTCCTTGTTTTGTCAGTGAGAGCAGGTGCTGTAGTGTGTTGATGCAAGATAGGTATTTTAGGGACCCAAAGACAGAGTGCTGCCAGGATCTAACAGGTTTCCTTTTTTCCATTTGATGTTCAGTGGGACCTATAATGTTCCTGCCTGGTGGATTGTTCAGCCTATACTGTAGCATGAATAGAATCTGAGACACTGCTCCTATTTATATACCTCTCTAGTGCTGGGATTAAAGGCATGAGCTCTGTTTCCCTTTTACACTCATTCATTCTCATGTAGCCCTAGGTGGCCTTCAGTTTACAGAGATCCATCTGCCTCTGTCCTGAGTTCTGGGATTAAAGGTGTGTGTCACTACTGCCCAGCTTCTGTGGTTGTGGCTAGCTTTGCATTCTCATCCTTCAGGCAAGCTTTATTTAATCATAAATAATATATCACCACACATATAGGTCTTCATCTTCCCTGATACTAACCTTCCTTTGAGTAGCTTGTTACACTTGTGTGTAGGTTTCAGTATTACAGTTCTGCTTTTATTTTATTTTTGAGGCAGGGTTTCTCTGTAGCTTTGGAGTCTGTCCTGGAACTCATTCTATAGATCAGGCTAGGCTCTGCCTCCCTAGCACCTCCTCCCAGCCAAGTCAGTCTACTTTTAAGCACTCGTTTATTCATTACTCTTCAATTTTGTATGGATAAAAGCCTGCCTTCATACTTCCTCTCCATTAGCTGTCTTTTCCCAGTTCTTCAGCTAGTTATAATTTTACTTCAGGGTTTTTTACTGTTTAATACCAGCCTTCTGAACATAGAATGTTTTGTTAACCACTGAGTTTACTCAATGAGCTGAGAAACTTTTTATGTGTGCATATGTTTATAGTTAGGTAGCATTCAGGATAGGAGTTCTGGTTTATGTCTGGTATAACAAAATACTATAACAGAAATGTATTTTCTCATAATCCCAGAATTTAGAAGTCCAAAATCAAAGAGTTGTCAAGTTTGGTTTCTTCTGAGGCCATTGCTACTGTCTTATCACCTCAGTGTGTTTTCACCTGAAATGTCCTCTATGCATGTGCATCCTGGTATGCCTAAATTTCTTTTAAGAGTGACGGATTGGATCAGGGTCTTCCTGCATAACCTCATTTAGCCTTCATTGCCTTTGCAGTTTGCAAATACAGTTGTATTCTGAAGTACTTTGATGTGTGAATTTTGGGGGTGTTGTATGTGTTCCTGTGAAAACATGAACAAACATCTGTTCACTCCAGAGAGGGCACCAGTGACAGATCAAAATAATTCTACTATAGTTCAGTGTGCTGAACTAATGAGTTTTGGGGCTTATTTACAGAATATAGTTGAGGGCTTACTTAGAGGACCATGAATGACTCAAAGGTAGCTGTATCACTGAAAAGCCCATTGCAGCATGGGTGATGATTTATAAAATCTGTGTTCTTGAAGCTCCCTGTACAACCTGCTCAGTTACTTGAAGAGTATCCTGCCCCATGTTTGCTACTGCATATTTGACTCTGGGGGGAGAAGCCTTGTCAATCATGTGAGTTTCAGGGGATTTCTGAGACTTGTGAGTTGTTTATTTCTTGAGCCTCTTAAGTTTCATTTACTTTCTGAGTCTTAAGAAACCTTCCTCTAGGATGGAATATTTTGATTTGGAAGAAATTACTATATAATGCAGGGGGCTACAATTATCCCCACAACAGGCTCAGATCTGTCTGTCTATCATTTTTACATCAAAAGCTAATGATTTTCATGTTAGGGACAGGTTGCTTTAGTTTAAAATACTCTGCTCTTTAGATGTTAGAGAGCTGCTCACTCAGTTGAACATTCTGGGTCTAGTTTATGGAATCTGCAGGTTTTTTTTTTTTTTTTTGTATACAGTGTTATGTCTGCATAGCCTGCAGACCAGAATTGAGTACCAGCTCTTATTACAGATGGTTGTGAGCCACCATGTGGTTGCTGAGAATTGAACTCAGGACCTTAGGAACCTTTGCAGGTCTTTTAATGTCTAAAGTAACAGCAGACTTTTCTAAAGAACTGCCAGTCAGTTTTGGGAAACAAATAGATATACATTCTTGTAAGTCCAATAAAACTTGTAAAGGTATTAAGAAGTATTGGTAATAGTTTAATTAAAAACATACATACACACACACACACACACACACAAAAAAAAGCAGTAATATCCCAAGTTATGTTCTGCTAGTGTTCTCAAAAAGGCAGCTGGTTGCTGCAGTTGGCTGTGTTGGGGTCACTGGATTTCCTAGAGGCTTTAAATGGCAGTATACATCTAGAGCAAAGAGTGTGATCTGTGTGGTAGACACAGATTTCCTGCACCATGGAGTAATGTCTTGAAGCATGAATAGATACATATAACCTGTTGAGGCAATTTATTGTTGCTCATTTGTATATATTTTTAGGGCTGATCACTTGGTATTGGATAATCAATCAGTGATCTCATTCCTCTTCCAACAGTCATGAATTGCTCTTCATCAGTAGGCAGAGAATTTTGAGATTTCCACCATTCATGTTGTCATGTTAGCTAGTGTTGTCATTACCCTGGTCTTGTTTAGGTAACCATATTGTTTTGAGTTCATGGGTACAGCTTCCCTGTCATACATAGGCCAACACATGTTTATACCAGATATACTGGTCCTCTAACTCTTATAATTTGATATCCTCTGGGTGAACCTTAGGTATAGTGGTCGTGTTGTGGATGTATCAATTGGGTTTGAGTAACCATAGTCAGTTTTTTACATTTTGACTAGGTGTGGCTTTTTGCTGTCTATATGTGGGAAGCAGTGTTCTCAGAATTGAGAGTTCTAAAGTCAAAACAGTTACCAATTCTGAAAGATTTTGAAGGTACTCTGTATCCTGCAGTATCCAATATCCATTGAAGATTTAAATCTTTGTCTAGGAATAAACATTCGTTTTACTATTATGCAAATATTCTTTGTGATTTAATAAGTTGTGTATATACAAAGAATTGTTTTAAAGTAAACTTTATGCTTTACTCTCTAAGTATTCGATTTGTATACCTTTGTTTATGTGCCTGAATACTCAGGGTTGCATAAAATTTTATAGGTGAAGGGAGTCATGATTAAAAGCAGCCTACGTCCTCGTTTAAACCAGTTCAGAAATTTGGAGATGCAAATCAGTGTCTCTTTGGGAAAGAGAAAAGATTAAAATCATGTAGAACTATTTCTCATGTTTTAAATTGCGATCATGATGAATCTGATTTTAAAAAGCTTTGGAAGGTTTTGGGTGTCTTATATCACTAACTCATGGTTGTTTTTACTTAATTTAGATGAAAAATGGATAAGGAACAATTGCACATTCAGTTCAGGAAGAAGTTGCAGGTGTGGTAACAGGTAAGAGATGAGTGGCATGCTAAATAACAAGCAGTCAATCTGTCTTAGGAATCCTTTCCAATTCCTTCAATAGAAGGACTAATGATAGATTATTATTTATTTATTTATTTATTTATTTGTATTATACTACAGGTCAAAACAAATATGTGGTATTTTGAATGTAATTGGCTCCCATAATCTCACAGGGAATGGCATTGTTAGGAGGTGTGGCTTGGTTGGGGTCCTTATGGCCTTGTTGGAGGAAGTGTGTCACTGAGGGGGCGGGGCTTTGAGGTATCTTTGGCTCAAGCTTCCCTCAGTATGACTGACAGTTGACTTCCTGTTGCCTGCAAGATGTGTGACTCCCAGCTATTTCTCCAGCACCACATCTGCCTGCATGCCAGGCTCCCTGTCATGATGATACTGGCCTTAACCTTTGAAACTGTAAGCAAGCCTCCTCAATTAATTGTTTTCTTTATAAGAATTGCTCTGGTCAGCTGGGTATCGGTGGCACACGCCTTTAATCCCAGCACTCAGGAGGTAGAGGCAGGCGGATCTCTGTGAGTTCCAGGCCAGCCTGATCTACAGAACTAGTTCCAGGACAGGCTCTAAAGCAATACAGAGAAACCCTGTCTTGAAAAATCAAAAGAAAGAAAGAAAAAAAAAAAGAATTGCCCTGGTCGTGGCATGGTGTCTCTTCACATCAATAGAAACCCAGACTAAAACAAAATACGTTTAGATTTTTGCTGTTTAATCATTATTACTCTTTCCCCCTTTTATAATTAACACCTTTGCCATGATCATTTCTGATTCTTACTGTATTATTTTCACTTTATGAACTCTTTGGATGCTCATCCAGATTATGTTTTTAAGTTCCTGTGGCTTCAGCTGGAGAGATCATATCAACTCATTTGTCCCTTGTTGTGGTATTATTGCTTTTTGTTATGACTCAATTTCCAACCCTTTGAAAGTATAGTTGTTGCTACTTTTTAAGCTTAATTGGAATAAAAATCTTTTAAGTTCGTAGTGGGAAAATTTTCATTGAATAAAAGTGTGAAAAAATGAGTGTATTTTTCATTGTATTTAGCATCTTTCCATATTTGCGTTTTGCAACACTGCAGCGTAGTTCTCTGTTCTCTTCCTATCTTTCATTTAACATAGTATGATAAATTTTAAATTGGGAGGAAGAAGAACAAATGATGGGGGGGAAAGGAATTAGGGAAAATATTAGTAGAGTTGTGGACAAGACTTGCAGTCTTTCTAAGGAGATAGTCTTGGAAATACTTAGAATTGAGGGAAATATCCCAAATAGAAGAGCATAGTGTACATGGAGCAATTTTGGATAATGGATTTTTTTATGAATAAAAATGTTTTTGAATGCTACTTAATTGGTGGTTAGTTTTCTAAGGTTTATTTTTTTAAAATGGTTAATTGGCCTCTTCCTCTCCTATGTTAAAAAAGTTATTTTTCAAGACACATTACTTTGTGTTTGAAACTGCCATGCATACACATATGTGCACTCCTATATACATACGTGTTAGAGAAGGGGGAGTACCTGGGAGCCTGCATACTGTCGTAACTGAAGAACAAATGGGAAGAGAATAGATAGATGCTTACATTGCAGTGTACCGAATCCCATGTGGGAACACATAGATGCGGAAGGCACTGAATACAGCAGCTGTTATCAAGAGAAGTGTTTGTTTCTAATGGGCTGTAAAAATCATGTACAGTCTCTAGTGTTTCCCTGCTGCTATCTTTTCCCACATGTATCCATCTGACTCAAGATCTATAGTCTGAGGCAGCTGTTCTTCACTTACCCTAATTTACTTCTGATAGTTAGTGTGTAATCTGTTCTGTGTGGTTTTCTCATTCTGCCTCTCTGGATCCTCTTCCTGCCCCCTCCTTCTGTCTCCTCCTTCTCAGACTGGAGTGGTTTTCTTTCTTCTCTCCATTGTCATGTCATGTCTTCTCCTAGTAGTCATTTGCACAGCACACTGTTGTTGTTTTTACTTTTTACTCTTTGGCTCTTTCGGGGGCCCACCACCCAGCTCCCAAATAAACACACAGAAGCTTATTCTTTCATATGAATGTCCGGCCTTTGCTTGGCCTGTTTCTAGCCAGCTTTTCTTAACTTACATTATCTCATCTACCTTTTACCTCTGGACTTTTACCATTCTCTATTTATGTGTATCTTTTCTTTCCTTCTTACTCCATGTCTGGCTGTGTTGCTAGGTGACTGGCCCCTTCTTTTCTTGCTCCTTGATCCTCTCTTGCTCCTAGATCTAGATCCCTCTCCCCAGATTTCTCTCTCTATTCTCTTCGCATGCCAGTCCTGCCTATCCTGTCTCCTGCCTTGCTATTGGCCATTAAGCTCTTTATTAGACCAATCAGGTGTTTTAGACAGGCAAAGAATTATAGCTCCACAGAGTGAAACAAATGCAACATAAAAGAATGCAACACATCTTTGCATCATTAAAACAAGTATTCCACAGCATAAAAAAGTAACATATCTTATGTAGATGAGTTATATTTTATAGTCACTGTTGATTTTAATATTTATTTAGTTATGTATTATGTTCTGCTTGCATATATGCCTGCAGGCCTGAAGAGGGCACCATATCTCATTACACATGGTTGTGAGCCAACATGTAATTGCTGGAAGGACCTCCGGAAGAGTAGCCAGTACTCTTAACCCCCATTGAACCATCTCTCCAGCCCCATGTAACACATCTTAAAATAACATTCCAAAACAGCACGCTTCTCTAAATTCCTATGGTACCTTTCCATTTAATCTTTAGCATTTGGTTCTCTTGTGGATCAGATTGTATTCGTAAATAGATTGTTTTCTTGAGAGCAGCTTGGCCCTTTTGTGTATCTTCATGCATTGATGAGTTTGGGGCCCATGCATAGGCTGTCTATTTTTTTATCCTTGTTTATGGTCCCACCTTAGGGCTTCTTTTTCTTTTCCGTTTTTGCTTTGTTTAGTTGGTTTGTTTTTGTTTTTTACACTTGGATATCTCTCTTTATTTGTCTAGGTCAGCTTTCCTCATTGACCTCTTTCTTTTAGTCTACAGGGTTATTTTGCAGAAGGTTAATGTGAAATCAACATTGAACTTGGTTAACTACCCTCAAGATTTGTATACTAAAAATATTTCTTCTCCAATTTACCTCTAAATTAATATCAAGATACTTTCAGGTAAGGTAGTAGTTTCAAAGACAATAGAATGTGCTGTACTGTTTTAAATTAGTTATTGCAACAAGATCTTAAATTATATTTGGGAAATCTGAATGTATGATAGATAAATTGATTTTATAGTGTCTTAATTTTTATATTATTCTGAATGCTAGCTTACTGGAAGTTAAAACAACCTTATCTACAAGTCTCTAACTTCTCAGATTTCTTTTGTTTTAAACTTGTGCATTTCTCTTGGGCTAGAATGTACTGGTAATATTATGTTAGTATACTATATTAGTATACCATGTTAGTATACTGCATTAGTGTAGTGTGTTAGCGTACTGAGTTAGTATACTGTGTTAGTGCCCTGCATGAGTGAATTGTGTTAGTGTACTATATAAGTATACTGTATATATAGTGTTCATATACTATGCTTGTGTAATGTGTTAGTGTACTTACTGTGGTAGAGTATATACTCTGTTCCCTTTCTGCATTTGAATAATGTGGTAGTGTATTGTGGTGGTCGCCCAGTTTGATACTCTGAATATCTAGAGTTTGTAACTGTTAATATCTACCTAACTTTGCTTTATCTTTATGGTGAGTTTAGAAATAGGTTGACTCAGCAGAAAATACAAATGTTTCATTTGTAAACATTGTATTGTGATTGTATTTGGGTTGGGTAAGTCAGTAATTTGTAAAATATTAACATGGGCTACTTTATTTAAAAATAAATTAATGTGTTATAATATTAAATCAAGTACATTGCATGTAAAGTAAAATATCTTAAAGTTTTCAAAATTTTATTTAAAAGATTAGTATACAGAGTATTGAGTTTCATATAGGGAAGGTTGGCCTTGAGCTATATAGCAGAGGATGGCCTTGAATTCCTGATTCTCCTGCCTCCACCTCCTTAGTGATGGGATTACAGGATTATGTTGCTACACCTGGACATGTGCAGTAACCCTTCTTGACTGAGATTAATGTGTAATTTTTGTATAGTCTCCACTCTTCTATTCATGTTTAAACATTTATATTTATTTTTCATTAGAGAAAGTAATACTATGGTAATCTTCAATATGAAGGCAGTATCCTGGTTTATATATTACAGAATCTAGTATTAAAATAAATTTATTAGCCTTTAAAATTCTTTCACATTAGTTATTAAAGCTATTTATGTTTTTCTCTGTCTTGAGCTTATTCTACTGGATCTTGGTTATGAAATTGGATTGGAATTACTATATATTGTAGGTCCTTGTTCACAAGATCATCTGTATTTTAGCTAAATGTGTGAAGAGTGAGTATAATTCTAATACAGCTCAATTTCAACATGCATTTATTGGTCACCTGCACTTATCAGATACTAATCTTATCAATGGAAAAAACAATAATAGATGAACCCTCTTCATACAGAACTTTCATTCTGCCGGGGTTATACACATAGTAGACTAAAGACATAGATTATATTGTACCGGAGATGTGTTAAGTGCTTTGAAGTAAATAAAGCAAGGGAAGGGCATAAGGGGAAATGAATAGGAGATGGAAGGAGTAAAATCTTGAGTAGCTTGTCCAGGGAGGGTTCCAATGAGGAGGAGACATTTGAGTAGATATCTGAAGAACTGAGGGAATGAACTGTGTGTGTGTGTGTGTGTGTGTGTGTGTGTGTGTTGGGGAGGGCAGACTATTCCAGAGAAAAGGAATTAGATGTCTCTTTTTCAGATGGTTAAGTTCACTGGGACACTTATCATTGCGGTGATATTATTATATATTGACTGTGGCTTCTTGTCTTGATAGAATGTCTAGCAAAGAAGTGAAGACTGCCCTAAAAAGTGCAAGAGATGCCATCAGAAACAAAGAGTACAAAGAAGCTTTGAAACATTGCAAGGTAAAGGGTATTTGTCTCTTTGGCAAACAAATACATTACCAATTTTTGAGTTATTATAAGGTATACATCACTTATTGTCCCCCTTCAGTCAAATGGTAGAATCTATGGAGCAGTTAGTGTAGTAGGCTATTATTACTGCACTTAACTTTTTTATTGCTAAATTACCAAAGCCATGTTCTCAAAGCCAGACATATCATAAGCATCTTGCATTATGGAATGAGTCTACTTTTATTATTGTATTACATTTAAATTACATTAAAAAACACAATAAAAAAATTGTGTTTGTGGAGGTCAGAGGAGAAAATGTGGGAGTCAGTTGTCTCCTTCCACTCAGAAAGCAAACATAACAAAACCTCAACAGGCTTACCAACTTATTTCCATGTGCTTCCAACATTTTTTGTGGATATTTGTTTATAAGGACACTGTTTATAAGGGTCCTGTTTGCTGTTTTCAGCAAATGGATTATTTTAGCACACATGTAGATACTTGGGAAACCAAAGCAAGTAGGGATGTTTGTTACATTGTATTCTTTTTCTTTTGTTTCCTCCAGACAGGGTTTCTGTGTGTATGTAACAGCCCTGGCTGTGCAGGAACTTGCTCTGTAAACTCTGGCTGGCCTGGAACTCAGAGATCCTCCTGCTTCCCCCCCCCCCCCACTTCCCTGCCCCCAAAGGGATTAAAGGCTTGCACCACCACTTCCACTCATTACATTGTATTCTTAAAGGCAGGTTAAACAAACAGGCCGAGAACACAGCAGGACAGCAGTGCTAAGATTTACATGGCCTTCAGTGAGGTCAGCAAAAGTCCCAGCCTCTCTGAATGTAAGAGATTTATTCCTAAAAGTATTGATGACTGAGAATAGCAGGAATATGAAACCATGATGGTACTAATTTGATCCAGAAGTGAACAGTTTGTTCAAATGGAGGGTGGAATGAGAGGGACTGTTTCTTCTAGCACTGGTCATATCTAATCATGCACATATAATTATTATTATATATATTATTATATATATGTTATTATATATATACATACATATTATATATATAAATTGTTATTATTATTATTATTATTATTATTATTATTATTACTGTGTGTGAGAGCGAGTGAGATGTATACGTGCATGGTATATGACATACCCATGTGGAGATCAGAGGACAACTTTGTGTATCCAAGTCTCTTTTTTCACCTTTTGAATTTAGCTCCTTAACCTGGGTAGCCCACTAAGCCATTTTACTGACCCATATTTCCATTACATTACTTAGCATGGATATCTTTTTTTGTGGGTACTTTGTAAAATTTTGACATGAATTTCAAGTAGCTCATAATTTATAATGGCAAAATCCAGCTATAGACTATAAGTGGAGAACGATGCAATGGGAGGTGTCTCTCATCAGTAATAACCCAGAATGGATTGAGACTAAAGCAGAGCTACCCGAGAGTATATTTGTTGTGTTCTGTCCTGTGGAACCCTAGGGCATGGGATAACCATTCCCTTAGGCAGCTGTCTCCAGTTTGTGTACATGTTGTTAGGTACTTTTTTCTTCGAATCTGAAAAGTTTCTGCACCCCGGTAAGCTGCTCCACCAATGCAGCAATCAAAAGCAGACCAAATCAAACAGAATTAGAAGAAGCCCATGTTTAATGGATACAATGCTCCTGGATGGCCTTCCAGTCCTCTAGAGAGAAGGAAGAGACTGTTTTCTGGGAGGCAGTTTAAGTAACCTGTGGGTGTGTCTTGAATGTCTCTAAGGAAGGGGTCATCATTTAGTGGGCTTTCTGGGATGCAGCAGGGTTTGGAGGGAGATGGGGGAGGAGGCTTGGGGTGAAGTCTTCACTGTAACATTCCAGACTCTTTGGGTATATGGACGCCAGGGGCTGGGGTGTAGATTCCAGGATTGTCTGTCTATTTTCATCACATTTCTTTTTTTGTGTGTTTACTTCTTTAAAAATGTATCTCAGATTCTGAAATCCAGATCATTAACCAGACAGTAATTATTGACTGGTGGTTGACATGTAGCTTTTGTCATGTGATAAGCAGTTATGTGTTGTAGAATATTATTTTAAGGTCTGTTACTTTTGTTTATGCTCTGGAACATTTGTTTAATGATGCAAAGATATGTATGATCAAATAAAATTCCCCCGCGGCCAGGATGCTGTGTCGGTAACTAGCTGACAGGAAGTTGTAGGGAGGAGCCAAGTGGAGAAGGGTTTATAAGGAGGGGCAAGGAGGAACAAGAGGACTTCTTGGGAGACAGAGGAGGTGAGCTAGGAAGCTGCTTGCTATTCAGCCTCTCTAGGAAGCAGGTTTCTACCTCAATCTTTGACTTTTGAGTTGGACTGAGATTTAAATAAATTTCTTTAGTAGTTTTGAAAGAGTCGGTGCCTGAGGAGGCAGACTTCCGTTCTTACAGCTTAGCCATTGCTGGGATCGGTGGAGTTGCAGTTGCTGAATAGGATAGCCATGGGATAAAAGACAGCGACAATTAAGAAAGCAAAACAAGAGTTACGTGCCAGCTGTTGTACTTGGTGTGTGTAACATAAGTAGAACAAGCCCAAGTATTGGGTACCTCATCGCCGAGTTGGAGGAAGGCATTGTTATTGGGCAGACTGCAGTCTGCACAGTACATTTGTGACAGATCACTCAGAGTGTGTGTGGATGCACGTAAGCCTTATCAGTGGAGAGGTCAACTCATGGAAATGTGATTTGTCCTAGCATATGCAAAATCTTGAGAGCCTGATTTTATTTTAACTCCCTAGAATATATTAATCTTGCTTTAAATTTTTTACTTTAGTAAGTATTCCTATTTCTGAGAGAAATATCTCTGTGTATAATTTTGTTCTAGATGACAGGTATTACACATTTATTGCCATTATTTTTTTGGTATAGTACCTATAACTGCCACAAAGAATCCACTTTTATATGGGAAAATATTATAATGCAAAAGAAAGTATTAGAGTTGGATGAAGTGATGTGGATGCAGGAATGGGGCTGGGAATTACTGTTCTTTTCTACCCAGCATTCTCATGGAATGAAGGTCAGGGCATTTTATGTAGGTATCAAGATCCCTTGGGCACTTTACTGAAAGTTACCTCATTTTCCAAACCCTTTACAGTCTTTCATTCACTGTACCTGCCTAGGTACCATATTATGGGTGACTGTTGGTGCCAGATCCTGTGTCCTGACTATTGCTTTGTTGTTTATTCAGTAGTTTCTGAAATTTAATAATTTAATCTTTTTTTTTTTTTTAATCAGACAGTGTTGAAACAAGAGAAAAATAACTATAATGCCTGGGTTTTCATTGGTGTTGCTGCAGCTGAACTAGAGCAGCCTGATCAGGCCCAGGGTGCCTATAAGAAGGCTGCTGAACTAGACCCAGAGCAGCTTCTTGCTTGGCAGGTATGGAGATGTGTTTTATTTCTTATAATATGGGGAAAGCATTTGTTTTCCATTTTCAAAGTGTAGACTCCTATGTTAAAATAAACAATTAAACCTCTTCATGAAATTTTCTAAATCTAAAAGTTAATTCTAGGGGCCTAAGATACTGTGTACCACTATTAAATAGAAGACTTTAACTATAAAGATTCCCTCTTACATTCACTTTACTGGGAGGGAAATTCCACATATATTTCATCTGCACACTATGGTAATTTTTAGATGTCAGTCCATTGTTTCACACAATAAATAAAGGGGGGGGGAGTTGATATGTTTTGCTAAAGATAATCAGCACTGCTTCCTTTTTTTAGGGGCTAGCAAGTTTGTATGAAAAGTGTGATCACGAAAATGCTAAGGGTGATTTACCTGGTGTTTATCAAAAGCTGCTGGATCTCTATGAAAGGTAAGGAATGTGTGGGGAAGACTAGTTTCTTTACAAGTCTCACTTTCATGATTAGAAATTATATGGAGCTGGGCAGTGGTGGCACATGCCTTTCATCCCAGCATTTAAGCAGTGGCAGGCAGATCTTTGTGAGTGTGAGGGCTACATTGTCTACAGAGTGAGTTCCAGGACAGCCAGGGCTGTCCCGTGTCAAAAAACCAAAAAGGAAACAAAAAAGAAATTATGTAAGTTATGTTTGGGTTCTCTAGAAACTGATAGACTGAATCTACATACACACACACACACACACACACATATATTATGTGATTTATTAGAGTGGCTTACAGGCTGTGATTGGATTATTACAAAATTGAAAGTTCCATGAATCCAGTAATCCAGTTCTGCCCATAGGGCTGGCTGTCCTAGATGGTCTTAGGTAAAGTCAGAAATCCCAAAGAACCAGGCTAATGCTATTAAAGGAAGGGGGTTGCCAGAGTGGGGGCAAGCAGGCAAATATCTAGCAGCCTCCTTTCATGTCCTCTATATAGGCTGCCATCAGAAGGTGTGGCACAGATTTTAAGGTGGGTCAAAACTCTCTTCCAGCTGTGTCCAGCATCTTGGTTTTAGATAATTCCAGATGCAGTCCAGTTGAAAGCCAAGAGTAGCTATCACAGAGGTGGAAGGACTGGTACATTTTCTGAGAATTTGGGAGCAATTGTCTCTCAGAAATTAGTCACAAAATTTCTTACAGTTGACTTATGGGAAGACTCCTCTGATGATTGACTCAGTTCAGAATTTTAGAATTTATGGTCAAGGTCATGAACGATGATCTTTCTTCATCCTTTACAAAAGACTTGTTGTATACAGTAACATTATAGCATCAAATGTTTGAGGCGTTTAAGTCTTTGGCTGGTTCTGCTATCAGATTGAAATTCCTTTTCCTTCTCTTTTAAGTGTTGACAAGCAGAAGTGGTGTGATGTCTGTAAGAAACTTGTGGATCTACATCACCAGGAAAAGAGACACCTAGAGGTTGGTCAGTGACTTCTAAGGGACTTAGTAAAAGTATTATTAGAAAAAGGCTTTCATCTAGCTAATACAAGTTAAGAATGAAGAAATCAAAAATTTTTAGTTTAACATAGCTATTTAAATCTCCTTTTCAATAGGTGGCTCGGACATGGTATAAATTGATAAAGACGCGGCAAGAAGATGGAGCAGACAAGCAAGAGCTTTATGAGCTGTGGAGAAAACTGACTCAATTGCTCGCTGAGAATATAGAGGATCAGAATAATGAAACGCAGCAGATGGTATCAACTTCTTTATTCCTCATAGTTTATATCAATATTTAATTGAATTGGAAAACGGAGGCATAATGAAGTAACATAGAAAGTACCGTATGTCAGTGCATCCAGCGCTGGGCATGCTCAGTTTAAATTCATAGCAGGAAAGTACTGTCTGTCAGTGTAGCGAGCACTGGGCATGCTCAGTTTTAATTCCGAACACAGGAAGTACTTTTGTCAGTGCAGCGAGCACTGGACATGCTCAGTTTTAATTCATGACACAAAGTACTATATGTCAGTGCAGCAGTTGCTGGGCATGCTCAATTTTAATTCATAACAGAAAATTACCGTATGTCAGTGTAGTGAGTGCTGGGCATGCTCAGTTTAAATTTATAACACAAGAAGTACTGTATGTCAGTACAGTGAGCTCTGGGCATGTTCAGTTTTAATTCATAATAGGAAATTAGCATGTGTCAGTACAACAAGCACTGGGCATGCTCAGTTTCAGTTCAGTACACAGGAAGTATATGTCAGTACAGTGACTACTGGGCATGCTCAGTTTTAATTCAGAACACAGGAAGTACCGTATGTCAGTGCAGTGAGTGTTGGATAACCTCAAATTCATAGAAATTCTTGCTGATAAAATTAGAAACTTTTGCTTTCAGTCTCATATAGTATGAAAAGGGCAGATGAGTAGTAGTGTATTAGAATTTCAGGCCCTTGTATTTAAAAGAATCCACAGTAGAGGGGCTGGAGAGATGGCTCAAAGGTTAAGAGCACTGGCTGCTCTTCCAGAGGTCCTGAGTTCAATTCCCAGCAACCACATGGTGGCTCAAAACCATCCCTCTTCTGGCACACATGGAGGTAGACACTGTATACATAATAAATAAATATTAAAGATTCCACAGTAGATCATTAACTTAGTCATTAATGAAAGGAAAATATTTAGAAACCGACTTTCATAAAACTGCTGTAACTTATATAAAGTTGAACTTTCTAGGTAGCCTTCTTTATACTTGTTAACTAAGGGCATTGAATTACATAGTAATTACTTAATTCAATTAGATTATTTATAGTTAGTAGATTATGTTGGATAATTCATTTTTTAATGTATTGGCTCTAAGTTATTGAAAAGGATTTTTAAAATATTATAAAATGTTAATTTTAGAGCATAGTTGGAAATACCTCTATAATAGTAACAATTTTTTTATTGTAATTAATAGTTCTTCAATGTCCTTGTTAAATTGAGTGTAATTTAAAATCTTAACAGTTATAGACTATACACAATGGAAACTTTGTGTATGTTGTTCAGTTATCAGTTTGTTCTTTTGTTCAGAAAATTTTGTTGCAAATATTCTGTATGCCAGGAAGTCCCCAAAGGGCCCAGTCAGTGCTCTGTCACCAAGAAGGTTTACTTTGGCTCATCCCTTCAGATGTGTCAGTATGATTGTCTCTCTGCTGCTCTGTGTGTAGAGCAGGCGGGGCATCGGGGTCAGGAGCCCATGCAGATCACAGCTGTTCACTGTGGTGCTTAGGATGGAAAGAGCCAAAGGAAGGGTCAGGGTTCAGGATCTGCTCCAAGGGTATCTACCTTCCTTACACTGGGCCCTACTTCCCAAAGCCTCTGCCACCTACCAGAGCACCACAGGCTGTGACTAAACCCTTAACACATGGCTTTTCAAGGATGTTTAGACCCAATTATAACATGCCATAGTAATGATTTTTCTTGTATAAGCAGTTGTGGAAGAAATTTAATAACGACGCAACTGGATAGCTCATCAACTTCTTTTAAGCTATATCTATGTTATATAGCCTTACTATTTTTCTTGGTTAACAGAGTATCAAAAATATACCAAAATTAATAAAATATGTTTTTGATTTACTTATACTCCATGGAAGAAAATTCATAAATAAAAAGAGAATAGTGTCTTACTGTATTGCCCAGGTTGGACCCAATCTCCTGAGTTTATGTAGTCCTCAGCAAGCAAGCTTTCTCTTGTCTTTCTTTTTCTTCCCTTCTCCACCTTTCTCATTCCCCATTTCACTCTCCTTTCATCTTCCTTCATCCATCTCTTTTTCATTTCTTCTCCCCCCCTCCCCCAACTTCCCCTTCCTTTTTTCTTTCTGGGCTGACAATTGAATCTTGTGACTTGTATGTTCTAGGACCACACGTAATACTGAGCCATTGCCAGTCCCCAGTTAACACACACACACACACACACACACACACACACACACACGTGTAAACATGCACATGTACACACATTTTTGTTGTTTGCATCTTTGTTTTGTTTTTTGATTTTTTTTTAAAATACATGATATTATTATACAGCCCAGGCTGGGTTCTAATCCCCCCCATCTATTCATTCATTTATTCTATCTATCTATCTATCTATCTATCTATCTATCTATCTATCTATCTATCATCTATCTACATCCTCACTGACTGTATCCTCTCTCCCTCCACTCCTCCCATTCCCCCATCCACCCCTCTCTGTGTTCACTCAAAAAGGGGCAGGCCTCCCGTGGGCATCATTTCTTAATCCACTTGCCTCAGTCTCCTTCATACTAAAAATTACAGGAGTGTACCACAATAATTAACAATTTTTAGTAAACATGTACTAACCATGCTTACAGCATTCCTACATAAAACATTCACTGATAATATTCAACAATCTTTCTACCCTCTCTCCTCACCTCCTCTACTTTTCTTAGTCCTTTTTTTTTTTAAATTTCAAATATAATTACATGTCCTTCCTTTTCTTTCCCTCAACTCCTCCATGACACCCCCAGTCCCCACTTTCTCTGAAATTCCAGGCCTCCTTTTCTTCAGTTGTTGTCACTATGTATTCTCTCTCTCTCTCTCTCTCTATATATATATATGTGTGTGTGTGTGTGTGTGTGTGTGTGTGTGTGTGTATGTATATAAATGAATCATACAGATATCTGAGTTCACCCAGTCTTTCTTGCATGTGTATGATTTCAGGGCTGATCACTTGGTATTGAATCACCAATTAGGGGATACCTTCCTGGGGGAAGACTTCTGCTCTCAGTGTTCCTTAGTTGTCTGTATTGTTTGTCTAGGTGGGCGCTCATGAGATTTCCTCTTCCTAGGCCATTGGTGGTACCCTTGTTCAGGTCTGTTGTAAACAGTCATATTATTGAGATATAAGGGTGCTGCCCTGTAAGACATAATTTCACAGCAGATTTCCCAGGCCTCTGGCTCTTAACACCTTTCTGTGCCCACTTCTGGAATGTTCTCTGAGCCTTGGATGCAGGAGTTGTGTTAAAAAAGTATATCTATTCAAGCTGGGCATCCCATGATCAGTTGTTTTCTGCATTTTGAGTTGTGGTCTTCTGTAATGGCCTCTGTGGCAAAGAGAAGGAAGGAAGCTTCTTCAGTGAGGGTCAGGTGCTACACTTATTTGTAGATAAATATTTAGGATGCAGTTAGGAATTTTGCTGGTTTAGTAATGTGGTTCTTTTCTAAGACCAAAGAGGCGTAGCTTCATTTAAACTATGTATGTATATCCATTACATGTACTAGATATAATTTTGGATAAATAAAATTTGATTTCTTAATGTTTTTTCCTCCTCCCTCCTTTGTATTTACCCCCTCCCCATTCCTCAGTTAAAGCCCCACCCTGTTTTTTATTCCCCCACTCATATAACCTGTGTACTGCTATTCCCCTCTCTACTGCTCCTTTTCCTTATCCTTGATAATATACCTTTAAGAATTTATTTCTAGGTCTTAAACAGATAAGTAAATAAAATGAGTAGGGATGAAGTCTAAATAATGAGTGTTTATAAACATATTACTTATTTTCCATTTGGAATACCTGATTTATTATCTGAGAAAACTAATTATGTTAAATTATTTTAAGGTTATTGTGAGATCATTATCAGAACAGTGAAATTTTACTTTTTATAGTCTTTACAATTACCAATTGAGGTAATGAGGTAGTAGGGGTTGGTTGTGATGACTAATTTTGTCAGCTTGATTGGATTAAGGAACACTGAGGGAGGGGTGTGACTGTGAGTACTTTCTAATAAAGATTTAGTGGGGGTGGTTGGGGTTGGGGAGCCCTGCTCAGTATGTGAGTGGCACCATTCCATGAGCTGGGATCTTAACCCAAATTAAAAGGGGAGAAAGAAAAGTTGGCCTCCCCCTCCTCCCCACATCCTGATCTGCTCAGATGTGAGCACACGGCCTCTTGTTACTACTGTGACAGTTGTGAACCACAGTTCTTCCCGCCATGATGGACTGTACCCTCAAACTGTGAGCCATAATAAAACTTTCGCCTCATCTCTTAAATTGCTTCTCATCAGATATTTGGTCTCAGAAATAAGGCAAGTGACTAATATAGGCGATTTATCAGGTCATGAATATACCCTTGAAGATGTAGACCTTACATAATGAAATGGAGAATATAATATGCTGTAAAGTGCTTGCCTCCTGCTGTGCTTGTGCAAGATATTTAGAATGCTTCTTTCAAGATTTCTTCAAACCTAGTTAATACTACATTAAGAGAAGTGGTTTTATTATACTTCTCTATTTTTTTTTTTTTTTTTTTTTTTTTTTTGGCCAAGTCTAACCTAACTTCATAATTTTTCTTTAAAGATTTCTTTCTTGCTGTTGGAGATTTTCCAAAGAATGTGCTTGTAATACTATATTACCATATAAGATACTATTCTAGCTGATTTCTTTGTAGCAGCCAGCAGTGGAGGGAAAAATGCTTTATTAAGCTAATGTTTTAAATTTGTACTTGTCTCTTACTAGTTTAGTATAGTCTATTGGCCAGTTGGAGTTAGAATGTATTTTAAAAGTTACATAGACATCTCCCCCCACCCCATCATTCAAACAGGACCAAGTAGATTGAGGTGGCTCAACCTGTAAATCCTGTCATTGGGAGGCTGAGACAAGAAGATCTTCACAAGTCAAGGCTGGCTTAGGCTACAGATCTGACCAAACAAGCAGAAAAATCATGAGGATTAGTTTTTATATAAGTGCCTGGCTGTCCTGGCACTTCCTTTGTAGACCAGGCTGTCTTCAAACCCATAGATCCATCTTCCTCGCCCTCCCGTGTACTGGGATTAAGGGTATAGTAATGCTGTTTGGCTTATAAAGGAGTCTTAATACAGTGTAGTACTTGCCACATTTTCCACTTAGCATGCTACATAAAATAGCTTTTTGGTTTGTTTCAGCTTTTAACTGCATTTGAGAATGCACTGGACCTAGCAGATAGTATTCCCAGTGAAGATCACCAAGTACTTTATAAGCATTTCATTCAGTGCTTATCTAAAGTAAGTGACATGTATTATTTCTAATTATGAAAATGTCCACCAGTATGCTTTACTGCTGTTGGGATTTACTTTATTATACTTTTATATTTTCAAGCTTCCTCATGAAACTGAGAGACTGAAGAAGGCCTGTGAAGGAATGATGAATTTCTATCCTACTGTACAGTATCCACTAGAAGTAATTTGCTTGCACTTGATTGAATCAGGTAATTTTTTATATTGTTTGCCAGAGGTGTGTGATTATATGAGAGTGGTATTGCAATCAATTAAGCACGGTTTTAGTGCTTACTATGTTTAAAATATTACATCAGTATTTCTTGACACAAAAGAAATACAGTTATGTAATATTGCTATTTACAGAAAGTCCAAGGAATATAGGAGAGTGATACAGGACTTATGAGTTATAGAGCTATTGGTTCACCAATGAAATTCTTCTATTTTCCTATTTATTTATTTATTTTACATTCTGTGAAGTCCTTTTGGTGGTGGGACTTAAAGGATGTTTTGAACTTTCTCTGACATTAGATGGAGCAGGTAGGCCTGGTAGTCCAGGAGGTAGGTGTAGAGTTGTGGTAGATACAATCCCTCCTTTATAATTGGAATAGTAAAATAGATTTGTTTGATAGAGTAAAAGGAATAACTGATATTTATGTGCTAAATAGGTTGGATTATATTGCATAAGTCTTGACTGCCAAGAAAAGGAAACATTAAGCTTCAAAGTGTTGATATTAATACCAAAGTGATGGTCTGGTTTTTTTTTTTTTTTTTTTTTTTTTTTTTTTTCGATTTAACAATATAGTGAACTGTTAGTCTGCAAGTGAACTAGAGTAAATTCAGGTTGAAGGGTGTGTCTTGGTGTGTGTGACACACTCTTGCGTCTTTGTGTACTTTGGTAGAAGAAAGATGGTTATTGACAGCTGGATTATTGGGAGTTGGGAAATCTGAAGTGTGTCTGTAACCTAGGCAGGTATTTGTGTGGATTAATCACCATGGTTTTTTTTTTTTTTTTTTTATGGCAGTCTCTGTCCTTGTCATGTTTATGCTTTATGATGACTGGGATATACTTCTACACATGCTTTTATTCACCTGAGATAAACAAGTTTATAGAAACCAGTGGTGAAACTGAATTGGAACTAGTACCTGTAGTAGTCTGCTGGTGACTGAATTATTGTGAAACTTCCCTAATACAGTGAATCTTTTTTACTTGGTTGCAAAATCGATAAACACACATGGAAGAACATTTTGTATGAGTGACTCACATTTGTCATAGTAGGAAAATATGTTGAGTTCTAGAGATAACTGAGGGAGGCTGTGAGCGTTGCACCTATCTCTGTTCTGCCCATCCCACTCTCCTTTATCACTCCTCAAGTTTCCTGGTCTGCATGAAGTCATTACCCCTACTTTTAGCCTTGGAATTTCACTAACAAGTAAGAGCTTTTTCTTATTCTCAAAGAGAATATTTTTTTTTTTTTGTATTTTCTTTTTTTTTTTTTAATTTTATTTTACATGTCGATCCCAGTTCCCTCTCCCTTCCTCTTACCCTCTCTCCCCATCACATGCCCCTGACCACCCTCCCCTCCCATCCCCCCACACCCATTCCAAATGTAGGGCAATGCCATCCAGGTGGCGTCAGGTAAATCTGTCAAGTCATTTGAAGTAGGGACTAGGACTTTTCTCCTGTTTCTAGGTTAAGAGAGTATCCCTCCATGGGTGTGTATGTGTGTATGTGTGTGTGTGTGTGTGTGTGTGTGTGTGTGTGTGTGTGTCCGCAAGGTTCTTTTGTGCACCAGAAATACATCCTGGTTCCACTGTCTGAGGTCTCTTAGACTGCTCAGTCCTTCTAACTGAGACCCATATTCAGGGGGGTCTGAGTCAGTCCCATGCTGGATTCCCAGCTATCAGTCTGGGGGCCTGTTAGCAGTTCCTTGTTCAGGTCAGCTGCCTCTATGTGTTATTGTCATGAAAAAGTATCAAAAGTTTCAGAAGTCCAAGTGCTTAAACTGATAATGTTTAGGATGGACTGAAGTAGAGTGAGAAGACCAAGTGATGCTAAGAATGAATAAATGAACTTAGAACATGATGGTGATAGAAAGGAACAGATGAATTGAAAAAATTATTCAGCTACTTAAAGGGAAGGTCAAAATTATATTCAAATTTTAGTTCTTCTAAAAAGTTAGCCCAATATAGAAAAAATTTTGATGGTTTATGTGAAAAGTACATTTGAAAAGAGCTGTTAAAAGTAGCCAATACCCATCAATTGTTTGTAAAAGGGAATTGGCAAACTAAAGCTAAGCATGTAGCTTGGAAATAATTTGTATGGAAGTGAGGTGGAGTGATTGACATTAGAGAAGACCAAGGGGTAAGAGGCTGAGAGTGGCTGCTTGTGTGGCTTGAGAAGAAGAATAAATGGGTAAATAATAATAATAAAAATGGGGTACAGATCTAAATAGGGAATTCTCAACAGAACAATCTCAAACAGCAGAAAGACACTTAAGGAAATGCTTAGCATCCTTAGTCATCAGGGAAATGCAAATCAAAATCACTCTGAGATTGCTTCTTACACTGATCAGAATGGCTAAGATCAAAAACAGCAATGGCAGTTTATGCTGGAGAGGATGCAGAGGAAGGGGAACACTCCTCCATTGCTGGTGGGGGTGCAAACTTGTCCAGCTGCTGTGCATATCAGTATGGTGATTTCTCAGAAAATTAGGGATCAACCTACCTCAAGACCCTGCAGTACCACTGTTGGATATTTACCCGAAGGAGGCACATTCACACCACAAGTACATTTGCTCAACTATGTCCATAGCAACATTTGTCATAGCCAAATCTTGGAAACAGCCTAGATGCCTCTCAATTGAAGAATGGGTAAAGAAAATGTGGTATATTTACATAATGGAGTACTACTCAGTGGTAAGAAACAATGACATCCTAAAATTGACAGGCAAATGGGCAGAACTTGAAAAAAAAACATCCTAAGTGAGATAACTCAAAACCAGAAAGACAAATATAGTATGTACTCAATCATAAGTGGATACCAGAAATAAAGCAAAAGATACATACAGCCTATAATCCATAACCCCAGAGAAGCTTGAACCCTCTTCCAGAAACAGATGGAAGCAGATGCAGAAATCCACAACTAACCATTGGACTGAGCTCCTGGAGTACAATCAAAGTGAGGGAGGAGCCATGATATGAACAAAGGACTCAAGACCATGATGGGGAAACTCACAGAATCAGCTGACCCAAGCTAGTAAGAGATCACTGACTCTGGTCTGAGAAATAGGAACCCTGCATAAGACTGAGCTAGACCCTCTCAATACAGGTGACAATGGTGTAGCTGGGACAATGTATGAGGTCACTGGCAGTGACTCCAAGATCTAACACTAACGCACAAACTGACCTTGCTCAGCCTAGACACGGGTGTGGGGGTGGAGAGGTGCCTTGGTCCTGCCTTTACTAGATGATGGGACAGACTTAGTAGACTTCCTAGGGGAGGCCTCACCCTCTCTGTGGAGCAGATGGGAAGAGGGGTGAATGAAGGGAGTGGGAGGGAAGGCGGGAGGGGGAACTGGGATTGGAATATAAAAAATAAATTAATAAAAAAATTACAAAAAAAAAAGAAGCATACAGTTTAAAGCTGGGTGAGATTACTGATGAGATTTCAGGGTCATGCCTGTAATCTTAGCACTTGGAAGAGAGAGGCGGAAGGATCAGGAGTTCAGTCAGCCCCAGTTTGAGACCAGCCTGAGCTGCTTGAGACTCAGTCTCAGCAAAAGAAAACAAGAAAGTATTGTTGAAGAGTATTTGGAGATGGGCATTGTGTAGAATTATTGGGAGGTAGGTCTGTTCCATGGTGAATAGGAGTGGGTGTGTGGTAAGACTCAGAGAGTTCTTATTCTAGCACAGTGGAAAGCTGTGCATGATTCCTCTTTTCATCATTCTAAGCCAAACTTATGGATTCTGAAGTTTAAGAGCTTCTAGAAACCTGAGTGTCTCTAAAAAGCCAGCACACCTTTCCTCCCACAGAGTACTTTAGTATCCATGTGATCTGTGCTTTCAGCAGTTAATCACTGTATCTCTGCACCAAGGACAAATGTATTCCATATTTCTGGGTCTTGCTTTGTGTATTGAGGCTCAAGATTCATTTCCAATATGTCTCATTTTCAAGCTCCATGTAACAAAGTTTGAGTAACTTTCCCCTTTGTCATGTGTTGAAAGGTGTTTTTTTTTTTTTTTTTTTTTTTAAGTGTGTTTGTGCTAAATAGTCCTTTTGACTTATTTCACCTTGAGGCTGAAATGCAAGAGGACAAGGAGGCTTGGCTCTTCAAAGTTAAGCAGAGAACAAGTTCCTTAAGGAAGGTTTTGTGTTTTAGGCCCACGGAGAGGGCTCAGTGTGGAACACTTGCTGAGCATGAGTGAATGAAGCTGTGGTTTGCACTGGAAATGAAAAATAACAAGGCTTTATGTCTTAAAAATTACTTGAAAATGCAGGTGAAAATAAGAGAATGAGTGTCATCAAATTCTTATTTTCTTTCTCTCTCCAAAACTAGGTTTATTTAAAAATGAAAATTTGTAGTGTTCATTGGTTTCTTTGGTATGTCAGAAATGATTTAAAAAAAAAAAAGAACTTTTATTATGATGTAATTCTGGAAACTGAATTTCATAGAGTTATTTTGTATCCATCAATTTTATACTTGACCTTTTACTATTTAGTAACCTTAGGTCTAGATTGCCTTTTTGAGAAGTAAAATTATATTGCTAAACCTATCCCCCCCCCCCCAACATACACACATACACAATGCCCCAGACAGGGTTTCTCTCTGTAGCTTTGTAAATCAGGCTGGCCTCGAACTCAGAGATCCGCCTGCCTCTGCCTCCTGGGTGCTGGGATTAAAGGCTTGTGCCACCGCAGCCCTGCCACTGTTAAACTTTTTTTAAATAATTATTCACTGTACTTATTTTTTGAAGTTATGATATAATTACACCATTCCCCCCTTTCCTTTCCTCTCCAGATTCTTTTATATGTCCCTCCTTGATCTCCTTCCAGTTCATGGACTCTACTTCCATTGGTTATTGTTATGAGTAACTGATAGGACTTCTGTTGCTACGTTTAGAGAATACTGTTGAGTTTCTCAAAGTTCCTCATGGACATATATGGAGAAACTGTTGCCCTGGGATTTTTCCCTCCTTCTTGAGATAGGATCCCATGTATTGTAGGCTGGCCTTGAATTCTACAGCTGAAGGTGGCCTTGAACGCCTGAACTTCAGCAGTGTGTCAACTGCTGAAGTTACAGGCATGTGCCAGCTGTCTTTTGTTTTTATAACTGTGCTTCTAGATATTTTCTAAAGGAATATATTAGGAAGGTACCTTTTGGGAAGCTACCTGTACATACTATGTTTACCCAGTATAGTTTCTATATTCTTAACTGTGGATTGACATTGGAGAGATTCTTGACTATCTTTTCCTTTTGTCATCCTAGGTATGTTTGTGATAAAGGTAATTTGTCCTGCAAAAAGTAGTCTGTCATAAATTATATTTTCAAAGGTTCAACATACTATATAATAAATGCTTACCATGTATATTATACTCTCTAGAATTTTTAATTTATTTACAGAGGCAACAGAGGCGCTAGCTAGACTAACAGTATAGCTAGCATGTGGTGTTAGCAAATCTGTTTCTTCTAGTCTGAAAAAGTAGCATCTGAAATGCAGGCTCTCAAGTCTTAACATCAGAACTACTGAGCCAGATACTGGAGCGAGCTTCGCATGTTCCACTGAACCCATCAAATCTTTCAGTGGTTCTGATGGCTAGTGTAGATGTGCAATGTAGACATACACTGTAGCTTGATGTAAGAGGATATTGAGTCTGTGGAACTAGCTGTGTCTGTTTTGAGAAGTCATATTTGTAGAGACAATAGTGCTGTGGTCTTGGCAGAAGGAAAGTCATATCTGGGAGCATAACAATTAACCAAAGTTACATTTCTTCCAGTTTGTTTTTATGTTTTACCATATAGTTCAAATTTTCTAGCTATTATGAATTCATTTGTTTTTCTGGTGCCAATTTGGAGTTCTAAATCAGTATTTAACATTATTTACAGATTATTCATTGGTATGCATCTAATATGCATTATATCAAAATATTATGGCATCATGCAAATAATTTACTTCTAATATCTGTGATTAAATCAGTAATTCTTTTTAATATATATTATTTTTTTCTTATTTTACATATCGATCTCAGTTCCCTCCTCCCATACCTTCCCATCCCCCTTTACATTCCACCCTCCCCCCTTCCACAGGGAGGGTGATGCCTTCAAGGAGGGATCATCAAAATCTGTCAAGTCATTTGGAGTAGGGACTAGGCCCTCCCTCCTGCTCTAGGTTAAGGGAGTATCCCTCCATGGGGAATGTGCTCCCAAAGTCCCTTCATGCACCTGGGATACATTCTGGCTATACTGTCAGAGGTCCCTTAGACTGCCCAGGCCTTCTAGCTGAGACCCACATTCAGGGAGTCTGCGTCCGTACAATGCTATCAGTTTGGGGTCCATGAGCTTCCCCTTGTTTAGGTCAGCTATCTCTGTGGATTTCTGTAAACTGGTCTTGACTCCTTTTGTTATCACTCCTCCCTCTGCAACTGGATTCCAGGAGTTCGGCTCAGTGTTTAGCTGTGGGTGTCTGCTTCTGTTTCCATCAGCTACTGGATGAGGACTTTATGATGGTATATAAGGTAGTCATCAATCTCATTATTTAGGGAAGGGCATTTAAGGTAGCCTCTTCGCTGTTGCTCAGATTGTTAGTTGGGATCATCCTTGTAGGTCTCTGGACATTTGCTAGAGTCAGTTTTCTCTTCAAACCTATAATAGTTCCCTCTATTATGGTATCTCTTTTTTTTTGCTCTTGTCTATTTGTCCCCTGACTCAATCTTCCTGGTCCCACGTGTTCTCCTCTCCTCCCCTTCTCTTTCTTCTAACTCCCTCTCCACTCACTGCCCCCTCCCCCTACTCCCCATATGCTCAGGAGTTCTTGTTCCTTTCCCCTTCTGTGAGGGACCTTGTATGAATCTCTTAGGTTCCTCCTTGTATCCTAGTTTCTCTGGTGGTGTGAATTACAAGATGGTGGTCCTTTGCTCTGTGTCTAAAATCCATATGTGAATGAGTACATACCATGTTTTTCTTTTTGTGACTCAGTTACCTCACTCAGGATGGTTTCTTCAAGTTCCATCCATTTGCAAATTTCAAGATTCCATTTTTTTCCTGCTGAGTAGTATTCCATTGTGTAAATGTGCCACATCTTCTTTATCCATTATTCAGTTGAGGGGCATCTAGGTTGCTTCCAGGTTCTTGCTATTACAAATTGTGCTGCTGTGAACATAGGTGAACAGATGTCTTTGTTGCATGGATGTGGATCATTTGGGTATATGCCTAAGAGTAGGATTGCCAGGTCCTGTGGTAGACTGATTCCCATTTTCCCGAGGAACCGCCATACTGATCTCCAAAATGGCTGTACAAGTTTGCACTCCCACCAGCAATAGAGGAGTGTTCCCCATTCTCCTCATCCTTTCCAGCATAAGCTGTCATTGGTGTTTCTAATTTTAGCCATTCTGACAGGAGTCCCTTGTGGATAGGTGGGACCAATGTGCTCAGAGCAGACCCAGGAAGTTCCATGGAGGTGGAGGGCATGTTGGATACCCACTCTGGCTCAATGCTCACTCCAAGTAGCGGGCCAAGCAGGACAAAGGGTGAGGGGACTGATTCAGTGATTCTGTATATGGGGATGTATATTTTACAATAAATGTTAAAACAACAGGTCTTTTAAAATATTAATCACCTTTATTTTCCACATTTATTGTTTCAAGTTGTTTTTGTTATTTCAGAACTTTCTTGTGTGTTTAAACAATTTCTTAAAGTGTTGAATGTTTCTCATTCATTATAAACAACATTTTTTACTTCTTTTGGGGGTGTGAATTTGCTATAATGAATTTGCTAAAATTAAGATTATTGCAGCATTGTTGCATAATGCATAAGCTCAATTATAGGCAAGAATAGTTTGGTAAATATGTGTAAAGTGTATTGCTAAACTTGTAAATATAAGAAAACTGTGGCTAAATCTTCATGTAGAATGGATTCTAATTGGCATTAATAATAAAAAGCCTGGAGTCAGATATTGGGGGAGAGAGCTGAGAGATCAGAGAAGCAAAACAGCCAGCCACTAGCTTACTTCTGCCTCAGACCAAATGGGCGATCCTGTCTCCAAAAATCCTCAGACTGAACTGAGCTTCTATCTCCTCCTGCCTTATATTCCTTTCGACACCCACTCTTATTCCTTCCTGTCTCCACCTCCTTAGTGCTGGGATTAAATGTGTGTCACTCCAAGTGCTGGGATTATCTTTGTGTAAACTTTGTTTCTCTTTTAGACTGGATCTAAAAGACTGTAGCCCAGGTGTCCTTGAACTCACAGAGATCTGTCTGCCTTTCTTGTGAGTTCTGGGATTAAAGGTGTGTGCCACCACTGCTTGGCCTCTATGGCTATCTTTGCACTCTGTGTACATTCTGTATGGCTAGTTTGCACTGTGATCTTCAGGCAATCTTTATTTGTTTGATCATAAAGAAAATATCACCACATTTTCATTCAGTATCTGATTCAAGATAGTATCATTTGATACTAGGATGCTGGGAAAGTCTATCAGAGTTGGCTGCTATGCCTCTAGCTATAATTATTGCCCTCAGGGAATCAATAAGATACTCTCTTTCTTTCATGTAAATACTAAAGTTGATAAGATTGAATAGGTAATACTGCTAAGAGTTGAATACGAAAACGACCTGGTGAGCCATAGGCTATGTGATAGCCCATGGACTGATTGCAATAAGTTTCTTCTTTGAAACCTTTGAGCATAAATTCAGAGTATGTATGTATGTATTCATATGTGTAAAGTGATTTTATGTCATGTCTAAACATGTTAATGAAGTAATAATATCTTCTCTATTTGCTGCTTTATTTATGTTTTTATTTCCTTAAATCATGATTTAGTAAAGTATATATGAAACAGCTGTTGAAATTTATGTATATATGTATGTAGTTAAGAATTCAGTATACTTGTATATATATATATACATATGCATGTATACATATATATGAGTGCTAATAATGTTTTCTTTTTATTTCAGGGAGTCTGGCGGATGAAGGACAGCAGTATTGTTGTAAGCTAATAGAAATGAATTCAAAAAGTGGTCCAGGCCTCATTGGCTTAGGCATTAAAGCTTTACAAGACAAGAAGTATGAAGATGCTGTTAGTCACCTAACAGAAGGTAATGTATGGGCTATAATATTTAATATGAAGTGTAGTTACTCAGTCAATTTAGCTCTCCTGTCAGGAGATAAACTAAGGTGAAAGGGAAAATGAATATACATATTCTGGAGCCTGTTTATTAGATTTAAATTTCAAGTCTTAAACTCAAGACCATGGAAAAGTTCAACTTTATGTGTCTCAGTGATTTCCTTTGTACAGTAGGGATATTCTGGGGAAGCCTTAGAAACAGAGAGGCTTAGCTTAGCCAATTCAGGTATGGTGGGGTTTTTTGTTTGTTTGTTTGTTTGTTTTTTCATTTATATTCAAGCTGAGATATGACTAATAGAGTGAGGAAGGTAGATGGGTGGGAGGAATATTGTAGGTCAAGGAGTACATTTGTGGAGGATCAGAGCTAAGAGGAAACCTGTTATGGGGAGATCAGTAAGATTTGAGGATGGAGTATGGGTAGGGGAAGGAATAGGAAATAAGGCTGCGCATGGCCTTGCAAACATTGTTAACAAGCTTACAGTGCATCCCAAGGACGGCAGGAGCCCATGAAAGGCTCTAAGCATAGAAACACTGTAGTCAGTGAAGTGCTTGTCATGTGAGCATGAGGACCTGCGGTTGACTTCTAGAACCCATGGTGTTTGTGATTACTTTATCCTAGGCTTGAAAGAACTTCCTCTCTGCGTAGCTGGCTGGTGTCATTTAGCCAAAGCCCAAGTCAAAGTGCACAGACCTAAGGAAGCAATTCTTTCTTGCAACCAAGGTATTCTTGATGTACTTTGTGTTCGTGTAGAAGGGGACCAATGCTGTTTTCATCTGGCTTGAGAAAGATGTTCTTTTTAAAATCGTGGACTTTTGAAGTTTTCATTATAAAACTTGTGGTTAATTTAAATTGCACTTAGGAAGATGAAAAATGCCCAATCTGTGTGCATGCTGCTATTATATTTATCTTTAAGGTACTGATGTTCTGCCTTTCCAACAAGGAACTTTCTGGTATGTTTAGGACCTTCATGAATTTGTAATGTCATGGGTACAAATGAGAGATAATTCTTTTTTCTTGACCCAGTTAGTTGCTGAACTTCTGTATTTGGCAGTTCTTTCTAATGCAGCTTCTTTCCCTTTCCATTGTCTGTAGACAGTTGGTCATAATTAGGGTTTCTATTGCTGTCAAGAGACAGCAACCATGGCAACTCTTACCAAGGAAAACAATTAGTTGGGTGGATTTTATTTAAGAATTCTGTCCATTATCATCATGTAGGACATGGAGGCATGCAGGCAGACATGGTGCTGGAGAAGAAGCTCAGAGTCCTACATCTTGCAAGCAACAGGAAGTGGTCTGTCTCACTGAGCATGGCCTGAACATATATGAGACCTTAAAGCCTGCCTCCACAGTGACAGACTTTTTCCAGCAAAATCACGCCTACTCCAATAAGGCCACACTTCCCATTAGTCTCACTCTCTTTGGGGGCCATTTTCTTTCATACCACCACATAGTCCATTTTAACTCAACCTCTTTCCCATTCCAGTGTCTTTAATTTGCTGGGTACAGAGGAATAGTAGCCATTGTTATTCCTAAGCATCTTCAATTTTATTCATGCCATGTGAAGACAGATGTCTTAAATTCATGTGTTTGGTTTCCAATTCAGATCTTTCTAGAAGAATTTGAGAGAACTTTTGTGTTTGAATTATTCATCTTTCTCTTCCTCTACATATATAAAATGTATTATATATTAGAAATTTTGCTCACTGTATCTGCAGTATATTGTTATTCCTTTTTAAAGAAAATCTTAAAATTTTAGGATTGTCTTTATGTTATATGTATGGGAAGCCCACATGTATGTCTGTGCATCATGTTCACGCATTACTGTGGAGTCCAGAAGAAGGGGATCTCCTCTCACTGGAATTGCAGATGGTTGTGAGCTGCCCTGTGGGTGCTGGAAATCAAGGACTTTTGGAAGAACAACCAGTGTTCTTAACCACAGAGCCATCTCTCTATTACCATATGTCTTTCTTTAAAAGTTTTTTTTTAAACATTCGCTTATTTATTTGTGTATATGTGCATGTATAAATGTCCACATGCCATGACATGAGTGCAGAAGTCAGAAGACAACTTGGCAGAATTTGGTTCTCTTCTATTATATAGTTCCTGAATTCAGGTTGTAAGGCCAGGCAAGTGCCATTATTATCTAAGCTGTCTCACTGGCTGTATCTCCTTCGTAAAAAGCAAGCAGACTGTAATGCTGGGGATTGATTCCTGTGTCCTCAATTTTGTCAGCGTTGAAGAACATAGATAACCACAGTGCAGCCGGTAGCAGATGTCATCAGAAGAATTTGTGTCTTCTTTTGAAAGCTGAGGCTTTGCTTAAACTCTCAGATTGTGAATCTTCAGAGGAAGCAATTCATATTCTTGATCAGGTAGGTGGTCTGAGTTTTCCTCTTCAGGTTCAGTTTCCAGTCACTAGCTACCAGCCTTCTCTCCCTGCCAAATGGTTACCTTCATAAATTTTGAGTTAGAGATACAAATTCAGTATCTACACACTGATAAATTGTCCACACTCTTGAAACTGCTTGTCTTAGTTAGACTTTTTATTGCTGTGAAGAGACACCATGACCACAGCAACTCTTAGGAAACATTTACCTAGGGCTGGCTTACAGTTTCAGGTTTTTAGTCCATTATCATCATGAATGGGCATGGTGGCGTGCAGGCAGACATGGCGCCAGGGAAGGAGCTGAGAGATGTACTGCTTGATTCTCAGGCAGTAGAATCTCATGTGAAGACTTTGTGTTTTGTTTCAGTGCCTATTCTCCCATCTGTTTTCTTAGGTTTTTGGTATAATTTGAAATTCCTTAGTGAGAAAGCATAATGTGCAGATCATGAATTTTAACAACATGTTTCTTTAAAGAGTTTTATCACATAGTTAGTGCAGGGTGGTTCTTTTTGTTTGTTTGTTTTTTGTTTTATCATTGCTTTGTGTACTTCATAGGGCTTTGCATTTTCTGTTTTCTTTGAAGAGCAGCTGTTGGCCTCCTTTAAGAACTCTTAAGTAGCTGGATGTGGTGGTTTATGCCTTTAATCCCAGCACAGAGGCTCAGGCAGAAAGATGACCATGAGGTCAAGGCCAGCCAGTGATACATTATGAATTCTGGATCAGTCTGAGCTGCCTGTGAGACCTTGTCTCAAAAACAAACAAACAAACAAAAAATAAAAACAAAAAAAAACCCAAATCCAAACCTGATTTTTCTACTTGCTTGTCCTCAGTATGTATCTTATATAGATGCTTTATAGATACCTTTCCAGTACCTTTTTTTCACACACAAAAACCATATTGAAAAACTTCTTTTAAATCTATAAGCGTCCATATCTGAGACAGAGAATGTGTAAGTTGAGCAACAAAACATGTTATGCTAGAAAGCAAACTATAAAAGAAATACACTAGACAGACACAGGAGCTGGCCAGGGAGGGCAGCAGTGAATGTAATCTTTAATAGATGGAGGCATTGAGGATCAATGGCTTCCACAGAAAAAAAAGATAGTCCAACACAACCATGACAAATACACATAGCATATTGTTGCTAGATCAGGTCAAGGAGTCTGGTGCTGCCTATTGATGCAGGGATCAGGAAGAATGTCAAACACTTTGAGAACACATTCAGTCAAATCTTGACTTTGTGAAAGTATGACAAAAGGCCTGTTTTCACAGTTAAATTGTAAGGAAGAAGAAGGAGATAGAAGGGGCCTGTAGATTAAGAGATACTTCAGAGAGCTGTCGTCTTATTGAGCTATATGTTCCGTAGTTGAATTTTGACTGAAAAAAATTTTCAAATTCTTCATGAGGCAGCTAGGAAATCTGATAATTTGAAAGCTATATGGTTGCTTTGGGTCTGAGAATGGAGGTGTGTTAGCCATTTACAAATGACTTTGTCTTAAATGTATATGCTAAAATAGCACAGATAAGAAGTTATAATTTGTTTTAAATTCATCTGAATGATATGGCAAAAGGGTGTGTGTGTGTATACACACACACACACACACACACACACACACACACACATATATATATATATGGACAAACATAGCATTTGAGCTTATAATTCTGTAGCTGGACAATAGGTACAAACACGGTTGTTATAGTGGTCTTTCATTTTCTCATATTTCCCCAATTAAATGATTAAAGAATGAAAGTCTGGAGAGTAATGGAACTCTGACTATACCGTCATACCCTGCCCTTCTGTGTCTGTTCTTTAAGCAGAACAGACACCCCGGTAGCTGTCTGGAGAGACTTGTAGCAGCTGTCAATCATTTTCTAGGTTTCGGATACAGATAATATCCCAGGACTGCTCATTCTTCAAGGCCTGGCCCATCTGAACACAGGTGCTGTAGACAAGGCTACAAAGGTTGGTGTTTTCTTTCAAATGGAGCATTATTTGAAGGCTAAAAGAAGCTTCTGGGAATTTAGTTCAATGCTACAGTGCTTGCCTACAAAGAGTAAGGCCCTGGGTTTGCTCCCAAGAAGCCAAAATAGAATAAAATAAAGTATAAATAAAAACTAAGCAAAAACCTCAGCTAAAATTAAAGGCAAAAGCCATTTCACAGTATTTTGTTTTGTATTTTATGTGAATGGGTGTTTCTTGTGCATGTGTGTCTATGCACCATGTGCATGCCTGGGGGCCGTCAGAGGTGAGGGAAGAGCGTTGGAGACCCTGGAACTGTAGTTATAGATGACTGTCAGGCACCATGTGGATGCTGGGAATCGAACCTGGGTCCTCTGGAAAAGCAGCCAGTGCTCTTAACCACTAAGCCATCTCTCCAGCCCCCATTTATTTTTAATGGGATATGAAATTGATAAGTGTCTCCTTGACAGATTATGGAAGACCTTCGAGCTTCTTACCCTGACCTGGCCAAAGTTCATGCACTTGAGGCTTTGATTCATTTTACTAAGAAGGACTATCTGCAAGCAGAAGCATGGTGAGGGCTTATAGCTTGCCTGTGGCTCCAGCCATATCTCACTTAATTTCTGAAAATTGGGCTTGATGAAGTTCCACTTTTAAATCTATGGTGTGTGTGTGTGTGTGTGTGTGTGTGTGTGTGTGTGTGTTTCACTTGTAGCGTAGGAAATATACATTTTCCTGTGATTGATTTCTGATCTCATTAGCTGATCATAATGTTTAGTAAGCCAGTGTAATATTTGGTGTATGTGGACATGTGCAGTGTTAAAAGGTCACTGTGCTTCCTTAAGTAACAGCACTCTTGGCTTATTGTAGTCTAAACCCTGAAGTAGTGAAGTGCTTTAGATTTGGGAATTTTTGTAGGTTTATGCATTTTATTTTGGGTGTCTTGCCTGCATATATGTATGTGTGCATGCGTACCTAGTCCTGTGGAGGTCAAAATATGATGGTGTCAGATCTCCTGCAACTGGAGTTACAGTTTTGGGCCTTCATGTTGGTACTTGGAACCCAGGTCCTCAGGGAATAGGACAGATGGCTTAACCCTGAACTGTCGCTTCAGCTCCTAGATTTGGTATTCTTGAATCACCTACCTTGATTGTTCTGTCTTGGAGTCCCTTATGTTTTACACACATACACTTGATACTTCTTTTCATTCCCATTTGGTGATTTAGTTTCCAAAGAGCACTTGAAAAAGATGCTGAAGTTGCTGAATATCATTACCAGCTTGGATTGACATACTGGTTCATGGGTGAAGAAACAAGAAAAGATAAAGCAAAGGCTCTTACCCATTTTCTGAAGGTAAACCAGTGCTACTGCTAAATTCTTTCTGAAAGTGGATTTGTTATAAAATCAAATAGGCAACAGAATAGGTGTGTAAAACTACTATTTACTCAAGTATCTTTTTTGCATTTCCTTTCTCATAGAAGAGGTGTTGTGAGAATATTCTGTGTGTTTTCCTAGGTGAAAATTTAAGTCATGAAAGTGTAAAAGTGCCTGTTTTAGAAACATGTTATAGAAGTTGAGACATGTTGACTGTGGAAGTAATGCTGTTTTAGCTGATAGCCTCTGTAGTTTTACGGGTACGTGAGTCTGGATTTCTAGCTTTCTGTTTTTATAGATGTTTAACATCTATGTCTTAAATTCTTATTTTCTCAGGGAGCATATTAATTTAACAATGGCTCTAATTTCACATTTCCTTTACCAAAGGAATGCTAGTTTTACCTTCTATTTATTTTCTATAGGCAGCTTGGACCAGCTTTTGTGTCTGTTTTAAATATCACAGTAAAGGATTTTGTGGCTTAATTTTATACTTTTAATAAAATAGCTTCTTTAATCTGTGTACTGTAATCTTAATATGCATTGAAATAAACTTTTAACATTTCATTGTCGACATTTATTTCCAAGGCTGCAAGACTGGACACATACATGGGTAAAGTTTTCTGCTATTTAGGTCATTATTACCGTGATGTAGCTGGAGACAGAAACAGAGCCCGTGGATGTTACAGAAAAGCTTTTGAGTTAGATGACACCGATGCTGAGTCTGGAGCAGCGGCTGTTGACCTAAGTGTGGAACTTGAAGACACGGTCTGTCTCATGACCACTTCTGTCTCTTAGTCTTTTACCCTTGTATATTAATGGGAATATTTTTATAATATATTTACTTGAAAGTTATATTCATTATTCTTTGTAGGTAAAATGTACTCATTTATAAACTACATTTTCTTCCTCTTGGTAGATACTAAATTACTTGTCACTTTCCTGCATGTACTTTTATATAGCTATGTATGTGCATGCATGGCCTTCATATGGGTACATGTGCATAGGTGTCATGTGTCCTTTCTTGGGAGCTTTCCACTTTGACTTTTGGAGAGGCTGTTCACTGAACCTGAAGCTCATTGATCTGGCCACACTAACTAGCTAGTGAACTTCCCAACCTCCTTCCCTAGTGCCAGAGTTATGGGAACATTCCCCAGCCCATCTTTTTACATGCATTCTAAAGATCTGTGTTTGTTTGTCAGGAACTTTACCAATTGAGCCAAGTCCCTAGCCCTGACTTTTCTTTTATTATTAAAATTAGTTTTATGTATGTCATTGTAAACTTAAAAAAATCAGAAGTGGGAAATGAAAGTATGTTTATGTCTTTTGCATAATTGTTCTGTATTTTTGTATTTGGTATCCCTGACATTGATATTTCCTCGTTAGGAAACTGCTTTAGCTATCTTAACAGCAGTAACTCAAAAGGCAAGTGCTGGAGCAGCAAAGTGGGCCTGGCTTAGGCGAGGACTATACCATTTGAAAGATGGTCAACATTCTCAAGCAGTGGCTGAGTAAGACACCTTACTATGTTTACACTAACCAGTGTGGCGCTAACTTAAATTTCTTTGGTAGCATGTGACCTTTATAAATGAGTTCTAACCAAGATGCATTTTGAGAGGACCACAACAAAATTTATTATGATTAATTTGGTGCTTATTGCCCGAAAGGCAGTAGAATGGAATGTGGACTAAGTCATGTACTGTTGTTGAGGAGTTAGCCTGTTAAGTCTTAGTTGATATCATAATGTGCATGTGTACCTAGGTCCTCTCAAGAGACATTTCAGTAATAAAAAGTTGACCTTGGCTTCAGGGGTTGCTTGGCAACTTGGCAGCTTGAATGGGGTTTTAGTCATTTTGTTTGAACTGTGTTTCAGAGTAAAATATAATTGAGTCAAGACAGAATCATCTCTGATGTACATAAATTTTTTTTCATAAAAATGCAATTTGATCAGAAGTGTTAGCACCTCCTCACTCCCGTATTTCAGGTGTGTAGAGGAGGGGTGACAGGTTAAAAACTGAGATGTCCACCTGTTCTGGTTGCCTAGAAAACTGGAGCTCTGCCAAATAATAAAGAAAAAGAAACTGGCAACATTTCCCCCAAAGGACATTTTAATCTTATTCTTTAAAAATCACTTCACAAAATCTTCTTCCTATTAAAAACATTCAAATCATAAAAGAAATAGAAAGACTGAGTGCCTTAAGTATCATTTTTACAAATCAAAGGACCTGTGGATGATTTAATTGGATTACTTATTTTAGATGAGGATGTAGTTCTGTTACGTTTAATTTGTCACTGTTTCTTAATTGTTAAGTTTGCAGGCAGCACTCAGGGCAGACCCAAAGGACTGCAATTGTTGGGAATCCTTAGGAGAGGCGTACTTAAGCAGGGGCGGCTATACAACAGCCTTGAAGTCTTTCACAAGAGCCAGTGAGCTGAACCCAGACTCCACGTACAGTGTGTTTAAAGTGGCAGCAATACAGCAGATCCTAGGCAGGTATACTGAGGCCATCGCTCAGTATCAGCTGATCATTAAAAAGAAAGAGGATTATGTGCCCGCCTTGAAAGGTAATTTTTTTTCAAGAGTTCTTTATTTTAATAATACTGAACTATAAAACCCCCAAGTAAATAAATTTTCTACCTACCTGTACAAAATAGTTTGAAAGCATGTAGTCAATAGCAAGTATCTGACAAGAATTGCTTATTGTACAAATTGATATTGATTTGATTATAAAAATAGCAAATTTTGTTTCCTAATAGTTCGTAAATAGTAATATGGTATGGTACTGATTAACTTTTAGACAAATAGGACTCTCTCTTTCTGGGGTGGGATAGGCTGGTTGCAGTTTCTCCTACATATCCACCCCCACATCCCGTTTTCTTATTCGGCTTATTGGGAGTCAAAGTTCTAGCTTCAGCCTCATTGTCCCTGCCTCAGAGAGCATCCAGCGTGATGGACCATGCCTGCCTTAGGTTGACCTGCCTTGAGGTCCTTACCCATCATTTACTACCAGCCCTCGAAGGATGACATTTCTGGGAAGCACACCTAGGCAGGAGGAATGCCTATCAAACTGATGCCTTGGAAATTTCTGTGAGCCAGGCCCAAGAGGCCTCCCAAGGAGGGCCACGTTCTGGGTGCCTTGAGAACCTGGAGTGTGGAAATACATTGTAGGAACATGGCAACAATGTCCACTTCGCTAGAACTGCAGGCAGCCCTGGTAACCAGGCATCTAGTAGGGCAAATCTGTTCACTCTGACTTTCAACATTGTGTCTCAGGAATGAGGCTGGCACAGCGCAGAAAGATGCAGCTGCTTCTGTAACAAGGAGGAGCAGAGAGCCAAGTTTTTGAGATTGGCTACTATATATACTCCCTTATTTGCTTCTTTTATAAAAGGAACAATCAATGTTCCAGTTCTTAATATTGTAGGTTTAGAGTAACATACAGCTTAGAGCCTGGAATAATTTTCCTTTTCTCTCCCTTCCTCTTCCCCTTTCTTCATTTACAAAACCTTCCTCAAGAGAAAAAAGAGCTCCCTTTTATAAAGTATTTCCTGGCACTTAAGGGATTTACTATTTCATCTAGTTTTTATTGTATAGTTTGCTACACAGGTTTTAATGAAAACATCAAATACTGTTTTTATTATAGTGTCCCTAGTTTGGAAGCTAACATCTGAAGACATTAATTAACCCATAGTCAAGAGAATTCTGGGCAGATGACTTCCTGTGAGTTTTAGTGCATGCTGATTGCAACAAAACCTTGACATTGGGGATCTTTTCTAAATGTGTCAAGACTGTATTTAGAAATCATTTTATAAAATAACACTGTATTGTTTTCTGGAAGCTTCTCAAAAGACTCAAATTGACTCTCTCTCTCTCTCTTTTTTTTTTTTTTTTTTTTTTGTATATTTTAATGATGTACACAAACTCCCCTCAACACAGGTTTGGGCGAATGCCATCTAATGATGGCAAAAGCAGCCTTAGTGGATTTTCTGGATGGAAAAGCTGTAGACTGTGTGGAAAAAGCTCTGGAATATTTTACTTGGTTAGTATCACCTTTGTTTAGCACTCTTACGTTCTTGGTAGTATAATAAAGCTAAATTTAGAATATAATTTTATGTCTCAGCTATTAGATATAGCGGTTATTTGGAGTGTCAAACAAAAAGTAACAGAGTAGCCGATTAATTCTGTAGCATACAAACTCTTAATTTTATTCCTGAGCTCAGAAAGAGATGTTTTTGTGCCCTCTGTAATGACAGCTATTCTGCAGAGAGAAGGGGAACATGGCTACCCGTGGAGCAGCAGCTCTGACCTGGCCATGGGTGCCTCTCTGCTGGGGCTGATTGCGAAGTGGAGCTTCAGACACTCAGGGTGCTTCTCATTCATCAGTAGGGCCTGGACAGGGAAAACGAGCCTTCAAATTACTCCTGGAGAAAATTTGAAAGGACAAGAGGTGTATCTAATAAGAAAGGAGTCAGGAAGATTTAAATCTAGCAGGTTATAGGAGTGCAAAGTATTGTTTATGTTGGATGACTTTATAAAGTCCACACATTAGGGATTGGGAAGACAACTCTGCAGGTTAGAACAGTTGCTGGTCAAGCTTGAGGACCTGATTTTAAATTCCCTGTGGCTATCCATGTGCCCGTAACTCTGAGATGAGAAAACCACCGAGTCTTACTGGCTGCCAGCCTACCTTTAGTGAGACATTTACCATATTTCAAGGAAATATGACAGAGAGGGATAGAGCAGGACAGTTGATGGCCTCTATACTCACATCCCCCCTGTCTCATACTCGTATGTCCCCCACCTCAGTGGCAACAACAAGTCTACAGAGTGTTTGGGGCACAAGGGTCCATATGCCTGTAATTCCAGCCTCTTAGGAAGCCAAGGCAAGAGGATAGCAACTTCGAAGACAGCCTCAGTACATCTCAACAGCAACTATACCACTGAGCTGAATTCCCAACCCTGATTTAAAAACATATAAAAAAAATAAGTGGAAAAGATATGCGTTTGGACAGTTAAGATTGCTACTGTTTTCTTTTTCCTCTTAATGGTGTCAGTTTTAGAAACCTGACTGAGATGCTTAAAGGAAACTAGGAATAATGGTCTTCCTTCTGACTCACAGTGGGTGGGTTTTCAGCAGTGACTGCACTAATTAGTGCGTCCCAGGAAGACACTGGGAAATGGGTTCTGGCTGGACTCCTGTAGTGGAAAAGGCTATGAAAATGCCCCATCTGCTTGTCCACCTGCCTGTGACACAGCAGTGCGTAGCCTTAGCCTAAACGGAGTCGCTCTGAGAAGGGTGAGGAGACATGTGCAGTGCTGACGCCCTCATCCTAAAAGGAGCCAGCCCTTCGTCTCTCCTCAGGCTCTGTTTACTTTTTGAGTTGTTTATCCAGGCTGCTTTTACTTGCTCCTGAGGGTAGAACTTTAGATTTTCTTGTTTAGAGGTTTTTTTTTTTACCCCCTCAGTGAAAATACTGTGCTCCACCGAGTGTAGTTCCGTTAGTGATCAGTGGGACATGCCCAGCGAGAGCCTGACTGAAGTCATGGCTCTCAGCCAGGGTTGCTGATACAGTTCTGTTCCAAGACTGTGTAGTCCTGAGAGGCATGCAGCTGAGCTTTTAGACATAATTTGGAAAGCTCCTGTTTCTCCTTGCAGGGCACTGCAGCATCGAGCTGATGTGTCCTGCCTCTGGAAGCTCGCTGGGGATGCCTGCAGCAGCCTGCATGCTGTTTCACCGTCTAAAGTGCATGTTCGCGTGTTAGGAGTGCTTCTCGGCCAGCAGGAAGGAAGTGAAGTATTGAAGAAAGATGAGCTCCTGAACCTAGGAGGAAGGTGATTTACAGAGAGGACCAGACATTCCACTAGACTTGAATCAGAACATTATATTTTAAAAGCAGTCACACCATTCATTTTAATTTTTCCACAGGTGTTATGGTCGTGCACTAAAGTTGATGTCTACATCGAATACATGGTGTGATCTTGGAATTAATTATTACCACCAAGCACGACATCTAGCAGAGACAGGTGGCAGCACGGATGGCCTTACAGAGCTACTGGAGAAATCTGTGCATGTAGGGGAAATTTCACATGACCTTAGAAACAGTGATTTTATGAAGAATGCTATTGATAAATATTTTAACATTAAACCACATTTTTATATAAATGCTGATATTCAAGAAATAAAAAATTAATCTACTTTAACTTCTTTTCAGTGTCTGAAAAAGGCAGTGAGACTGGACAGTAAAAATCACTTATACTGGAATGCTCTTGGTGTGGTTGCATGTTACCATGGTGAGAATTGAATAACACTTTACACGGTATTTGTTTGCAGGCAATAAAATTTGGTTACTTAGATTCTTTATGTTTCAGGTATTGGGAATTATGCTCTTGCTCAGCACTGTTTCATCAAATCGATCCAGGCAGAACAAATTGTAAGTGTTCCAAGTATCTATAAAAAAAAAAAAAAAAAAAAAAACTGCAAAATTCAGTGCATTCATTTTCTTTTAAAAGTAGTTCATTTAATTTGTGTGTGTGTGTGTGTGTGTGTGTGTGTGTGTGTGTGTGTGTGTGTGTGTATGTGTATATGGTAGATGTGTGAGTGAGTGCAGGTGTGCCATGGAGTGCTTGTAGACATCAGAGGACTACTTTCAGGAGTTGGGGCTCACCTTACATTGTGTTCATTTATTTATTGGGTGTGTGTGTGTGTGTGTTTATTGTATGTGAATGTGTGCGTGTGTGTATGTGGTTTTAGGGCTACTGAGGAGTTTAGTTCGTTCTTTGCTAATTTCACACATGTCCATGTATTTTGATCCTCCTCCTACACCCTCTGATCCCTTCATCTCCCCAGCAGGTCCCCTTCCCATTTCATGTCTTATTTTTATTTTTTATTTTATTTTATTTTTTTGTTTTGTTTTTTTCAAGGCAAACTACTGAGTTTAATTTGGATTGCTTGCATGGATGTGGGGTTATTTGTCAGAGTATGGACAAGTTAGCAGTAGCTACACTGTTGAAGGAAAAGGACTCCCCAGTCTCCCTTTGCTGCCTAGCTAGGTTGTGGAGCCTGGTGAGCTCCCTCCTGAGGCGCAGGAGCATATTGAGCTTCACTCTTGTACAGCTCTTGTGCAGGTGGCCATGCCTGCTGTCCATTCATGAGTGCAATAGCCAACCGTATCATGTTCAGAAGACAGAGTGAACACTTGTCCCCATCCCTCAACTCTTACATTCTTTCTGTTCCTCTAAACCTTGGAGGGTGTGACACACATTGACTATTTTGGGTGGGCACTTTGACCAGCTAGGAGTCTTTGCATTAACTGTTCTGCACAGTCAAAAGAAGCTTCTCTGAATGAGACCTATTTTTTAAATATATCTTTTAGAATGCTGCTGCGTGGACCAACTTAGGAGTGCTATACCTTGCGACAGAAAACATTGAGGTATCATTATCAGTTTCAATATGTTAAAAATGAAGGTTATTTTCTACATAGGACTTTGTGGAAAAATATTTTATGTGTTATTTGTCCAGTATGTCAAATATGCTAGTTAATTGATGACATTTGTTTCATTTTGTTGAGTAACGTTTACCTAATATTTATTTTTTCCTTTCATGAAAGGAATACTTTTTTTTGTTCTTGTAGACAGTATTTGTCTGTGTAATCCACACTAGCCTTGAACTCACTATGTAGTAGCCATCTTCTTACTTTAGCTTTTTATAGATGAAAACAATTCTCTTAATTGGCAACAATATAAATATAAGAGAAGTTCTTTATATGCAGTGTTTATCTGGATGAGTGAAGGTAAGAGAGACAATTAGTATTTTTTAATATCTTCAATTTAGCGTTTGGTTTTGTGATTTAGAATTTGGCTTTATTGCCTTTGAATTCCTCCCAGTTTAGCCCCTGGAACCCAGTTCCTGGAGTCATGTTCATAGGCCATGCTTGTGAAGTCTCTACAGGTCTAGACATAGTGCCGCATCTTCATTGTTTCTGGTTTAGTCAGTGTGCTGAATCTTATCCTTTCACAAAAAAACCTTCCATAATATTCTTGAGAATACATTAACCACTCACTGCAAAAATGATCAGCTTTGGAAGATTGTAAATAGACTGAAAGAAATTCTTAAATTAGATTTGAAGATATGTTAAGTATGTAACTGTAGCTCAGTGAAAATGTACACACTTAGTGTGGGCAAGGCCTAGGCTGAGTCTCAGGACCACTGGGCATAATTGTTGTTCATAAGCTTTCTTTTTCCTAAACAAAAATCTCTTTCCTTATAGCACATGGATTATCCTGAAACAGTAGAAAACAGATGTGTGCTTTTGTTGTTGTTTCTTTGAAAGCTGGGCGCATATGAGTTTATAGTTGAAGAGAGGTATCTTTAATGTTTCTTGACTGCTTATCTAGAATTGTGTTGTTAATCTCTCTTTCTCTAACAGCAGGGTCCGTAGCTCCAGCTCTGTTGGTTGTGAGTTCTTATTCCTCCAAAATAGGGGAGTAGATTCAGCCTTACTTAATCATTTCTTTCACACGTAGTTACCCTATGGTATATGATTATTTAAAAGTTCTGCAGAGTAGGTGCTGGAGACCTATAGCATTATTTTTCAGGGGACCAGAGCTCTTCATCTATGGGGAAATCTGTTGCGCACAGCGCTATTCTAAGATTACAGCTAAAACATTGTATTCAGGTATTACTAATTGTGGTTGGACAGTGAAATATTTTATTTATGATATTCATAACACGTTTGGCTTCTCTTATTTTATGCTTTGTAAACAACTGAAGTTTATGATATTGCTTGGTTTTTTTTTTTTAATTTTTTTTTTTTTTTTTTGTCTAGCAAGCTCATGAAGCTTTCAAAATGGCTCAGTCCCTTGATCCATCTTATTTATTGTGCTGGATTGGACAAGTAAGATAACAGTTATTAATAAACATCAATATAAAATAACTTCATATTAGTGTTAATGATAACATTAGTGATCACCAAGATGATAATGATATCATTGAGAATTTACGACATACTCGTCATTGTGTTTAGGTGTTTGCAAGGAATATTTTAGTTAATCTCTTACCAATCTTTGTGGTGTGGTTATTATACTCTTTAAAGATGTAGAAATTTAAACTCAGATATCCTAAATAGGTGTCACGGCTAGCAGTGATTAAACTTTGAATCCCATGAATGATTATTACTTTGCCTAAAAAACAAACCTAGAACTCTTATTAAACCTACATTTGCAAAGATCGGCAATTTTCTATAAAGTCTTCATACTGAGTTGTGCACTTGTGACTGTTTTTTCTTTATGTTTAGATTTGTGTACTGCCAGGTAGAATCGGGTTAATTCTTACTAGTCTGGTCTGTCACTGATAATTTTTACTTCAGTCAGATCACCTGAAAACTGAATGCCTTGTCTAGAGGAGAATGTTAATGAATTGCTAAGTGGTTTGGCAATAGGAGCATCACATGTATCAGAACTATTAGTCAAAGATTGGGCATGTCTTACTGTGCTTTAGTATCTTGGTGTAACTCAAGTTATCTGGTAGTGCGCGCAGATAGCTCGGCAGTTTCCTGTCCACATTAGGTGCAGTGGCACGTGGGAGCAAGGCATATCTGCGCTGTCCTCTGTGCCAGTTATCAGACAAGGAGCACAGTAGCTTCCATTACTGTCTGATGTCAGAATCTTATGATGAAACTGTTCCAGGGTACTTTGCTCTAGGTTAGGAAATATTATCATTATCTACATTGTAAAATGTTTTCTGTTTTCAAAGTATTTTGTTCTTAAAATAATGATCTCAGAACACAACTCAAAGGCATAGTTAAAAATGGTAGCACTGGAAGTGAATCATGGATAGTAAATCTCTGGTTCTTCTAGAGCCATTTATTACCATTAGTTTTATTTCTTTTAAATTAATGGAAACCTTTTAAAAATCCTTTTAACAGGCTCTTATTGCAGAGACAGTTGGAAGTTATGACACCATGGATCTCTTCAGGCACACTACAGAGCTCAGCATGCATGTAAGACTCAATTGTTCTTCCTGAGAATTCATTAGTGGGCAAATAGTATCCACTCATAAGGATACTCATAAGTGGCAAAGTGGTGTAATGTTGATGATGGCTGTTGTTTTTATCTATCTTAGAATCAGATAAATTGTCTTTACCTAGAACTTCTTGTTTTCATCTTCAGCGTTCAAGCTGATAAAAAACAACAATGAGATTACAAATGTTATTTATTTATTTTTATGTATATGGGTGTTCTGCCTGCATGTATATCTGTACACCAAGTATGTGCCTAATATTCATCATGGCTAGTTGGGGCATTGGAGCTCTTGGGACTGAAGTTCCAGACAGGTGTGAGCTGTCATGTAGGTCATGGGAACTGGGCTTGGGTCTTCTGGAAGAGCAGCCAGTGGGTCTTAACCATTGAGCTGTGTCTCTAGTCTTCCATATTGAGATTTTTAGTGCATGTAATAAGAGTATTGTAGAAGACAAATTGAGACCATAAGAAAAAAATAGACATGAAGTGAAGAATGGCTTTAGTTGATAATCTAGACTCTGAAAAGACTTGGGATTAGTTTGGTTTAACCTGTGGGAATGTTTGAGAAGGGAAAAACCAGCCCACATGGCAAGCTTCTGTTTTCCAATCTTTGTTGTATTCGATTCTACTCAGGATTAAAGTGATTTTCAATTGATCTCAATAGGTTTGTTGGTGTTGTTTTGCTTTGTTTTTATCATGGCTGCCTTTTGTTAAAGCACTTAAAGAAGACTAATCTGTGATACTATTGTTATTGAAATATTTTATTTCATAGTTTTATTGAAATACAGATTGTCATAAGTTTACTTTGTGTTTTCAAGACTGAAGGAGCCATAGGTTATGCATATTGGGTTTGCACAACATTACAAGACAAAAGCAACAGAGAAACAGAGCTATACAAGTACAACATCCTCCAGATGAATGCTGTCCCTGCAGCACAGGGTGTTCTGTGTAAATATGTGGGTAAGATACCTATTGTATGTAGCAGAATATTAGACTACTGAAGTGTGTAAATACATTGTAGGTGAGACACCTATTATAGTAGGTACAATATCAAATGGGTACATTTTTAAATTTTCCCACCTCATCTTAACTGTCAGTGTTCTTTCTGTTGTTAATTTGCCTTTTTGTTGCTCTGGAAGAGGCTTCCTTGTAATAATGGAAGTATGTTAAAGGTTCTGGTTCAGGGTTGCTGCCACAGTGATGCCTCTGTATATTCCATTTCAGTTTGTAGACCAGATATTTTGTTTTCCTTAACTTGGGTTTCATTTCTGGGGAGAGGAGATCACAATTCCCAGGTTGTTTAGTTATGAGAATTAGATAATACATATGAGATGTCAAACCCATACCTAGTGATTTTAACCTTTCCTATTAACTCCTGATTATCCTCTAAGATATTGTAAACATATATATTTATATTTAGGAAACTGACAGAATGGTGAAGTTTATCAGTTTTTCCCTGGTAATAATTTCCTGTCTTTTAAAATAGAACCATTTCTGAGTCTTTATCTCTGCCTCACGACTCAGTCATTATTCAGTCCTTGGGCATACTGTACAACTGAATTTTAGGTTTCTTACCTGTGATATAAAAGGATTTTAGTGAGATGAGTTGTTCAAAGTGTTAAGCTTAGTTTTTAGCAGGGGTAGTCATAAAAGAAGGCAGCAGCTGAATAATATGAAGTGAAAATGGTTTGGCCCAAGTATTGACACGTCAGTTCTCTTGTGTATGTCGTCTGAGCCACTTGTGAAGAAGGTAATGAGTTTACTGGCATCAGCATTTTGGGACATTGTCATCTGTTGCAGTATACTGACCTGAAGGACACTGCTAAGTCCCCAGAGATGAGGACATGTCCACCTAGAAACCTTATTCATGCATTTCCTTACTTTCTAAGTAACTTAAAGGATTTACATAAAGAGGTAAAGCTTTTAATAAAATGCAGATATCTAAAATGGTGAACACTTTTGTTTGTTTGTTTTTAACAAGTGTGCATAGCTGTTTTTTAAATGTTGGAACCATTTTCATAGATTCATATAAATGCTGTGTGCTTAGCCAGGAATACTAACAAAGCAGAAAAAAAAGAGATGCTGATGAGAAGATGCAGAACATCTCTGTCTGTCCTACTGAATTTGCATTAATATACCATGGTGGATGGCACTTCTAACTCTTTTTGATGGTTTTGTGATCCTGTAAAGTGACTTTTGGGATTTAGGAATGGCTTTGACTATGATGTTAGTCATACACCTTACACTTGCACATGTTATACTCTGATGCTAGACTCCCAGCCATCACATAAGATTCCTGTTTGTGGTGTACTTGTTAAACAATATAGGGATATGAAAGCCTGCTCTTTAATACTAGCTTTAAGTAACTAGGTAAGGTATATTTTTCTTTGTCCTATATAGATATATAATGCACTTTCAACATAAAAATGGTAAAATACTGTATTGAAAGCACTCAGATCCATTTCTCTGGTGTGAAGTACTGAATTATTCTTTTAGAATATATATCTTCAAATAGAACCACCAAGAGAAAATCATTGCTATGTTAAATCATAGGAAAGAAGTTTAATTGATTAACTAGGAAATTGTATGAAAATCTTTAAGAACCAATAAAACAAAAATTGCAAAATCCTGAATTTCTTTATAAATGATAGAACTAGTTTTTACTGAGTTATAATTTCAAATAATTTTACCTAACACACTTGCTTTTGGTTTGTTTATTTTAAACTAAACATGAAAAAATAAAATATATTATGATAAAAGCAAAACCCATCTTATTGAGGCTGGGCAAGGCAACCCAACAGGAAGAAGAGAGTCCCAAGAGTAGGCACGAGAATCAGAGACCCAATCATTCATTCACTCAAAAAGTCCCATAAAAATGCCAAGCTATATATGCAGAGGACCTGGTGCAGTCCCTTGTGGTTGTCCCTGTGGTGCTGCTCCAGTCTCTGTGAGCTCATGTGAGCCTTGCTTAGTTGACTCGGAGGGCCTTGTTCTCCTGGTGCCCTCCATCTCCTCTGACCCCTACACTGTTTCTGCCCCTTCTGCAGGGTTCCCTGAGCTCAGAGAGGAGGCATTGGATGGAGACATTCCATTTAGAGGTGTATTTCCCAAGGACTTAAAGAAAACACATTTAAATTATAAAATGTAACTAGAGGCCACATATAATTTTTAAATATTATTCAGTAATTTAGAAGAATTGTCCAATTAATCAGTGGTATATTCAAGATAAATTAGGCCATAATTCTTAAGACTACCATTAATCTCAGCAGGTAATCTCCTGCTTTGAGATACTGAAACAAAAGGAATTTTACAGTTTTTTTTTGTGTGTATATATAGTCATACACATACAAATTAAACATATTTGTGAATTTCCAGAAAGAATTCAGAATTACGCTCCAGCTTTCACAATGTTGGGTTATTTAAATGAACGTCTACAGTTAAGAAGGGAAGCAGCAGAGGCATACCAAAGGTAGGTATGCCTAGTGGACATCGCTCACTGTGTTGTTGGTATGCCATTAGAGTTTAGTCTCTTGACAAAGAACTAATGTGATGTTTCACTCCTTTCCCGGTCCTCATTCTGTTACCTTGTAGAAGGTAAAAAGATGAAGTTCCACATTTGCAGCTCTATTTGGGGTTCCATTAGCTAGGGAATGGGGAATAGAAAAGGGCATAAACCAAACCCTCATAGATTCTGTTTTAGAAAAATCTACCCCCTATAGTCAGACAAGAAACAACAACATGGATGTTTACTGGACTTAACCTTATTGTCTATTAGGTATTTATGCTTGTCATTAAATGTTTTTTGGATACTTAAGCCTAGCCGTGTCCTTGCATGAGAAATTTATCAGGGAATTACAACAGACAGAGGCCCTGTTCTCATGGAACTCCTCAATATGAGATACTTAGTAAGCTAATAATAACTGGTAACTAAAACTTACTAAGGAAGAATTAAAGTAGCCTCCAGGGTTAGAGAATACAGGAAGATGCATTCAGAGTGAGAACAGGTACTTCCAAATAGAAGTAGCTTGCCACATTTAACAAACAAAACCCCAGTGTACTAGAGTGGAGTGATTTCCTGGAAACTGGTAGGAAATGAAAGTCACTAGTTTTTTTCTCTATACGGTAATGGTAAGTAAATATGAAAATAACTGTTGATCTCATGAGTAACTACTAATAAAGGTTGGAAGTGCCAATTGCCTAACTTTAAGGCACTTCACTCCTTCAAATGTAAGTGGAGGCTATATAATGAAGTTTTTTGTTTGTTTGTTTGTTTGTTTGTTTTCCAGGTGATAGAGGAAGGTTTATAAAAAAAAACAAAACAAAATTTTCTTCTTAAAGTGTCAAAAATCTTAGAGTAAATAAACACATAAAACAGCTGTGTATGCTACTTTTGTGTGCTGTAGAAATGCTGAACATCACCATACCTGAGGCTTGTGGCAATTGCACAGCCACAAAAGAGACATGTACTGACCACAGCAGCTGTGTTGTATTACGATATTTGCTGCTTGAAACACAAATAGTGCATAAATTCAACCAGAAGTGCAGTTTTTGATCTCTAGCATTTTTAACTGTAGATTTCACATCATGCACCAATCCCGCTCATCTCCTTCCTGTCCCTTCTTCATATATGCTCTTTGCCCTTGCAATCCTCCCATCCCCACAACAAACAAGGCAAAAGTAAACAAAACATCTCACCATGGGAGCTGTGGTGTGTCACAGTTTACACTTTAGGTCAAACATCTTTATTTGCAAATGTTTATTGCAACGAGTCATTGGTCTGGTTCTAGGCCTCTGGCTTCTGCTATACTATTAATGTTAGATTTTCCTTCACTCTTGGATATCATTTTGCTGCCCCATGTCATGGAGATCCTGTAGCTTTGGATCTGCAGGATCGGCCACTTCACTTATTACAGCAGTTCACAGATGGGGTAAATGTTGGGGTGGTCTCATAATGCATCACCCTGGTTCTGGGCCTGGGTTATAGCTGGGTTTGTTGGTCCGCCGACTCTACCTCATTCTCACCAGCAGGGGAAGCTCTCCAGCACTGCCCTAATTAGTTTACCCAATGCCCCAGGCAGCAAGGGGCAGGGGCAGTTCTGCTTTCACACCCTCCGGGCAACTTCTAACATTTTTATGCTTCCTGAGCAAATTGGTTTTTTGTGCAACATCATGTAGGTAAAAAGCCTTTCTTGGGTATTTCTCCTGGCAGATGTCTTTAGAGAGAAAAGAAAAAAAACCTTCCTTGCCCATAGAGAGCACAGTGGGAGAAGAAAATGTTGGCTTTAGCTCCTGGTAAATGTATTCTAAGCCTAGAGAAATCTCTCACCTTTTCCTTTCATGCATTATCTTTTAGTATTTCTGTGTGGTCAACCTCAGAAATCATTCAAATTTCTGCCTTCCTACATGAATATTTTCAAGAATGTCTTCTGTAAACTTTGGAGTTTCAAAATAGAACATTGATATGATCATTGCCTATGTTTAGATTACAAATTTTAGAATATTTACAACTCACATGCAATAATAAATGGCTTTACTTATGAAAAAACAAGATTATTTTTTACCAACAACCTAAAATTTAAATATATTTAAGAGCCTTTATGGTATCTATTTTTGGAATATAAACAAGCTGCCATAAACAGCATTAAAGAATTAGAAGAATTGAAAGAAAAGACTATAGATCCATGGATTTGGTTGAGGAGGAGTGAGTAAAACAAATTGGTACACATAGAAAATTTAAAATACCTTGTCTTCTTCTTCTTCTTTTTTTTTTTTAAAGGGCAGCTTCACTGTTAGATCCTACAGAAGACCAGCATACTTACAATGTTACAATGAGAAACTGGGGCAGATTGTTGTGGTAAGGCTATGTTTTCTTATTAATTCTGTGAATCTATTTCTCAGAGAAAATTGTGGCCCTATAGATGTGAAGATTAGTGTCCAAAGCACTGGGATATATTATTCACATCCAGAATGTGTTAAAAGTTTCTCTGCCCTTATAACCTAGCCTGAGTATGCCTTGTGAAGAGTGAAGTTAGAGCTGATGGTTTATGGATTGGATAGAGGACCGTTTGGGAGGTAGAGTTTCCTCTGATAGAAGCCTACTTAACTAGTTGGGGAGTTGGATTTATTCGTATTGGCTATGGAATATTACGTTTTAGGAGCTCCTTTGAAACAGTACTAAAAATTTTAGGAAAATGGAGCTAAGCTCTTCCCTTGGATTCGAAGTCTTCTGACCTAAAAAGACAGGCAGACTGTGTTAGAAAGTAGAAGTAAAGCCGGAGTGCAGATCCATAGAAAGTAGGCTTTTGACTCACAGGGTTTTTCCTCGAATGAGAATTGCACTAAACTTGAATGGTTAGTTTGAACATTGAATTGCAACTTGGTATTTTAGGATCAGTCTCTACATCTTTTAAGGAACTGCTCATGGAGGCAGGAGGTAGCCAGTTCCTTCCTGTTATTGCTGTAGTTTACTCAAGTCCATCAATAGAGAAATATTACTACTCTACTTGCTTATGAATTCTTTTAAGCTTATACCTTAGTGGTGGCTCTTTTAAAAACAGATTATTTTTTATTTCATATGTATGTGAGTATGTCTGACTGTATATAGGTGCAACATGTGTGGGTCTGATGCCCACAGATGCCAGAGGGGGTTTTGGAGCCCCTGTAACCTGACTTAGTGGGTAGTCCTGGGTTAGCTAATAGGCAATTGACCTGGGTCCTCTGTAAGAGCAGTATATGCTTTAACCACTGAGCCATCTCACCAGCCCTCTTTTGTTTTTATTATGTACTATCTTGAACACAGGCATATGGTAAATAGTAAACTATAGTGTGTAAATCAGTTAATAGTCACCGCTCAAATATAATACATAAAAATTCTGTCAGTTTGCTTCAGGTTTCATTTTAAAGAAAAAGTCATAAAGCTAAAGTCCCCTTACTCCTTTTCCTGTATTTTTCTTTTACACATTTCTGAAAAAAAGTTTTGATTTAAAGAAATAAATATGTACATGTGTGCAAACAACTCTCTTGCACTAAAGGCTAGCCTTCTTTCAAAATTAGAGCTTAATTTTATATTTTTTTATCTTTATAAAACTAGTATTAAAAAGCAAGGGTTGCTTGTGTTTTTAACTTATAGCTTCAAAGATTAAAATGCTTTTCATAAAAATATTTCAAAGCATTTATAAAAACCTTTTGGATTATATGGTAAATACCAGAAACAAGAGTCTCAGAAATAGTTAATTAAGTAAGAGTTGGGGCTGGAGTGATGGCTCAGCAGCTATGAGTGCTAGCTGCTCTTCCAGAGATCCTGGGTTTGGTCCCCAGGGCCCATGTGAGGCAGCTCTCACCCACCTGTAATTCTAGCTCTCGGGGATCTAATGCTCTCTTCTGGCATTACCTGGCACCTACATACATGTGACATAGACTCAGACAGACACACGTGTGCATCAATTAAAGACATCTTAGTTGATGGCTGCCGAGCTTATGTGACTTTATTGTAAGATAAGCAGCTATTTTGCTATTATGATCCCTAGTGTTAGCTTTTCTCACTATATCTTGAAACACAGAACAATAAAATTATCTCTGTGGACTTTTATTGTGCCTATGTGCCATTCATATAACTTATTAGATATTATAGATCCATATTCTTAGGAAACTATTTAATCAACACAGTAAGCCTAAAAATAAGAGTTTTTTTTTTTTTTATAAAAGCCATTTGTTAAAAAATGAAGAATTTAAGACAGTGATTTGAGTTTAGCAGAGCTAGTTATCTTCACATATAATTTAAGACAAAAGAAAACAAAAAAAAAAAAACATGAAGATAAATCATTCTGGTATACTTCACTTACAGTGTGCCTACTATTTTAAATATTCTCAACATGAACACTAATATATTTTACTTGCTAAAATACTATAAAAAGGAACATGTAGATTAGTCATTAAAAGTAGTTGAGTGAATATATCTGTATACCTTCACAAAATCAAGATTAATATTTTTATCTTGCTTTTTAGTTCCATTGGTGAATATGACAAAGCTGTCCAGGCCTTTAAGTCAACGCCCCTGGAGGAAATGGAGGACATCGTAGGTTTGGCATTGGCATTGTTTATGAAGGGACTATATAAGGAGAGCAACAAAGGTAAGTAATCATATTGCTTGAAGCTTTTTTAGAAGAATATAGTATTGGGATTGTGATGGGGTTGCAGTATTTTACTTAGTTAGTTAAAATGTTGTCTGTATGGATGCATTTATGTCAGTTCAAGATTGTGTGCCTGATGTCGTTAGAGGCCAGAAGAGGACATTGAAGTCCCTACAACTGGAGTTATAGACAGTTGTGAGCTGCTATGTGGGTGTTGGGGATTGAATCTGGATCCTTTGGGAGAGCAACCAGGGCTCTTGACAGCTAAGCCATTTCTCAAGCCCTGGGTTGCAGTATTTACTAAAATCTGTCTGGGAGTCAAGAGCTGTAAATGGATTTGTTTACATGCCATCTTTTTAGTATGTAATGATTATGAATACTCCTTATAAACAATTTGAACTGAGCATCCATTGTACATTTGAGGAGACTAAGGTGCAGGCTTAGTGGTGGATATGTAGCTTAGCATTCTATATGCTTAAATAAAAATTTTGATAAGTGAAAGCTTCAACTTTTGTTAGTAATAGAGTTTTATTTCTCTAAAAATTTTAAGTGAGAAAATCTGTTACATATGAGCTTCACCACTGTGTGGACAGGTGCACTCAAGCTTATATATATATATATATATATATATATATATATATATATATATATATATATATATATATATAAATCTGCTTGGAGAAGGGGACTGGCAGTGTGACTGTCCATCAGTGTTTCCAAGTCTTCTTTTCTGCCTAAGGTGACTCAGACTTCAGAGTCTGTTCTGCAGGCAGAAGGTAGGGGTTGTCCCCTAGCAACCATAAAGGTACTCTCAGAATTGCTTTGGAATAGCTAAACCACGGTACGGTTTATTCTGTCTGCTTGAGAAAAGAGCAAGGAAGGTAAAATTTACTTAGATATTTTTTGAAAGATAGGAGTAGGAAGGGTAAAGTGGACCATTATGTTAATTAGAATTGCTTTTGTATTTTGCTTGCTTTTTCCTTCTTCTATATAATAGCCTATGAGAGAGCCTTGACTGTTGTCAAATCTGAGCAAGACAAAGCACATGTCTTAACAGCTCTGGCAATAACAGAATACAAACAAGGACAAATGGATGCAGCCAAGTCATTGCTTTTCAAATGGTATGTATAGAGAACTTTAACACTTATACAGTAGATCTTTATGTTTGGGATAAGAGCTAAACAATATAAAATAAAGTTCTAAATGTTTTAGAACTTTTTAAATGGAGGAGATTGAACCCATCTTGCTCAAAATGGACAGTCATGAGTGGAGTCCAAACCATGTCTTAACTCACAGCTTTGTGTCTGTCTAGTACAGCTTATTTGTTTTCATGTGGACCACAAACAACAAACGGAATTGTAAACGGACTTGGTGTTTGGTTGCTCAGGTCCTCAGAGAGGTCTTCCTCCTCCCTTCCTTCCCTTTCAAGTCTCCTGAGAAAAAGTTTGTTTAAAGTACATCTCTAAAAATACCTGTAGAACTTATATACTTCTGGTGTCAGTACAGGTTAAAATGAGAGCCTGTGATAAGTTACTTACACTGGACTTGTTGAGTTCTTAAAGCGTGTTTGTTCTGTTTTAAAAGGTGGCTGTAAATGATTAAAACAAGATATTGGACAGTGCTTGCCAGTGAGGTTTATTGGCATTTTTGAGTGGTGCAGATCCTTAAAAGACAGAAAGTCCCTCCCCATTGCAGGAAGCTTATAGTCCTACCACCATGAATAGTGGAAGCACTTAGTTAATGTGATAAAGTGAACACTGCCTTGATAACTAACCCTTCAACTCCAGAGGGATGAACTTCAGTTACACTGGAAATCTCTTCCCTGGCTTTTGCTGTTCTTGACTGTATGATGAGCCATGATGAGAAGAGACACTTAGATACTGCAGACACACACAAAAAAGGAGAGATATCTGACCCTCTAGGCAGTGAAGGAAAATGATAGAACCTTCCTGAAAATGGCTTCCAGTTACAGCCCTCTGACTCTGCTGGAGAGGCTGAAGAACTCTTTCTCCAGTGCCAGCCCAGTGGGCCCTGGGTCTCCTTTCTTCTTGGACTGTATGTGTGCAAGGTCAGGTATAGGCGTGGAAATCAGGATGCTTGACCAGTAAGATGACATGGAGTTTATTAGGAGAAAATAACTTACACTCCAGCCCAAGGATTCAGACCCTGCCACCCTGGTGCTCTCCAACCTGAAGGGGCTTCAGAGCCCCAAATCAATCTTTTCCAGTCACATCCGCACCTGGGGGGGGGGTGGCGTGTGTGTGTGTGTGTGTGTGTGTGTGTGTGTGTGTGTGTGTGTATGAATATATTGCTACACTCAGGTTCTGTGCTGAGGAGACCAGGGGACTTCCTCAGTCTCTCATCTGTTGCTCCTCTGGGAGGGAGAGCCTCCCGCTACCAGCCACCCACCCACCTTTGGTGGTACTCTACTGAAACCTGATGCTGCTGGCGTTTGCCAGGCCCTGCCACACTGTAGTGCTACAGTGCTTTTCGACAGCGCCTTCCTGCCACGAAGCAGCATCTCTGCCCCAGATTCTATCTCAAGAGACAAAGGAGAATGCTGGTGTTTCTAATCTGCCATCTTCTGTTTTCTTTTAACAAAATAGAATTCTATGTCAACTAAACATTTTACTAAAATTATTCCTGTTACCTAAAACTGAGACTCAAAGAGGCCAATTTATATTTGTCTCTAAAATTTAGATATGACTTGAAATATGTAAAAGGCTATTACTACTTTACTTCAGTCAGATAATTATTTTCTTTAAATGTAATATATGTGTGTGTGTGTGTGTATTAAGCACAAAATTGGCTTACTTTGATGAATCTTTTAGTAAATAGCTTTTTGTATTAAATAAACCTCTTAATAGATGTTAATTAGTCCACTGTAGTAATGGGGTAACAGACTACTAAATATTTATTTATAGCTCTATTTTAAAGGAACCAACCACAGAAAGCCTTCAAACCCTGTGTGCTCTAGGGTTGGCAATGCAGGATGCTACGCTGTCAAAAGCAGCACTTAATGAGTTCCTAAAGCACACGAAGCACAAGAACGATTATCACAGATGCCTTCTTACTTCAGCCATCTGTGCACTCCAGGGCCGCGGTGTGGCAGTACAGAGACAGGCAGCCAAGGCTGTCCACAGGTGAGCCCTGAGTTTGGGGATGAATTATGTTTGGTGTGATTATGTTCAACTTTTGGGCTTTATTGTGACTATAAAATGAAATATGTGTCTATCTGGAAATCGTACCATCAGTTGTTTTGGTGAGTTGATGAATTTTTCCTTTATTCGGGTGAAGCTCCACTTACTTTGATACAAAAGTCTGTAATTCCTACGTTTGTATTATTGTGGATTCAATACCTGGTATATATTAATACAGATCATGTTGATGGATTTAGGAATTCTTAGTCACTTAAGTGTTGATCACTGCCTTTAAAATTTTGAAATTAAGGTATCATTTAACAGAGGCAGGCAGATCTCTTCAGTTCGAGGCCAGCCTGGTCTACAGAGCAAGTTCCAGAGCAACCAGGGCTACACAGAGAAACCTTGTCTCAGAGGGGGAAAAAAAGATAGCATGCAACAGCAGTTATCATATTTTGTAGCTTTAATTTCTTTTTCTTGGTTGATTAGGTACATTAACTTTTATTACATTTATTTTTTGTGGGTGATTACACAAGTACTATGGCATGTACCTGTGACATAGGAAGACAATTTGTGGAAGTCATTTCTCTTCTAACCATAGTGTTTCCATATGGCTATGGGGTCCCATAGATTGGCAGTTCTCAACCTGTGGGTGGCAACCTCTTTGGCAAACCTCTAGCTCCAGAATACTTACATTATACTTCATAACACTAACAAAATTACAGTTATGAAGTAGCAATGAAAATAAATGTATGGTTTGGGGTCACCATGACATGAGGAATGTGTTAAAGGGTTGCAGCATTAGGAAGGTCGAGAACCACAAACTCAGGTAAGAGTTAAGTGCCTTCACCCACTGAGCTATCTCTCCTGTGGAATTAAAGAAAATTAGTTATCAAGTTTATTCCATGTGAGTTATCTCTCTTAGAGTTATATCCTTCTGCTGTATAATATAGTTCGTCCTCTGCCTTTAAATTTCTTTGTAGTTCCTTTAAACACACATGCTATATTTTCTTAACTGTATCTCATAATTTTGTGACCATGATATTGTTTAACTTTATGTTTTAAGAAAATAAGGACTCTTAGTGTTTGTAGAAGAGGACATTATATATTTCCTAAAATTTAAGATGTTTTCAGTTAAATCTGAACAATTAATATGAACTTGCTTAGGTGTCTAATGGATTTTAAACTTAAAACATTTGTTGTTATTGTTAGGGTTAAAGTAACCCCTATCTTTTTATTCCATGAAGTATTTGGCATCCTGTATTTTATTAATCAAAATTAATTATGTACCATATGGCTTTATCTAGCATTCTTTAAATAACATATTGAGTCAGAATGAACAGACATTCAAATCAGTATAGTGTTCTTTCCTGTCAGATGAGAGAAAAGAACACAGTAGTCCCAATTACTTCTTTTTTTTTTCTAATTTAACTTTTTATTGATTCCTTGTGGATTTCACATCATGCATCTCAATCGCATGTCCCTTTGTATCCATCCTCTGCCCATGCACCCACATTAGGACCCCAGGTGGTTATCCTGTAGAGACACCACAGTTTTGTTTGGTTCTGCAGGACCTGCCCGGCCCCTTCATGTGCTCCAGTCATTGTAGATATGTGGATGATGGGGCTGGCCAACTCATAGCTCTGCTTCTGGGCCTGGGTAGTTGCAAGGTTGGTCAGCCTGCCAGCTCTCTTGTCTTCACCATCCTCTCCAGCACTGTCCCTGCTAACTTACCTAGTGCCATAAGCAGCAAGGGGAAGGTGGGTTCTCCGGCTCTCATGCCCTTGGAGCCGGCTCAGCCACGCCTACAGCACCAGGGCCAGCTCTGCTGTGTTGCCCAGGCAAGACACAGGGGCAATTTAGGAGCTGGTGATGCTCTAGTGACCTCAGAGCCAGCTCTCTCACTGCCTCAGGCCTCCCTCAAGGAGTGGGGGGTGCGGGGGGAACTTATCTCCCTTGCCCACACCACCATATGGCAGATGAGGATCTCTCATGCTTACATTCTTGGGGCAGCTCACCCATGCCCCCATCTATGGAGTCAGCAGTAACTCCTATCTTTAAGGTGAACATTTTTGTTTTGTTTTGTTTTGTTTTCTCTAGTAACCCTGCTGACCCGGCTCTTTGGTCTTTGCTGTCTCGAGTTGTTGCTCAGTATACACAACGGAATGCAAAGGTGAGTAATGTCTAAAATCCTGCCAATTAGAGTAGCCTATTGTGTAAAATACATATATGCATATGTATAGCTATCCTAATGTACACACACACACACACACACACACACACACACACACACACACACACACACACGCACGCAGTTTTATATATGGACCAGGCTGCACTCAGACTTACAGGCTCTGCCTGCCTCTTTGCCTTTTCAATACTGGGATGAAGTACAATGAAGAGAACATCGTCATTCAATCAAATTCCTATTTATTCCAATAGTAGACCAAGTGCCTTCCATGTACCCATTAAATTGTTCTGAGTGTCATAGAATCTACAAAGCGGGGTCTTTACATTCTTCATTATACCGATTATCTCAGCCTAGATGAATAAATAACATGCATAACAAGTAAGCCTTAGTGACTGGTTTTAAATTCCTAAAGATCATTTTATTTAAAAACTGTTTAAAGATACAATTACTAATACAGACACCTCTAATGTCTGAAAATCTCATTACAAGCTTGACATTTGGTAAAGAATTACATACTGTATTTTAGTCATAAGAGCAAGATATTTTCAAGTATCTACATTTTACTAGTTTTGCTACTAATTATTTTCTTTCTTGTTCACTTAAGTGATTGGCAAACAATAGCAACAGCTAATTTGTTTTAAATACTTATTTAGTAATAATTCTGATATCTAAAATCTTCATTTTTATTGTTCATTGTTCTTACTGATTTTCACTCAAGGTGGCTATATTTCTTTGCTTACTATATAGACTCTGTCTTGGAGAACATTATTTGTAGACATTATTTAAACCTTAAGACTAAGATAGATTCATATGAAAGACTTTCTGTTTGTTTTTGTGAGATGTGTTGGCAGCCGCATTTATAACTTGGGATTCTGTATTAGACTGTTCAGTACCTGGGTCTCAAGTCATTTGAGAATGCCCCGAGAGTGTCATCCTTGAGAGGCTCAGCGTATTCTGAACCTTCACAATTGTACCTTCCTTGTATGAGTCCTGGGCTTGTTCCACTAGCTTGTGAGCCCCATATTGGGATCGACAAATGACATAAATAATCTCCAGACTCATTGTGCCTTTTTAGCTTTCAGTTTGGACCTGACAAATCCTTAATAGCTTGTCAGTTATTCCATACTTTTAAGAATATGCTTAAAATATTTTATTCTTAGTGCCATTCAGATGTTACTGTGCTGTTTGTTGACATCACCATTAAATGCAGGTGCTAATTTAGCAGGGTGAGAGTCTAGATTTTTAATGGCTTCCTAGGGCATGTCCAGCTCCTAATTCAGAGGCAATTTGAGTAGTAGAGTTCAAACTATTTTCAGTGGATGCATTGACTCCAAAGCTGTTATCTGTAACTCATTATGCATGAGTTAACTCTGCTACACATGGGTATGTGTTTTAATTAACAATAGGAGGACGTTTCTGTAGTCACTGTTCAGTTTTTAGAGCAGGAAGCTTGAGGCATTGAGATTAAGTAATTTGTGCAAATCATGGTTGCTGATGGTGATGATATTCAATTCCTCTAACTCAGGCATCATCTCACTCTGCTATGTTGCCTTTCATTTTAATCAGCCTTTGTTTTATATTGAAATACTTCTAAAGCTTTATTTTAGCATTCTATAATTGAAGTACAGTGTTGAAAACTTTACTGGTACACATTTGAAATGAAATGCCAGGTATATAATGCATGTGATGAAAACCCTTTTCATTTGCTGTTATTTTTGAGACAGAGTCACACAGCCCAAGCTGGCCTGGAGCTCACTATGTAGCCCAAAGTGGCTTTGAACTCATGTCAATCTTCTGCCTCAGCATTCTAAGTGCTGGGATTATAGACAAGAACTACCGTGCCTGGTTCTTATAATTCACTTTTTCCCTTAGGCAAAATGTTTAATGATTGAATTTTAAATTTTTAGATTTCAAGTTAACCTTCTTAAAATTCTGATGCTTCTTGTTTTTTTAAATTATTATTATTAGTAGTAGTATTGATTTGCTTATTGAAACAGAAGCTTCATGGCATACAAACATTTAGTATTAGGGACTATGGGTTCTTAAGAAGGGACAGGAACTCAAGCAAGAAAGGAGGCAAGAGCTAATACAGAGGCCATGAGAGTGCTATTTACTGGTCTGCTCCTTGTGGCTTGCTCAGTCTACTTTCTTATTGAACTCAGAACTACTGGCCCCAGGATAGGACCATGCAGTAATATTTTGTTTGTGCTTTAACAAATAAAGCTTGCCTGAAGATCAGAGTGCAGAATTAGCCACTAGTTAGCCATAGAGGCCAGGCAGTGGTGGCACACACCTTTAATCCCAGTGCTCGGGAGGCAGAGGTAGACATATGTCTGTTAGTTCAAGGCCACTCTGAGCTACTCAAGATTGATCGAGTCTAAAAGAGAAACAGAGCCAGATGGTGATGGCAAACACCTTTGTTCCCAGTACTTGGGAATCATAGGCCTTTAATCCTAGCCGGACAGAGAGAGGAATATAAGATGGGAGGAGACAGGAGCTCAGCCCATTCAGTCTGAGGATTCCTAGAGACAGGATCATGCATTCAGTATGAGGATTTGTAGGGACAGAATCGCCCCTTTGGTTTAAGGATTGTGTAGAGGTAAGATCTAATGGCTGGCTGTTCTGCTTCTCTGATCTTCCAGCATTAACTTCTATATCTAACTCTGAGCTTTTATTATTAAAACCAATTAGAATTCGTGCTTCAAGACCACCCACAATGGGCTGGGTCTTCCTTCAACAATCAATAATTAAGAAAATGACCCGCAGGCTTATCGACGACACCATCTTATAGTGACATTTTCTCAATTGAAGTTCCCTCCTCCCAGACTACTCTATTGTTATCAAGTTGGCATAAAACTAGCCAGCAAATACACTTTCATTATTGATTGCATTTTTGTGCACTCAGCTACTACAAAGACATTAAAATTCTGTGACAGAGTTAAAATTATCAAAACAATTAGCTTTATTCCCTTTACCATGCCTCACCTGTATTCACCTTGTCCTTTACTCTGCCCTTTTTCATCACCTGAGAGCATCCTTTCTCTCCTTCCTATGTGTTATACCTACATGTATATTTGTTTACACATATGTATGTACATTGCAGGATAGGATCCACATATGAGGGAGAACATAAGGTTTTTGTTTTTTCTTTCTGAGATGAATGACATTCTAATCCTGTAAAATTTGTGATTCCATTTTTCTTTAGAGCTGAACAGTATTCCATTATATCTGTTGTCTATCTTCATCTATCAAGATTTTGATCATCTATCAAGAACTGTTCATCTATCAGTTCATCTGTTGATAGACACCTAGAAATTTTCCAAGAATAAGCTGTTTTATACATTCTTCACTCTCCCTTTCTGCTGTTCTCTCACAGCATTTTTTAAAGTTTATTAAAATATTTATGTTATGTACATTGCTGTTTTGCCCAAGTGTGTGTCTATGTGAGGGTGTTGCATCCTCTAGAACTGAAATTAAAGACAGTTGGGAGCTGCCTTGTGGGTGCTGGGAATTGATCCCAGGTCCTTTGAAAGACCTAAGGTCGGTGCCCTTAACCACTGAGCCATCTCTCCAGCCTTTTTTCAGCATTTTTATATTGTTAGGTAATGAGTACATTTACGTGGTGCCCCTACAAAGCCGTTTTACTTTTGAACTTGTAGTATTTTAATAGCAAATGTGAAATGATCAAAGTAGACAGATTTCTTTCCTTAAGGCTGTAATAAATCATTGATATTTAGAGATTATAAGATGAAAATTTGCTGAAAACTGAGTTTCTCAAATGATTTGAAGGAAAGATTTTTATTAGTCTTACTGTTTGGTGAAAAGCATTGCATTTGTCTGTGTATGTTTTGTTATAGGGAGGAGCTGTTGCCGGCACCGTGGCTCATGTTCTGGATGCAAATCATGGAAAGGTTAGTTTTTGCTCTCATACGAAGGAAGTAGTTAGCTTGTTCAATAGTGTTAATGAGTCAGAATAATGTCCTCATTGTTTTAAAGTTTGCATCCTATTAAATGTATGCACTTTAAGTCAGTTTTGAAAAGCAGAAACTGGAGAGAATTGATAAACATACCTCTTTGTCTTCTGTTATAGAAGGCATTATTGTACACTGCAGTAAACCAGTTGGCCATGGGAAGCAGTACAGTAGAAGATGAAAAAAATATTTCTCTAAAGACCATTCAGAAGGCAGCTTTCCTTTCCCCAGGTGAATATATTCCATTTCATTAATCTAGATGTCATCAATTTTGCATTTGTGGGTTAAAAGCACAAGGTTTGTATTTTCATGATAAAAGAAATTTTAAGAATGTATTTTAAAATTTTGCATATTAATTTGATTATCTGAATTTGACTATTGATAACCACAGTGTACCGATTGTTTAAACAGACTGATAAGAATATTTTCTAGAGATACGATGTTAAATCTGAATGACTTATTACTTTCAGGTTATTTTATTTCAGTTTTCCATCAGTATGATTTAGTGTAGTTTATCTATACTTACTAAGTACTTCATATAGAATTTTTATGTGTTGTTAACTCTGCAAGACAGGGTTATGTTTTATATGGTGTATTACTTCATGTCTATGACATCTAGCTGAAGGAGGTTTATTTGGGGCAAAACTTGAGGATTTAAGCAATCTAGCGTGATGGGGAAGGCATAGTGGTTGGTGGGGTTGCTCAGCACGCTGCATTCAGTCAGGAAGCAGAGGAAGATGCAGTTTGCTGCTCAGCTCACCCTCTCTTTCTGTTGGACTGGCACTGTAGTCCACACAGTGGCACTACCACATTCGGGGTAGATCTTTTCTGACGTAGACATGTCTAGAAATACCCTCGTAGACAGTGTTTCCATGATGACTCTAAATTGTATCAACTTAATGAGATTAACCAACAAGTATAAAAACATATAGCCTTACCTCAGCTAGCTATTGTTAATTCTAGCAGGCTTTGCCATATTTATGCTGTTCACTTTATAGGTAATGAGGAGTTGCATGTTACTACTCTAGGGTGTTTCCATTGTCACTACTGGAAAATGTTAGGGCTAGAAGGTCATGCTTTGTAGGGTTACAAAGCCAAGTTTTACAGTTCTATCTTAAATATGAACTATAGCATCAAATGCCTTTCCTGGGAATACGCAATCATAGATGCAGCATCCATACAGCATCATAAGATGCTGTTCATGTTTTCTTAGTAGAAAATAAGTTCAATGTTGAGTTTTTCCTTTAATTCTTACTTTTCTTAAGAACCAAAAACCATAAACAAAGTGTGTTGACTTATTTCTCCTAGAGTAGTAGAGATACATGTGTGCTGGAGGCTTGCCCTCCATGTCTTTGGAATGGCAATAAAATTGCATTGTCCATAGTAGCCCAGCACTTTAGGAACTGAACCAGATAGGGACAGCCATGGGACAGGAGCTGAGCTACACAGGGACAGCCACAGGGCAGGAACTTAGTAGACTATCCTTCTGTAAGATGTTCAGAAAGTTTACAAGTCTTGAAGGTTAATTATACCACTTTATTTTGGGGAAACAAGTTTGCTTTCCTTTAAGGAAGATATAAACTTTTATTTATGATAGTTTTGCAGCAGCATGTTGATATGAACAAGCCTTCAAACGGTATTTCTTGTTTAGATGACCCTGCTGTCTGGGCTGGGCTGATGGCAGCCTGCCATGCTGATGATAAACTGGCTTTGGTCAGCAACACTCAGCCCAAGAGGCTTGATTTGCACTTGGCACTGCTATCTGCTGTTTCTGCGTCACGTAAGTTTTATTTTACTTATTTACATTGCTAAATCATTGTGTTAAATTGCATGCAATATATTTTGATCATATTCTTTTCCCTCCCCCAGTCCTCCCGGATCCTCTCTACCTATTCACACAACTACATGTTCTTTCTTTCAAAAAACAAACAAAAACCAAAAAGACAAAACACCAAGTCATAACAACAACAAAAAAGAAAAACAAAACAAAAAAATCATTGAGTGCCATTGTATCCTGTCAACTACTCCTGAGCATGAGGCCTACCCTGCAGTGTGGTTGATATACCCAGTCTCACTGCACTAGAGAAAACTACTTTCCCAGCAGGGATCAATTGCAAATAGCTTTTTGGTTAGCAGTGGGACTTTGTGCTTGCTTGCCCATGTCTGTGCTGGGATTTTGTCTGACTTGAGTGTGTCTCTGAGGATTTATGTTTCCATCAGCCCTGCTGTGTTTGGAAGACAATTTTCCTTGCCATCATCCACTACCTCTGGCTCTTAGAATCTTTTTATGTCACCCTCTGCAATGTTCTCCAAGCCTTGAAGGTCTGAGTTTGGTAAGGACATCTCACTAAACACTGAGTGCTTCGAGGTCTCTTACTGTCTGCACGTTGTTCAGTTGTAGGTCTGTGTTAAGAACTATCTACTGCAAGAAAAAAGCTTCTCTGATGAGGGTTGAATGATGCATTGATCTATGAATATGGCACTGTGTCATTGAGGGTACTTTATTGAATTGTACATTTAGCAGTAAATAAAGTAGTCCTTTCTCAAGGACTCATTGCTTATCTAGTTAATTAGTGTCTTAGCGTCAGGTGTGAGTTCCATTTCATGGAGTGGACCTGAAATCCAATTATTAAGAAATGGTTATGCTCGCTTTAACATTTATGCCACTATTACATTAGTATGTCTTTTTTTTTTTTTCTTTCAGTTTTTCATTTGACAGTTGTATATGGAATCTACCACCCTGAAGTCTGAGTTTGTTTTTATGTGGGACTCCAGTAATGCCTCAGAGTATATGGTTTACGGGGCGATCAGCCATTGGTGTTCATTTTTGTTATTTTATTGTTATTGATTATATATTCTAGTTCACTATTTTCTTTTTTCTTTCTTTCTTTTCTTTCTTTTTTCTTTCTTTACTTTTTTTTGTAGGCAGGTTTCTGTTGTGGGGCACAGAGTTTGGAGCTGGGTGAAATTGATGGTTACTTTTTTCTCTAGTAGTGTAAGTAGTATTTTTTAGCAGTATGATTGCTAGCTAGGAGAGGTAAAGCTTCTAGTTGGGAAATGCTCCATTTTCCCATGTTTGATAACATAGGTGAGTGGTGTCTTCAGCAGTAGGTAGGGCCTTGCTGTTATGTTGTGGAGGGTAACCAATAATATTGGTACCCTGAATATTTGAGGGGTTGTTCTGCTTGGCCAATGAGTCAATAAAATATAACCCCTTCCTGGTGCTGGGGGTTTTACTTGGTAGCACTTGATGTCTAGTTAGTGGTTGTCCCTGCCCATATTCCCTCCTTTACCCTGCTTCCCCATTCTCCCTTCTGAAGTACAGTAGGTAGAAAGTAGACACTGATTCATTGATTTATCTAGTGATTCACTTACACTGTTTGTATTGCCTATTTGCCAAGCATGACTTATATATATATGACTTATATATGAAACAGAATGACCTGGAGAAAGAGCTAATACAATGGGTGGGTGGTTGCCCTTAACAACCGGATGACCGCAGGTCGATTCTGTAAAATCTCGGTTGCTTGTCTGCCCCACCTTGTGGTTTTAGAGGATAATATGAGAATACAAACTAGACTGGCACTGGGTTAAGGACTTGCAGGAGCTATCCTGGCCTGGGTCACTGGGGACCCCTTCTCTCTTCCACTCTCATTGGTGTCAGGGTGCTTGGTCCAGAAGGAGTCTCACAAAATCCCCTTTTCAAGTAGCTTATAGAAACTACTTGTGTACATAGTTTAATTCAGATTCCACCAGTGATCAGATCAAGACCACATATAGCTTCAGTATTCAAAAAATGTATTCAATTACCTACAAATTTCAGTTTTCTTTTTTCTATTTATTTATTTATATATTTATGGTTTTCAGGGCGGGGTTTCTCTTTGTATCTTTGGAGCCTGTCCTGGAACTTGTGCTCTGTAGACCAGGCTGGCCTTGAACTCACAGAGATCTGCCTGCCTCTGCCTCCCAAGTTAAATTTCCATTTTTCTAAACATGATTAAATGACATTGCTACTATCAATTCTGAGTTACTGTTTCATGTTAGTAAATCAATTAATACAGATCCTCTCTGGCACTCTTTATCTAACTTTGAGTTTTGATGAATGACTTTTGTCACATCCTTTCTCTAGAAGATTCTTCAGTTCTCATTCTTGCAGAGTAGGAACACTGGCAACATAGTCATTCAAGTCATTCAGTCTTTGCGAAAGCCTTTCTTTCTATTTTACTTTTAAAGGATAATTTTGCGGGGTACAGAATCCTATCTCCCCCTTCCTCCCCCCCCCCCCTTAAACTTTAAACATGTCATTCTCTTCTTTCTGAGGAGAAGCTGGAGATGGTCTCATCTGTTTCTTCCCCTCTGGCTTCTTGTGGTAGTTCTGCCTGTCTTTGATTTCCTTTAATTAGAAGATAGCGTAGCCAGATAAAGTTTGGGTTTGCTTTTGTCTGGTGTTCATCTTTCACAGTGTTCTCTGAGTTTCCTGTCTGGTGGTTGTGTCTGACATTAATTTGGGGACATTCTCAGTCATCGTGGCTCTAAATGTGTTCCTTTCTTTTGCTTTCCTGGCATTCTCATTAGGTTTGCTTAGATGCTTTGTAGTTGTCCCATAGTTCTCAGAAATTACATTCTGTTACATTCAGTATTTATTCTTTTTGCTTTTCTGTTTGAATGATTTCAGTTGAAGTATCTGAAGTTCAAAAATTCTTTCTTGGCACCCTCCAGTCTGTCAATAAGCTGATCATAAACAGTCTGTTAGTGTTTTTGGTTTCTATCTCTTGTTGTTTCTGAGTTTTTCAAAAGTTACATGGCTCATGTTGTCTGCTTAATTAATGAAAGCTTTCCCCATAATCATTGTTGTTTAATTCTAATAACTCCAGCATCCCACCAAAGTCCAGCATTCCTGCAATACTGACTGCAGTCCTGATGCTTGCTCTGTTGTACAGAATGTATCTTTTGCTTCTGAATCTTTTTTTTTTTTTTTTTTCTTTATAGCTTGGTCATGGTTAAAGTAGCTGCTGTGGAGAGGTGGGGTAGAGGATACATGTTGAGCTTGTGACTCTGCTCTGTGAATACCACAATGCTTCCCAGTATATCCCTTTGCCCTCACTTGGGCAGAATAGGCAGCCTACAGTGGGCTTGAACTGACTATTATTGCTTTTCTTCCACCTAGGAACCTTTAGTGAGAGGCTAATTAAGTTCCCTGTCTTTGCCAGTAAACAACAGAAAATTAACTGGGAAATTATTAAATATTTGGAAACTAAATAGCATACTTCCAAATAACCAAGACCAAATAACAAGTCCAAAAGAAAATTAGGAAATATTTTTAAGTTAGTTAATGTTTACACAGTATGTCAAAACTGTATAACATGACTAAAGCACAGATTAGTGAACATTTATATTAAATGGTTACATTAGAAAAATGAAAGGCTCTCCACAAATTAATAATGGCAGCTAAGAAAGGAAGCCCAAAGTACGACAAAGAAATAATAAAGATAAAATAGAAATCTGTTAGGTAAAACAGAGAAAAATCAATAAAAGGATGTGCTTTATTTATTTATTTTAAGAAGAGCAATACAAGTAGTAAATCTAGCTTTCTGATTCAAGAAAAGAAGATAGGATAGCAGCTTTTGAATGGAAGTATGTTACTACAGCTATTAACACGTTAATAATACTTCAGCAGCAACTTCATGCCCTGGGACATAACAACTCAGAAAAAATAATAAAATTTTATAAGACAAAGTTTACATAATCAGAAATAAATTCAGTAGCTATGTGCTTATTAAGGGTATCCAGATTGAAACCTCACAAAGTAAACTGTAAGACCAGATGACATCATTGAATTCTGCCAGACATTTAAGGAAGCAGTAATTCCAGTTCTATACAAAGTGTTCTAGAAAATAAAAGAGATGGAAATGCTTTTTTGAATATCTCCTAATAAGCCAGCATTCTCCCAGTACCAAAATCAGAGACAGTGCAAGAACAGAAAAAGACTGAGCAGTGTCAGCCCTAGCATGCATGACGAAATTCCTAGCAGAACCTTAGCATTTCTGTTCAGCAACACATAAGAAAGACAGTGCATCACACTCAGGTGGAGTTTGTTCCAGGAATTTGAAAATGAGTGCAGTTTACATTGATATTTGTGAAAAATGCCATTCCTATGAGGCTATAAAACGTAAAATCTGAGTAGGAGTTTTCCAGGACAGAGGGTAAGGGGGTTGGGGTGAGTTGGAAACAGACGTGATTACACAGGGCAAGAGGCAGCTCTTGCTAATGAATGGTGACTTTGTTTTATCTCAACTGTGTTGTTCGCCCAGCAGTGTTCGAACTCCAGAGTAGATGCAGCTTATTTTACTTCTGTTACATTGAAGAAATTGCTCATAGTTTTTCAGTGAATTTTCTTTACTACTATACAGGATATATTTTTAAAATAGCAGTCAGAATATTCATGGTAAATCAATGGTGTTCTGATGGTACATGTATTTTTTAACATATGTAGATCCAGGCACTGGGTATGTGTATACTCCTGTAATTATGAGATTCCAGAGATGTGAATTTAGAGTTAGCCTGGGCTGTATAGACTTGGGTAATTGTTAGTAAATGCCCCCTCCCCCACCCAAGGACACATTATACATAGCAGAAGACAGTAGCATTCACCTCTTTTTGTTTGTTTACAGTTAAGGACAAAGACATTTTGCAAAATTACAACCAGTCACTTGAAAAGTGGTCTCTCTCACAAGCTGTCACTGGTCTAATTGACACAGGAAGAATATCTGAAGCGGAGTCTCTGTGCACAAAGGTATTGTGGAACTGATGTTGAAATTTGTGTTTTTGTCCTGCCTAAAGATGAGGAGAGTGTTACTTAATGAGAGTATGGTAGGGGTAACAAGCAACATTTATCGGTTACTCCAGGCCAGTTGTTCTGTGTAACATTGTTGTTTCTGGGCTTCACGGCAATCTATGATGCACATGTTTATGAAATTAACCTTTTTACAAATGAGAAAGTCCATATTGGAAGACGGTTAAGTATTTACCCAAAAGTTCACTGCAGTTAGAAGAGAATGCTAGAATTATACCACTGTTATAACCCTCGTAGTCTCTTTCAAAAGAAATGTTATTATTTGTTTATTCATTTGTTCATTCATTCATTCATTCACTCATTCACTTATATGTATGCATGGGTATTTGTATATGAGGAGGTCATAGGGGATTATATCTCCTGGTGCTGGAAGTATAACCAATTGGGAGATGCATTATATGGGTGCAGGGATTCAAGATCAATAAGCTTTCTTGGTCACTGAGTCACCTTCCTGCCCCATTTCTGGACTCTAAATAAACCTTTTATTTTTGTTTAGGGTGTCATTCCTTTGGTTCCTGGTTACTCTCTTTAGAATATAGTGTTTCAAGGATTTGTTCACTTTTCCAAGTTCTGAAGCAGTAGAATGACTGGAGATTGTTCATCACCATGCACTAGGATCATGAGTCTCTCTACTTGCTACTTCTATGGATACATACATTCTTAGCAGCTTTCCTGCCACATGGTTTGGACTCAATAAATGTGTATTTAATCAGTAAACCAGTTTTGTGGACCTACCAAAAATCAGAGGGTTTTAAATATGGCCTTTTCTCTGAATGCTTGTGTTTCATAAATACCAGAAAGAATATGTTGTTCTCTTAGAAATGGTCTTTGGGAGAGAAACAGATTTTACAGAGAGATAAAAATGGTCTTTAGTCCTTGACTTCTTTGAAAAGCAGAATAATACATTTTCTCTTTAATGTAAAGAATTCTATCTGCTCTAAGTCCAGGACAGTGCATTAATTATATTGTGGGTGTTGTTGGCTAAGCATAAATTAACAGTTGTAATGTCTTTTTTGGTGAAATGAGGAATGCTTTATGAGCCTTTCCTTTTTATTTCATTGTTTCAGTCCTTTGTAGAAGAAAGCCTTCAAATACACTTTAGATATATGTTGGACTGTGATCTAATAATAGACAAACACTGTCTTAATAGAGAAGCAGTACAGAAATGTTTCACCTACAGAAGAGTTGGAAGTTTGCCAACCTACAGAGCTAATATTTCAGAAGACAATTCTAATGATCCCTATTTGATCGATCGATATATATATATATATATATATATATATATATATATGTATATGTATATATGTATATATCTGATGCTCTACTCAATGAATAAATACCAATTTTATGTTAATCATGGAGTATGGTCTGTTCCACTGAAATAGTGAAAACCTTCCCTTTTTATATTTCTTGAGTCAGTTTTCTATTCAGAACCTAAGGTTTTTAGTATAACAATTGAGAATTAACCAACTCAACAAGGGCATATTAAATCTAAACTAAATGACTCAAACACTACAACAGTATTACCTATAGGAAAGATTATTTTAGTGTAGGCTTTGGGATTCCAAGGCTCTGTAGCCTTTTGTTTATTTAACTTCTATATCTGTTTTCACTATAGCCATAAAGGTTTAAATTAAGGAGAAAGCATTTCTTAGCATGGAGCACACTTTAATTTCCTTTTATTTATTTCAGTTTAGCACCTATTTGATATGTTTCTGTTTGGGGTTTGATTTTTAGAGTTTAAAAAGTAACCCTGATCAGCCAGCAGTTGTCTTACTGTTGAGACAAGTTCAGTGTAAATCACTGCTGGAGTCACAGAGGCCCCTCCCAGATGCTGTACTCGAAGAACTGCAGAAAACAGTCATGTCCAATTCCACCTCTGTTCCGGCGTGGCAGGTAAGTTCTCTACTCTCTGTGTGACTCCTACATTAAAATATGCTGGGATGCTACAGGAATGTACTCCATCTCTATTTCAGTATTGCTTTTAGGCTCATCATATATTTGTCAGTTTCCAAACGTGAAGAGTATTGTGGAAATTTGACATCAGTTTAGGATCTGCTTCTGTAACCCTTCAGTCATTCTGCTGAAGATGCTTTGTAATGAGAATGCTGTCCTAGTTACTTTTCTTGCTTCTGTGACAAAATTTTCTTGCTTCTGTGACAAAATACCCGATACACGCAACACAAGGAGGGTGGTTCACAGTTACAGCATGGTTTGGGTGTAAATGTCTTCCATAGGCTCAGGCATGCATTTGAACACTTGGTCCCTTGTTGATGGCACCATTTGGAGATGTTTAAAAGGTGGCCTTGCTGGAAGAAGTTTGTCTCAGTGGTTGGGCTCTGAGAGTATGTAGCCTCAGCTCATTTCTGGCTTGTTCTCTAAGCTTCCTGTTGCCATGCCTGCCACTCTTGCCATCATCCCTGCCATGCTGGAGTTTTAGCACTCTGGAACTGTAAGCCAAAATAAACTCGATTCCACAAGGCACTTTTGGTCGTGGTGTTTTCTCCCAGCAATAGAAAATAACTAATGCAAAAATTGGTACCAGCGTACAAGCCCTTGCTTAAAAAGATCTTGGTTGGCAATGTAATTTTTTTTTTTTTTTTTAAGGAATTCCAAAGGAAGACTTTGGAACTTTGACTAGAACAGTAGCTCAGTGCTATAAGTAGAGCATAAAGGCCATTCTGATAGGAACCTGGAAGACAGTATTGCTGAGCAATGCAGATTTTGGAGCCTGATCCAAGAGGTCTCAGATGGCAACAGTCTCAGCTGTATTTTTGCAGAGTATCCAGCTGCTTTCTGACCATGGCCTGAGAACTTTCCTGAGGCAAATGGAAAAGTATTAGACCAATTTCTTTAACGGAGAGCAATTTTTTATATAATGTTGAGTCAGTCCAGTGCTTATTATTATTTACCCCCTTGCAGGTTTATAAAGGCAAAAAGTAAATGGGCAGAAAGAAATATGAAGTGAACATCTTGAAGAGAAAATGAGCACCAGAAAGCTTAATGTTACAGCCAAGGCATGTGCTATAGAGAGCTCTAATTGGGAAGGACAGTAGTGCCTTTGAGGAGTCTACTTTACAGGGGAACAAAGGACAGCCTGCCAGGCCCAGATCCCACCCAGCTAACCTTCCATCTTGTAGAAAGAGAGTCTAAGGTGTTTTCTGATTCTGAAAAACAGCTGAACGAGAAAGTGTCTTTGCTAATGTGATTCAAGGGGGCCAGCATCCATTCCAAGTTGGTAGCCAAGCTTGGCAGTACCATCCAAGTGGTAATGGCTGTTATGATAACGGCATGGGGAGGGGAATCTTGGCAGAATCCAGGGCAGGTGAGGATAACCAAGGCAGGGGACAAACATGCCAGGCAGAGAGAGCGTAGTGAGAAGTTTTATTAAAAAGGGAAGGGGGAGAGGAAAGAGAAAAGAGGTAAAGAGACACAAAGACAGAGAGAGGACAGAAGAGGCAGACGAAAAGTCTGCCTCTTTTTCCTGTCTACCCCCAGGGCAACAGCAGGAAAAAGAGATCCTAAGTGTGTGTTGGGGAGGGTCTTTCTTTTAAAGGGTCCTTTGCACCTTGTCCAGACTATGTAGCCATGGAAGCCTGGGCTGATCAGGGTACTGCGAGGTGATGGGCAGGCCAGCATGATGCCTGAGTCCTTACACATTAGAGGCATTAGAGGCACAAAGGGTGTAAGAGTAAAGGGGTCCTCCATTTCAGAGAGCTGCTGAGCTCAGGCATCATGTGGTAGGGGTGTCCCTGACTGAAGCTTCCCAGAGGGCTAGTGGCTGTGGAGGCCATTGGTGTGGAATGGAAACATGAAGTCCAAGTTACAGTGGAGATCCCAGGATACTAAAAGATGTCAGAGCTTTGAGACAGCTGTCCAGGAGAGCTGCACACAGGGAGTGAAACCAGCCCAAGAGAGATTATATGTCGCAGGCAACAAAGTTGGAGAGGCTGAGCTACCTCCCTGGTGCCCTTTTAGTTAATTTCCTTCCCCAAACTCCCCTAAAAGCAAAGCTAAGATTCTGACTTCTACCATTTCTATGTAGCTTTGCCTACTTTTGAACATCATTTAAATGGAATCCTTATTTGTACTTGTCAGTTTTGACTAAATATTATGTATGGGAGATTAATTTTGTTTTGTGTGGCTAGAATGTTCTTCATGTCATCTTGTTGCCATGGAACTGAGTGTCCTAGGGTCTTACGTTTTCCCATGTGTGTACCAGTTTACAGCCATGTGAGCGCCCCATGTGCTTGGTTGCTGCTTCTCCCACACGTTGTTAGACATGGAAGTAATAGCATCTTTTGGTGTTTTACCTTTCATTTACTTAATGATGTTGAACAACTTTACAAATGCTGCTGACCTCTTCTCAAAGCACCTTTTTATATTTTTTGAGTTGCCTTTTAAATGAGGTTAATGAGATGTGTGAATCATTTATAATGAATTCCTGGAATTCGTCAAATTTTAAGAGTGTAACTGCATTGTGTGTATTACCATATGTATTTTCTCACACCTGTGGTCCCTGTTAGCATTCTCTTAATGCTATTTTTATGCCAGCTCTTAATATTGGTGGTTGAGTCATGATCTGATTAAGCAGATTCTGGATTTGGTGAGAGTTTTGTTTGTTGTTTGTTTTCCTCACAGTGAATGAATAGATGACTCAGTGGGTACAATGGTTGCTGTGCAAGCCTGAGGATGTGAGCTAGTATCCCCCAGCACACACATAAAGAAGGGAGCTGGAGACAGACCGGAAGCTTTGGGGCTAGTTAGCCTGAGGATGTGAGCTAGGATCCCCAGCACACCCATAAAAGAAGGAAGATGGAGACAGGAAGCTCTTTGGGCTCCCTACCCTGCCAGTCCAGGCGCTCACTGAGCCCTAAGTTCAGTAAAAGGCCCTGGCTCAACAGACAGGGTAGAGAGTGACTGATGAAGACACATGGCTTCAATCTCAGGTTTCTGTGTGCACCCACTCCCGTGAGCACAAGCATGCAGTACACCATCGGTCTCAGGTTTCTGTGTGCACCCACTCTCATGAGCACTTGTATTCAATACACATACACACACAGCAAATTAAGAAGTCTTTTAAGTCACACTTGGTCATGATACATTAATGTAATGTAATGATGATGTAATTTTATAAATACCATGTTTAGAATTTTTAAGAAATGTTTCTATATGGGTGTTTTACTTGCATGTACCTGGTGCTGCTAAGGCCAAAAGTGGGTATTAGAGCCCCTGAAACTGGAGTTACAGCAGGATGTTAGCTGCTGTGTGGGTGCTAGGAATTGAACCCAGGTCCTCAGCAAGAGCAGCCAGTGCCCTTAACTGCTGAGCTATCTCCAGCTTTCATGTGTAGAACTTTTGACTTTGGGGTCATACGAGAAAATAACCTGTAGTATTCAATCCCGTAAGGTCTTCAAAGTATTTTTTTAGCTGTGTTCTTATGTCTTTTAATTTCTCCTCTTTGCCATTTTTTGCTGTTTATTTCATCTTAATTTCTGTTTCCAGCTGTAGCTTCTTGAGACAGAATTTTGTTGTTCTAATGGGTTCTCTCTTTTCATTTTTTGGTGTATATGTGTATGATAGGTTTACATGTGTGTACAGATACACATATATGTATGAATGAATGCAGAGGCCTGAGATTAGTATTGGTTGTCTTTCTCAGATGCTCAGTGTCTCTCACTGAATCCAGAGATTACTGTTTTGGCTACTCTGGCACACCAGCTTGCTTTGAATGTTTCTTGTCTTATTTCTTGGATACTGGGATTACACCTGATTCTTATGTGGACTCTCAGGATTCGAACTCTGAATTTTACTTGCATCACAAGTGCTTTGCCTGCTGACCCAGCATCCCTGGTGTCCAATAGACATTCTAGTGTGGCCTTTCTTTCTTTCTTTCTTTCTTTCTTCCTTCCTTCCTTCCTTTCTTTTCTTTCCTATTTTTTTTATTATTTTATTTATTTTTCTTATTTTACATATTGATCCTGGTCCTCTGTTCCTCTGTCCCTCCCTAGCTTCCTCCCTCCCTCCTTCCCTCTCTTTCACCCTCCCATGCCCCCTGACTACCCTCCTATCCCCCCCTCCCATTCCACAGGTAGGGTGATGCCTTCCAGGAAGGGTCATCAAAATCTGTCAAGTCATTTGGAGTAGGGACTAGGCCCTTGCTCCTGACTCTAGGATAAGGGAGTATCCCTCCATGGGGGATGTGCCCCTAAAGTCCTTTCTTGTACCAGGAATACATCCTGGTTCCACTGTCAGAGGTCCCTTAGACTGCTCTGGCCTTCTAACTGAGACCCATGTTCAGGGGGTCTGGGTAGGTCCCATGCTGGATTCCCAGCTATCAATCTGGGGGCCCATTAGCTCCTCCTTGTTCAGGTCAGCTGTCTCTGTGGGTTTCTGTAGCCTGGTCTTATCCTCCCTCTCTGCATCTGGATTCCAGTTCAGCTCAATGTTTAGCTGTGGGTGTCTGCCTCTGCTTCCATCAGCTTTCTTTCTTTTTTATATATATAACTTTTTATTTACATTAGAAACAATCTTATTTTACATACCAATCTTAGTCCCTCTCCTTCCCATGCCCCCCATCCTCCCCCCTTCTATACCCCCTTTCACTCTCTAGGGAGGGTGAGGCCTTCTATGGAGGATCATCAAAGTCTGTCTCATTTGGGGCAGGGCCTAGGCCCTCCCCCATGTATCTAGGCTGACAGACTCTCTCTCTCCATAGGGAATGAACTCCCAAAGTCCATTTATGCACTAGGGATAAATACTGGTTCCATTTCCAGAGGCCTCATTTTGTGCATGGAGATAGATATGGATCTATCTGCAGTTTTCTACATGTCAACATCCAGTTATGAAAGATGCTTTCTTTTTTCCATTGTATAATTTTAGCTGCTTTGTCAAAA